TTTTTGCGCCAAAACTCTGTTTTGCATTTTAAATCTGTGTCAATCTCGATGGTATGTTGTTCTGTTTCCGTGTGATTTGTTTGAGTATTCCATTAATGGCGGAGTAACTGTTATTGTTTACTTACGTATATATTCAATTTCATAATTACCGAGACGATTTATATGCAATTATTGTGGAGTCGCATTTCCGGATGTCCACGAAATGGATGTTTATCTAACTTTGTCAATTAGAAATATAAGTATAATAATATAATTAACTGTTTAATTATGTAGACAATAAGAGTAGAGACTTAAATAAAAAAAAACACTGCTGCTAGAGTAATAATAAGAATCAGGTATGGTATTAACAAGCATGAGATAAGGCTAATACGATTTAGCAGGCATCAGTTGGAAGTAAGACGGAGTTAAGTAAACTGTCAAGGTGGATTTGTTTTGACACTACATGTACTGATCAGGCCTCTGTAAAATACCTTTCTGCCCAACCTGGCACAGTGCCGAGCTCTGCCGAGGACGGGCAGGACCTTGTGGCCTTTTATTAAAAGTCTAGGGCTAAGATTAGACTAGCGTACATTTGAAAATAAAGGTAGGACAAGGTAAGTGTAGGCTGTAAGACAAGACAAGGACTAGGATAAGATTAGAGTAAGAATATGTGAAAAGTATAAGTAGTTAAGAAGTTGAAGAAAGATCACGATAAAACGGGATTGGTTAGAGTAAGACTTTTTTGCTTTTTTTAACAGTACTAATACTTGAAAATTTAAATACTGTAAATCATAAAAACTATTTTGGTCGAGAGAAGTATTTGAAACAATTAAATGTCAGTACACTGCAGTACCTCTCTTTTATTGTATATATTGTAAAAGGCAGAAAGCTTAAACGTCTGAGTTCTGAGAATCTTGTACTATAATATATTTGTTGGCATGTTTTCAAGAAAAACAGTAAAAATCTTCAGACGTTACTGTAGTAAATGTAAATCTTAATCACTTCCTTATTCTACTATATGTTATCTTTTAATTGATGTTTATCTGATTACACCACGAGGTAATTCTTTATAGTATTTTTATATTATTATGACAATACTATATGACATTAACTATCAACTGAATGATATTTCTCATCGAATTGTTGAAGAAATTACTATTGTTTAACATTATGTTGTAGTAGGACATGACATGAGGTCAAGTAGAGTAGGATAGGTTAGGTCAGGGTATGGTAGGGTAGGGTAGGGTAGAGTAGGGTAGGGTAGGGTAGGGTAGAGATGCAGTAGAATACGGTAGGGTACTGTAGGGTACGGTAAATTTTTTGAAGAAATTTTGAAGGTTAAGGGAGCACAGAATTATGTGAACAACTTAACACAATACTACCATGACATATATCTTTAATTCATTACTTTACTATGTCATTTCCAATAATCTAATGCATTATATTACCATTATACGATAAATTACTATAGTATTTAACATTTTTTTCTAAAATTCCTTTTGTATTTTACTACAGTTATTATCTATTTTATCTGAATCTCTAACATAACATCCGCTTCTAATGCGAATCCAAAGATGCCATTTCTTGTTATCGACTTCGTCTTTACTGTAACACCGACCATTGTTACATTCCTTTGGTCGAGACAATAGACCTGTTTTCCTGCGCCACCCTTATTTGCATATTGTACGTGGTTTACATTGTTTTTGTTATGCCGCGACGTGGGAGCGTATTTGTGCCATGGGGCGTCTATTAACTGTCATAGCTTCTTGACATATACGGTTTGGTAATTAATTTGACTTGGTTTAGGGTCAACTTTAGTTTAGGTTACAGTAGTTTTATTAGGGCATGGGTGAATCTTTTTTATTGGGGTATGGGTAATATAGGAATTTTTATTAGTAGGGTACGGGTAACAAAGAAATTGGATATTATGTTAAGCAGATGGTAACTGTGGTAAAATAAAAAAAATGTAATAGAAATATGTAAAATACTATCATGGTAATATATTGTAGCATAGAAAAATAATACCTAAAAGGTATAAAAAAGTCTTGTCGTTTTTAAAGCCTTCGCTTGTGGGCCGAGCTAAAAACTTAAGTTGCTTTTTTACAGGTCTATGGAGGAGAGAAGGAGGGAAAGATAATATAAATTTGAAAAAAGTTGAATAATGTGTATTTCTTCGGTTTTTTTATATTTTCTTTGAATTTGGTACTAAATAGTATTACATTTTTTAATTATTGTACTTTATAATCGGCTTTACATTGAAACGAGTTATCCGATTTAAAGCTGGCTGTGGGGGTTTTTATATACATAAGTCATCGTTTCATGACACTTTTGTAATTTTGATGGCATGAGGGTGTGTCAAAATAGATAAAACTTTATTTTTTAAAGCTGTTATAGTTTATATAACAAAAATGTAAAAAAAAATTTTTTTAAATTTATTTTTTCATTTTTTTTGTTTTGAATTGACAAACAAGAACTTAATTATTAGTCCAAGAAAACTGTACTTTTATTCCCGTCTCTATATATACTTTTACAAATAGATATATCTTCAAGGCATATACACATCCTAGCAGAATAATTAATAAATTGCTAATAATTTGCTATTTTTTGACTGACAAAAACTGAAAAATGATGTTTTCTGTTTTCAAATAACAAATAGTACATTCTTGCATTGTTATATAGTACCGTATATAATATATCTCTATAGCTATAGAAGTTATCGCGTTATTTCGATCTTTGAATAGTTGTGGTTAGTCTTATCTTAATTTAAGATTTGGCTAAATCCTAGTCTTAGCTTTAGCCAAAGCTTGCGCTTGAACCTGAGTTTGATCCTTAACTTGACCCTTAGCCTAAACTTGAGTGTGAGCCTGAGCCTAAGCCTGTTTTTTAACCCCAGCCTTAGCCTAAACTTGAGCTTGAGTCTTAATTTAAGCCTGATCTTGACTTTGAGCCTGAGGGTAAGCCTGAGGTTAAGTTCGAACGAGAGATTGGTTTTTAACCTAAGCCTTAGCATTAATCTGAACCTGAACCTGAACCTGAGCCTGTGTCTGAGCTTGAGCGTGAGCCTGAGCTTGAGCCTGAGCCTGAGCCTGAGCCTGAACCTGAGTATGAACCTAAGCCTGAGTTGGGCCGGAGTCTGAGTCCGAGTTTAAGCTTGAATTTGAGCCTTAGGGTAAGCTTGTCCCTGAGCTTGAGCTTGAGCCAGAGCCAGAGCCTGAGTTTCAGCCTTAACCTTAGTCTCTGTTTGTGTCTTAGGCGTAGCTATAGCCATAGTTCTCGACCTAGTTTTACAAAATACTAATTAGTTCCTTCCGTATATAAAATATTTTGTAAAAACGCTATTTACAGTTACTAACGCAAAATATTATATCCTCCAAAAAAGCTACAAACACATCACTTCCCCTTCCTATAACATATAACTTGCGTGTTTCATGGTATTTTACCGTCGTTTGCGTGTTTTACAAAAACTAATATTAAAACAACTTAAATATACGTGTTAAACAACTTTTAGTTTTAGGTATCCAAAGCTTATACCTTTATTTTTATGGTTGGTACCTTTAATATTATACATTACAGAAAAGCCTAACGTTACTGAGTAAGATTTTCACGTGTAAGAGCAATATCTTTACTATAAGTCTTACGTTCACTTTTAATTGTTATTTCTTGCACTTTTATAGCTTAGAATGACTAAAACCGTCATTTTCAAAGAATAGTTTTTGGTCTTTGAAATGACACATGTTAGTGTTATGTACATATCCTAAGGTAATATTGGCTTTCCTCGGTACTTGTTGCTAGTAATTAATTGAAAATGCTGCTTATTATGGCTTTGAAGGATTGATTTTAAAGTTCATGGCTAAAAAAACTGAAGTTTTAGGCTTAGTTTTGACTAAAAACGACGATTAATGCTTGATTGTCGGCCAAAAATTGATTCTTTTAGGCTTACAAGGACAGTACTCGACCTGCCCCGCTCTGATTGACTTCACACTTTTCATATAGAAAGATCATGTAAATATAAGATATCCAGAACAGTACTAAACCGCGCTTTCCAGCCATCCTCGAGAAAATCGAAATCGAAAAATTACACTTTGAATTTCTCGCCAAATTGGCATTGTGCTTCAAGCTTATAACTTTGCCATGTTTTGGCTTCTAATTATTTTTCTTTGGTATATTAGTAGAAAAGCTTTGACTGGGCCTTCATTTTTAAATTTGTAAGCTTAGCTTGTCTGAAAAGTCGAAAAAACTGGTTGCAATGCAATGCCAAATTTTCAAAATTGGCTGAAAGTTCAAAAATTTAAAAGTTAAAACTCAAAAGCGCATCCTGAAAGTTTTTATGGGTACTGTTGGTGGTACATAGATATCATACAAAAATTTTGAGCTGATTCCGAGCTCGGCAGGTTGGGTTTTTTCCTTGTATTATAAAAACTGGCGTTTAGGCTTAATTTTTGATCAAAAAACAATTTTTTAAATTTAAATTGCTATTTTTTCAATTTATTCAAAAAATGGTTACTAATGCTTTGTTAGAACTCTGAGCACGCTTGAACTTTGTTTTTACCACGGTTATTTTTGGAGCCGCATCATTTTATTGAATTTAAAATTATTTTGAAAAAACTGTTTTTTATCAATCAAGCATTGAGTTGGAAACATTTTTGTTTGCAGAATTATGATAATTAGCATTTAATTTTACGGATTTTAAGTCTGCAATATTGTGTTTGTCTTTAATATTGGTTATTTATAGACAACTGTATGTTTTAATGATTTTATTATGTTGGAAAATGAATTTTTAGCTAGAAATGGTTCTTTATAAAAGCTCAAATTTTAGGTTTATCCTTAGTCCTAGCATTAGTTTTGGTCTTGGCTTGTTTTGGCTTGACATGAGTTGCCCTGGCTTAGGCGTAGTCTAAGCTTAAGTCTGAGTTTGGGTCTAAGTCAGAACTCGAGTTTGAACTTGAGCCTGAGTTTGAGTCTAGAGTTTTAGCCCTAGTTTGAGCCGTAGATTTAGTCTGAGCTTGAGCCTGAGCCTGAGCCTAAGCCTGAGCCTGAGCCTGAGCCTGAGCCTGAGCCTGAGCCTGAGCCTGAGCCTGAGCCTGAGCCTGAGCCTGAGCTTGAGCCTGAGCCTGAGCCTGAGCCTGAACCTGAACCTGAACCTGAACGTCTGAGTTTGAGCTTGAGTCTGAACCTCAGCTTAAGCCTGAGCGTGAGCCTGAGTCGGAGATTGATATTGAAATTGAGCTTGAGCTTATGCTCGAATTTTAGCGTAGCCTTAGCCGTAGCCAAAAAACATTTTTTTATTAAAAAAATGAAATTTCTCTTTGATCTTGTCTTTACTATTCTGCTAATCAACTAAAACGTACTTTCTTTTTTTCACATACAATATGTGACAAAACATGTTATTTAATTATGTAGTTAAATCTGTTTTAGTGCACGAAGCCTGAGAATGTCTGTATTTTGGTTGTTTTCCTGTAATTAGGTATTATCATGAGACATGAAAGATTTACTGGACTGGTTAATCTTGAGCTCTGGGCTAGGGCTTTGGGCTAGGGCTCTGGGCTAGGGCCCTGGGCTAGAGCTCTAGGCTAGGGCTCTGGGCTAGGGCTTTGGGCTAGGGCTCTGGGCTAGGGCTCTGGGCTAGGGCTCTGGGATAGGGCTCTGGGATAGGGCTCTGGGATAGGGCTCTGGGCTAGGGCTAGGGCTAGGGCTAGGGCTAGGGCTAGGGCTAGGGCTAGGGCTAGGGCTAGGGCTAGGGCTAGGGCTAGGGCTAGGGCTAGGGCTAGGGCTAGGGCTAGGGCTAGGGCTAGGGCTAGGGCTAGGGCTAGGGCTAGGGCTAGGGCTAGGGCTAGGGCTAGGGCTAGGGCTAGGGCTAGGGCTAGGGCTCTGGGCTAGGGCTTTGGGCTAGGGCTCTAGGCTAGGGCTCTGGGCTAGGGCTAGGGCTAGGGCTAGGGCTAGGGCTAGGGCTCTGCTAGAGCCTTAGCTCAGAAAAGTTTTGTCATACTGAAGATACATGCTAAATGTATCTACAGTAAGACTCAACTTTTTAATTACAAAGTAACGTTCTATTCTCAGAATCTTACAGAAATAAAAGACCCATGATCAAACCTTATACTACCACAATACCCACGACCGTATGTGTATGTCCTTCTTCACCCTTCTCCCCTCTGACGTCTCAAAATGTCATTATAAGGCGAAGGAAAAGTGGATGAAACCCGTTACTAAGTGAGGACAATGCTTAATGGACATTGTAATAGGTTTATGGCTTTTGTGACATACGACAAATAGCTTTCGTCAAAATGTTTTTAAAAACAAAGAGGATTCTGAAGCCAAATGGGAGTTTGATAGGTTCCGGTTTCTCAGAAGACCCTGAGGTCAACATTCTGGTTTTTGAAATTTTGGTAATTGTTGCGTTAGTGGGTTGGTGTACGGTATGGTAAATAGTATGATAAATAACACTACGTAGAAAACAGTTTTAGAGTCAGTTGACAATGCCAGTTCAGAGTAGGGTTATAGTAAGGGTCGGTTGGTTAAAATAGGAGTAGGGCTGAGCTAAGACCTGATTTAAAGTAAGGTTGAAGATAATTAAGTTAGAGTTGGGTTAGAGTTATTCTAGGGATATGGTAAGGCAAGGGTATGGTTAGAGAAAGGCTTGACTACCGGTAAGTCACAGCTAGGCTGGGCTTGGTTAGGACTGTGGTAGGGAAAGGCAAAAGTATGGCCAGCGTAAGGCATGCATATAGTTAATTTAGAGCTAGACTGTCTTGATTAGGGCTATGCTAGAGCTAGAGTAAACATATAGTAGCAATAGGCTGGGATCAGAATAGTGTCGGCTAAAGCTTTTATCAGCTTGTCATAGAGCTAAAATAATAAGAATTTGGTAAAGCTTAGACAGGTTTTGGTTATTTTTAATGTTTTTTATGCTGTAAATAGTACACTATGCATATTTATAACCCTTGTTGTTGTTCTATCATAATATATAAATGTACTTTTATAACTTTAACTAGATACACACTTTCAATTCTTCTATTTTCTATTATGTACTAGCTTCAGTACCACACTATTATTTGACTGTAATCTCTATGAATCTTCTTGTTTTTTTAACCGTTTAAAGACACTGCTGTATAATATGTAACATTATGTCTAGTAACGTTATTTACAAAAGGAAATTGACTGAACTATATAGTAGTTTAGAAGATATTGTTAATTATACTAAGTAGTTTCGACATTTCATAAAAATGTGTCAGTTAGAGGGTCTTCCTCTAATTGTTAATTAAGAGGTATATCAAGATTTGAAAAATTGTTTTATAATTCGATTTAATGGTATTTACACAAAAGGCTTTAGCCTTAGCCTTAACTTAAGCTTTTGTTATATATATAGTTCTTGCCTTAGTCTTTGCTAAAATTAAAAAAAAATGTTTTTGTGCTTAATATGCTATTCTATTATACTTCAAATCGAAAAAACACCTGATTCACTCCCGTTTAATTACCATTTTACTATTTAAGGTATACTTATGCAGTATACTGTTCATTTTTCGAATACCGATCCCATTTCTTTGTGACTTTGAATTTGCAATTCAATGCACCAAACACATGTTATTTAAGTCTTCGATTGAAGGTTAATATTTTATGTTTTTAGTATCGTTCTGTTCGAGTATGCTAATCGAGTTTTGCAGTTTTTTTACAATATTATAGTTATGAACATAATGGGTTCAATTTTCTTGGTTTTCAGTTTGTCAATGGGCTTTTTACGCTACTTTCTTATTGTACAAGGTGCGCAAAAAGTTCTGTTACAAAATTTGCAAAGGTATTTACCCTATGCTCTTGTAACCTCATCCTAGTTATCATCATATCTTCTGATCATTCTAAGTTAGTATTTACCTTAGCCTTACTTTTCCTTGTCTTAATTTTCATTAGTGTATTTAACCTTGTGTACTATACCTTCCAAATTATCAAAAATGCCCTTTATTTGCTAAAATACAATGTCTTTTGTCTCTGATATTCTTTGTTTTCGTCTGATAGACAAAATGTACTTGAAGACGTAGCGGTTTCCGGTATTGTCACATGTCAGTCAATAATTAGTACCGGTTCATTAATATGCTGCTTATTTACTGTTATTCTTTGATGGAAATGTATGTTAGTTCTAGCTTTAGTTTTATTGTTAGTAATATACATATATTTATGTAGTTATAGTGTAGTAATAACCTATAAGTATCGTACTGCGGGTAAATACAGAACTTAAAAAAATGAAAAAAAGTTTTGTCGTAAATTAGTATTACTTTGCTGAAAAACGCCAAGACTTTTTTTTGACAAAGGTTTGTACTATAATAAATTAAAGGACACAATAAGTGCAATTTGCTACAGTAATTCATTACTTAATGATAAGGTTAATTTAATAGTGCAATGTAAAGACATATGACTATATTTACAAACAATAATATGACTGGTTTTCTGGTTTACGTAGTTAACAACTGTAGATATCAAGTATTATTTTAGTACTACTGTATTGTCGATTTAGGGCTATTTTTAAGCTTTATATAATTATATAAGCAATAGCAGAATAGTGTCATAACGTTATGTCAAGTATCTAGCTCTAACTCTAGCCTTAGCTCTAGCTCTGGCTCTGGCTCTAGCTCTAGCTCTGGCTCTAACTCTAGCCTTAGCTCTAGCTCTGGCTCTAGCTCTAGCTCTGGCTCTAGCTCTAGCTCTAGCTCTAGCTCTAGCTCTAGCTCTAGCTCTAGCTCTAGCTCTAGCTCTAGCTCTAGTTCTAGTTCTAGTTCTAGTTCTAGTTCTAGCTCTAGCTCTAGCTCTAGCCTTAGCTCTAGCTCTAGCTCTTTAAAGTCTGTAGCTACCAAGTATTATTTTTGCTTAAGCCCTGACTCTCGTTGCAACACTGGCTTTAGCGTTTGTTCTAGCCCTAGTTCTAACTCTATCTCTAAATTATGGTTTAAAACTTAACCTTTTATTGCATGTACTAATCTAAAAGTACATGCTACATTAACTTTTCTGCTTCTAAAATACATCCTTTACATAAGGCGTTAAGTTTCAAACAGCACATCCTTATGTGCGACATAAATCGTTCTACATCCTGTACTTTTAGCTATAACATTGAGTAACTTGGTAGCATTTACATATAAATTGGGCTGCTTCTTTGATTTTTATGTTTCTTTTATTTAGGTATTATATATAACGCTAGGTGTATATTTGTTTATGTGAAGTATCCGGCAGGTTATTTTAAACTATAATAAAAGAACGTGTGGTAAAAATTAAAAAAATTATTTTTTGAGATTTTTATGCTTTGTATATGAATTGTCCATCAATAACGTGTTCTTTCCTCGCTGCCAAACATTTGTTTTTCTGTATTCATATTATAATACATACAATATTCATGACTTGTTTTCGCCCGAAAACATTTTCGTATTTCGAATACAAAACTGTCATATTTGGTTGTGTTTTGGGATGGAAAGTCTTGGATTTGAGTTACGTTTTTGTGGGTTTAAACTGCAGTTTTTGAATTTTGTAGGAACGTCATATTGTAGTAGGTAGAATATTGTTGTAGGTTAAACTGACAGAGAAAATATCTAACCTGCTCCGCCCAGAATCAGCTCAAAACTTTTATATGAATTCTTTGTAGCACCAATAGTACAAAAAAAAGTTTAGCTTGCGCTTATGCTTTTTAATATTTAAATATTTGATTTTCCCGCTTACTTGCCAAATTTGGCATTGTGTTGCAGGCCTTTTTTCGATGTTCCAGATAAGAGGCAAACCTACAAATTTAAAATTCTATGTTCATTTAAAGGTATTCTACTAGTATATCGAAGAAAAATTATTAAAATTCAAAAAAATCACAAAGTTATAAGCTTGAAACACAATGCCAATTTGGCGGGAAATTCAAGACATAATGGTTTGATCTTGATTTCCTTAAGATTGACTGGAAAGCGCGGTTTAGTACTTTGCTCAAGATATTATATTTACATGATCTTTCTACAGTGGTCTTTCTGTATAGTGAAACATCTGTATAAGCAACTCTCCTTATAGTAAACAAGAAACATGGCCCCGTCAAATCAATTTACACTGAAAAGTCTCTCTATAAAGACAACACCCCATATAGTAAACACAAAATGTCGGTCCTTCGGGCTGCTTATATAGAGAGAGGAGTACTGTAAAGTTTGAAGTCAATCAGAGCGGGGCAGATCGGGCACTTTCCTTGTTAGTAAAATTTGATGTTTTGTCTTCATTTTACTGTAACTTTTTCAAATTTTTAACATTTTTTTGCATTTTTTGTATATTTTTTAATTCACCATAAGATTATCCGTATTTTACAATGTAAAACTCTTTCGAAATTACAAGTCTATAGCAAAAAAGCATGGTATTTCAGTTGTTTTTGCTTAAAAGTCTAGATTTATTTGTGGTTTCTTTGCAAAAAACTTCCTTAACTATTCGAAATTTGATTAATTTAGTTAGTCATGGCTATTGCTATATAGCTAATGTAATGTAAAACTGTTTTTTTTGAGTCATATACTTGCAGTCATAAAACAGTATTTTAATTTGGTCAATAAGTTCGTAGAATTTATGTAAAATCAACTTATTTTGATCAGAAAAGTCATTTTTTCAATCTTTTTTATTAGGTTTTTCAAATAATTCTGTGCTCCTTTCAAACCAAATTTTTAGAACCTAGAGGCACAGAATTATTTAAAAAAACCTAATATTTATAAAAAATTTTTAAGGTTTGTAAGAGCTGAACAATGAAAAGGCTTTGTAAACAAGAAATGCCAATACCTTGTGCATGTAGAAGGTGTGTTACCCTTTCCGTGCTCATTTCGTAACATATCATGCTAAATTCCATTGAAGAGTTTCGAGATCTCAAAGGTTGCATGTTGGGGAGCTTTTTGCTTTAATTTCCGGCTAATTTGCGGTCCAAAAGTAGCGTGTTTCGAGGCTTTAAAATAGCGCGGAATCGGTTACAAAACGGATATATTAACGTATACGTGTGCTATAAGGTACGATAACATGTTTACCACGTTTTAGGGTGGTAATTGTGATATAGGTAAAATAGTAGTTTTTATAAGAATAGGTAACATAACTCACATTAAGGCAGGTATGTACTGTAAATTCTTATTGAGTTCTTTGTGATGTTAGGATTATGTTACACCCACATATACATTTAGCATGGTAGATGATGGTTTGTTCTTTGAAGTCTATGTCTTTATTAGTTATAGCTGAAACTTATATTATAGGTTTTTTGGGTATAGAATTGTAATGTTAGTACCGTATAAAGTTTTCTACAGTACGATCTTGTAGGTAGAGTATGAATTAGAAAGTAAAGTATACTTTTGTAAGTACAGTATGTGCTGTTGAATACAGTATGATTTGTAAGTACAGCATAATTTTTTTGAGTACAAACTAGTTTTTTTAGATATAGTATGATCTTTTAAGTAGAGTATGCCCTTAATACAATATTACTTTTTTCTACAGTATGCTTTTGTAAAGACAGTATGAGCTAGCAAATTCACTATGCTTTTGAAAATACAGTATGGGTTTTTGAATACGGCATACTTTTGTAACTTAAGCATGTTGTTTTGAGTACAGTATGTTTTTTATGCTGTAATGATAAGTACGTACAGTATAGCACTATTGGTACAGTTTAGCCTTGCGATTGCTGTAGTAAAGTACGTACATTTGTGAGTAAAGTACTAAAGTACTACTTTTAAAAACTAAATGAAACATCCTACATAGTACTAAATCCTACCCTAATACTATAAAAACTACCACTTCCTTCTAAGCAAAGAATAAAACAATAACGACCATGTGTAATATAAATTTATGGCCGTAATGATCGTATCATTCTCGTTTTTCAACTTCCGATTGTAACATAAGTGTGTGGCCTCGGGCATTGTGTGGTCCCATGTTGTTAATCCCGGGCTTTACAACCATTTTGAAGGCATACACATATATATATATATATTGTTGTAATCGGGGGTAGTTTATTGAAGTTTATACTGCCCTGCCTTGACCTAGAGAAGCTTATAATAAATTGTTTAATTAATTCTGTGCCTCCTCTCAAAGCAAAGTTTCAGTGGTTGAGGCCCAGAATTATTTGAACTGGTGACTCTTATACCCTTGTTCAATTAATTATGTCTCATACCAAATTTTTAATTTTAGGGGCACAGAATTACATGAACAGCCTAATATAACCTTTTTAAGTTTAAAGGTTAATACGGCATCTGAAGTGTATGTTAGTTTAATACTAAGATTGGGTGACCATACGCAAGGCTTAGAAGGAACAGAGGAAGTAAGGTACTGGGCAAGGCTTAGAAGGTACGGGCAAAACCTTGAAGTGGCAGGGAAAGCAGGATAGGGCAGTGATTTTAGTTAAAAAACTTATTTTTTGAGGGTTTTTTGAGATTTTTTACACTTTTTTTAATTTTTTTATCTATTACTCAATAAAGTTGTGCCATATACCAATATAACTTTTACCAAAGTAAAAACATAGGTTTTTACTACATATTCACCAAGTTTCATAATTTTTCCATTGTTCAAAAAAGAATGGCAGAGCTTTGAAGTCTAACCTCTCATACCTCACTTTTCCAAACCATAGCCTTTTTATTCTTCTTTTAAGCTCTATAAACTTATTGACCGCTTTCAATTTTTTTAAAATCTTATCAACGTATACCTATTTACAATAACATTATAAAATTTCTTAAAATTGTGCCAAAACAAGCGAATTATATGTAGTTTTGTTATAATTTCCTGTCTGGCAAAGTTAATTTGGAAAATGTCATAAAGTGGGGGTTTTATCGCCTACGGCTGTAAATTTGATTACATTATGTTAGAAGGTTGTAAATGACAGTCAATTCACATTTTTAATTTATTTTACATTACTTTACAAAACCCTGCCCTGCCCTTACCCTACCTTACTTTACCCTACGTTGCCTTGCCGTTGCCTTGTCCTGCCTTTGCCCTGCCCTGCCCTGCCCTGCCCTGCCCTGCCCTGCCCTGCCCTGCCCTGCCCTGCCCTGCCCTGCCCTGCCCTGCCCTTCCCTGCCCTGCACCGCCCTTAAAAAATATTTTTTAAAATATTTTTTGAAAGTTACAGTATCTCCGCGAATTATTTTACAGTATTTGCACGATATGCCGACCTTATATTACAGTAACCCTGTAGTACTATTCTTAATTTTATTCTTTCTAGAATAATCTGAACTTATTCTTAGACCTTACTACCTACCTAACTCCAAACATCATGTGTTATTAACTAATTTATTTTAACTTATTACCTTGTTTACTATCAAGTCGAACCCTATATATAAAGTATGGAAACTGTTGACATTCTCAACGACCAGCTAGTCACAATGGAACCAATGATCCTTATGGAACACCGACACAACCTGTCAGCTAGGGAGTGCTCTAATAAAGGCATAGTAAGTATTAAGGTGGGGTGCGGTATTTTTATATTATTTTTTTTAATGAAACAAAAGAAAAAAGTTAAGCTTACAGTAGTTTTGCGTTATAATTACAGCAAGGCAGGGTAGAATGAGGTAGGGTGATCACACAATTTTAGTCAAGGCAGGATAATGACTAGGGCTGGCGTTAGGATTGAAAGAAGGTTTAGATATTTTGATAAGGTAGGGTATGGTAAGGTAGGTAGGGTAGGGTAGGGTAGGGTAGAGTAGGGTAGGGTAAGGTAGGGTAGAGTAGGGTAGGGTAGGGTAGGGTAGGGTAGGGTAGGGTAGGGTAGGATAGGGTAGGGTAGGGTAGGGTAGGGTAGGGTAGGGTAGGGTAGGGTAGGGTAGGGTAGGGTAGGGTAGGGTAGGGTAGGGTAGGGTAGGGTAGGGTAGGGTAGGGTAGGGTAGGGTAGGGTAGGGTAGGGTAGGGTAAGGCAAACATGGGAAACGGAATATTAAGCCCGGCCCGATTTAAGTTTAGCTCGGGTCAGGCCCGAATTTTTTTTGTGGTGCTTTTTGGGCTATCGGGATTCCCACTGCTTGGGCCGACCTAAATTTTACTTAGGGACGGTCTTTTTCTCATATCTATTCAAGGGTCGGCATATTTTTTATAATTCAAAAAAAATTTTTAAAATTAGCATAATTTATAGAAATTTTATTAAAAGTGCAAAAATAGCAAAAAACTGTGACCCTAAAAGACTGAAAGACTGAAGGAACGTTCGGAATAAAAATGAACGTTAAATTTTATGTTACATTTGCTTTTTCATAGGTTTGACACGTCCATTTTCATTTTGCTTTTTGCATATCAAATTGAAAGGCCAAAGGTTAAAAACTGTCAATTTTTATATTTTTTTTGTTGGCAGCTTGAGCATAGCTCAACTGCTTATATTGTAGTAGTTTTACCTTACATTTTAAAAATTATTTTAATTCTTCTTACCTAAATCTTAAAAATAAGCAAAATTTTTACTTTGAATGGGACTACTGGTAACTGTATTATCTTTGTAGGTTCAAATTCTTAATTTGTAATTTTGAGGGACAAGTTATACGATGAAACATGCAAAAGACAATACTTTATATTCGTTTTTTATTGTATATTTTGCCACTTTTGAAAAGTTAAAATTTTTTTTTGTTTTTTTTAAATTGATTTTTTATTTTTTTCAAGTTTTTAAACAAATTTTGATATTTTTTATAAGGGGTACATGTATTGATGAAATTGATCCAGACACATTTATCGTATAACTTGACGTTTTTAAAAAAGATACGGGCAATATATGATAAAATAGGTTGAAATAGGCGTATTTTATCTTGTAAATTAACAATAGCTCAAAAATTTGCTTCCAGCGACAAGTTATACGATAAAATGTATACTATGCTTTTGTTTCGTATAACTTGTCTCTTTTACTGTATCTTGCTAAACTTAATATGACCAGCCTAGAAATTATTTTTTGACATATAATAACATTAAAAAAATTATGAAAGTTTAAAAACTAATAATCATATCATGTTTTAGGAAATGCGGGCCCAACAAATGAATATATACCTCATGGCCATCTTCTACACTACAGTATTTCTAGTATCCTTTATCGGCAATGCCACAGTAGTCTACGTGATGGTGATAAGAGCCAAGACAACAAACGTGATGAACTTGCTGATAACAAATCTAGCAGTATCAGACTTTTTGGTATGTATAACATCACTATGGTTAACACCCTTGTATTGGTACACTGGTCAGTGGATGTGGGGTACTACTATGTGCCATTTCTTTCCTCTCTTCCAAGGATTGAGTATTTGTAACAGTTCGATGACATTATTGGTGATAGCTGTTGACAGGTACATTGTGGTATGCAAGAATCAGGATAGTTGGTATAAGGCCTTCAATTTGACTACTAAAGTAAGTTTTTTATCAAATTAATATGTAAAATACGGTTTGTGTTAAAATTTTTACAAATTTTTCTTTTTTTTGAACTTAAAATGTAATTTTTCGCTATAAAAACAGATTGAAACAGAATTCCAACTTTGGCGGGATTTTGAAAATTCAAACTTTAAGATTCAAAAAAGTCTGAAAAACCCTTAAAATAATTAATTCCAGTAATTTGTGATCTTAAAATTTTTTTTACTTACAAAAAAATGCTTAAAACAGATCCCAAACAGTATAAATTTTGGCGGGATTTTGAAAATTCAGTTGTTTAAATTTACTAAATTTTTATAATTATGAAGCAAATGTCGTATTTTACAATAATTCTTAAAACAAAATTTTTCAGAACTGTAAACTAGTGATAGTATTCATCTGGTCGATAGCTATAACACTGGTAATGCCATATGCTTTGAATATGAATTTACGGAAATCGACCAATGTCTGTGGTCATTACAAGTGTATAGAGAACTGGTCGACAAGTAATACGAAGACTGTTTATGGACTCATTGTTACTATGTTTCAGGTAAGATTTTGTTATTTTAATTTTTTATGGAGGTTTAAAGAGAAAGGGGTTTGCAGGCCGCGGATGTGTAGGGCGCAAAGCGCAAGTTTCCTTTAGAGGTTTTTGGGTCTTTTTTTATAAAAAACCTTTTAAATTTTTATATTTAAAACAATTTAAAATAAAAAAGCGAAATTTAGAGTTAGTGTTAATAATGTCATTTTTCAAAAATTAATTTTTTTGTAATATTAATTTTTCAGTTCGTAATCCCAATGATATTCATTGGCTTCAGCTACCTAAAAATCTTCATGTTTTTGCAACGACAATGTCAAGAAAGCAACAATCGGTTGCGGGTTGTTAGCAACAAAAAGAACGCTTTGTTCCGAATGTTATTCGTCATGGTTGTTGCTTTCGCCGTATGTTGGCTGCCAGTCAATATATTGTAAGTTTACTGCCTTGCCCTAACTTATCCTATCTTACTTTCTTTGCCTTGCATTGCCTTGCATTGCCTTGCCTTGCCTTGCCTTGCCTTGCCTTGCCTTGCCTTGCCTTGCCTTGCCTTGCCTTGCCTTGCCTTGCCTTGCCTTGCCTTGCCTTGCCTTGCCTTGCCTTGCCTTGCCTTGCCTTGCCTTGCCTTGCCTTGCCTTGCCTTGCCTTGCCTTGCCCTGCCTTGTCTTGCCTTGTCTTGCCCTAGCCTACCCTACTCATCCCTACTCTGTCCTATCTTAACCTACCTTAGCTCATCCTGTCCTACCGTACCTCATCTTACTCTACCTTACTCTACTGTATACCTACTTACTAAAAAAAATTACTGTACTCTTCTAACTCTTATTTGTAAAGCAAAACCTTAAATTTCAGAAACGTAATGCGTGACATTCGCCTGGACAGCCAACTACTAGGCCGTCAGTTTGGTATCTGGTTCATGCGAGCTCATATGTTATCCATGACTGGAGTGATGGTCAACCCTCTGATCTACGCCTTCATGAATCACAACTTCCGTGACGAATTCTGTCGAGTTTTCCCTATCAGAGTGTTCGTATCGTTACCTAAAAGGATCTGGCGTCAGCCGAAGAAAGAAGCCCAACTCTTCAACAGCGATGCTAATACGACCGGTCTTCTGAACAACAACAAGCCCATGGAACGGTCGAGTACAAAGAATCGTGCTCTGTTCAGCTACTATGACGATGACGAGCCGTTTGATGACTTGGGTCGTGACGATGGCTTCTGGACAGACGAGGAGGAATCGCCGAAGAAAGCGGCCAATGGGATTCCATTGAACACGTCGAGGAGGAAACGTTCACGGTACAGTGAGAGGACAATGGAGGAACGGTACAGTGAGAAGACGATGGATGAACGGTATAGTCAAAGGACGATGGACTTGACAACATCGACCAGTTGTTGTAGTAGCTGTCATAAGAATGATGAACCGTATGGTACGAAGAGTGGCTGTGAGACAATGAGAAGTGATGTGATTGATACTGATAGGGACACCTTGGTTAGTGCTATCAAGACTACTCCACCTACTTGGAATGAGAATGGAACTACTGTGATCTTGGTTAGTTCAGGTGAGTTTTTGATGAAATACAATGCCAAAATGGCGGAAAGTTTTAAAAAATTTTTTTAAATTTTTGAAATATTTTGATCTCAGACACTTTTTTATCGTATAACTTGTCCACTTTTTAACAAAAAAATAAAAATTTTCAAAATTTAAAAAATATGACTTCAAATTTTATAAAAACATAATTTTAGACCCAAAAGGAACATCAGAAGAGCCACTATCAATTAGAAGAACATTGGATTTGAATTTAAGTACCAATACCAATCAGAATCATAATCATGTTGCTGAATTCGACGCTCATACGGATGTTCAGCTATGAACATATATGTGAAGCAACTCTTGAAGGGCTCTTTGAAGGCTCTTGGTTGCCAAATATCTATTCTATATTTAGTTCTTGCTTATGTTATAATAATATACAGTTTTAAACAAAGTGTCCTAGGGCTTTGGAGCTGTCTCTGGCTCTAGCTCCGGGACAGCTCCGGCTCCGGAGTTAAAATTTAAAAATCGGAGCCGGAGCTGGAGTTCGCGCCAGAAGTTTTAAAGTTGGGAACTCTGATTTTAAATCCTACTTTTTTAATTTTTAAAATTCAAATTGTAATTTACAGTCAATTGCATTATTATTCCGGGTTTCATAGCCAAAGTCCATAATTTTTTCAAAAAAATATATTTTTAATTGATCAAAGTCAAGGTTTTGAACAAAAATTAATCTCTATCTACCAATATTATACAGATTAGATTGTTCAAATAATTCTGTGCCCCCTACTTCAAAAGTTTGCTTTGAAAGGGGGCACATAATTGTTTGAACAATATAATATTTTAATGTTATTTGAAAACTTTTTTTTATTATAACAGAAAACAAAAAGGCTCCGAAGCAAGCATATTTGAATTGAATCAAGCTTCAATCTTCCTACTCTAACTTATCCTACCCTTCTTTTACATACTTTTTAAAACTGTGATCAAATCTCCTAAGCTAGTCATTTCCACTTACTCAAACTTCTATTGGCATTTGACATATTGAATTTTTTATTTTTCTATTTATTACTGTTCAGAACCTTATTTTAGTCTTTTTTTTATTTGATAAAGATGTTATTGTAATTTTTAAATCACTTAATTTCTACAAACCTTTACTTATTTACATTGTGTCCGCTCAATATTACAGGCATTGTCAAAAAAATGATTATCAGTAAACATAATAAATTGTAAATTTAAGAAGAAAAGTCATATATATATATATGTATCGAGTAGCAGTTTGAATAAAGTGGCTCCGCCCACCATCTAGATCGCGAAGCGATCTGACTTCACATTCAGTTTTGGAACGCGACGACCCAGCAAGAGGTCGTCCCAAAGCTCAGCCAAAAGGACGACCTGGCAATAGGTCGTTCCTAAATCTCAAGCCATCTAACAAGGCAGCCTGACAGTAGGCTGTCTTGTATCATCAATGTCTTATCCCATATATATGCATATTATATGAAAGATAAATAAATAGTTTGGGCCCTATAATTTAGGAATATAGATTACAATTATCGAAAAAGACCGTATTTTACCTGCATATATTTGCTGACATTATCTACCGTCAAAAACGTATAAACAACTACAATACAACCATAATACTCAGAGCTCACGTTAGTACAGTGGTCTCTCTCTCTATATATTGAACCATTTGAATAAGCAACTCTCCTCATAGTAAACAAGAATTTAGCCACGCCAAATTAATTTGCACTAAAAGGTCTCTCAGTAAACCTAGCGGCCAGCTATTTTTTGTCACCCTAACTGTCTTTTCTCCCACAGCCCAAGGGGACACACAGCCAAGAAGAAGAAATCACGGCCGATCGAAGCTCGCGCGATAATATTACGGACGGGCTATTGAGGGCGGCTAAAATAAAGCTAGCATGCGCGGCGGAAGTTGAATAATAAGCTAACAAGGCCGGCAAGATCGAACGATGAAGCGAGCAAGGCGGCAGAGAATAATTAGCTAGCCCCGGCACCTCCAAAAATGCAAAAACGAATCAGAAAAACAATGAAAAATTAAGGGCTGATTTAAATGTTTTCTTAAAGTTTTATTAAAATGACAGAACAAAAATGTAAGCAAATTCTAATTTTTCCGAGTTAAAAAACAAAAAAAATTGGCTTATCAGAACATTATTACTAAAAATAAGACCTGGTCCTTAACAGTTTGTAAAACAAAAGGGGTGTAAAGGTAGAAAATATAATATTTATACCGGTAGCGTAAAAACCTTGTATAAAAATTCCAAGCTTTCCAAACCCCAAAAGAACTCTCTAAAATGTGCAAAAAGAAAGGAAACCAAACGTACAAAAGGGAGTCAGAAGAAGTCGTGAAGGCTAGAAGCCGAAGGAGCATAATATCATATTGTAAAATGTAACGTAAATTTCCCCAAATCTCATAGTACTGTCAGTTAAAAAAGTATAATATCAACTCTGCCATGAATAAAAATTATGCTGTAAAATATATAAAGATGTCAAACATTTCAAACCCCAAAAGAAATCGTCAAAAACATGAAGATCTGATGGAAAAATTCTTAAAGTAATAAAGAAAAGAACAAAAAGTGTCAAAATGAGCAAAGTATAACGAAAAAATGTTGGGTAGAATGTTGAAAATCAATACAGAAACATGTAGCTCTTCAAAATATAATACTGTTAAAAGGTAAGGTAAGAAAATAAAACACGTGTACCGATATTGTAAAAATTTTGTTCATAAGCTATAAAGCTCCCATGCTTTCCAAAGCTCGAAACAATCCTTTAAAAAAACTAAAACATGATGTTACAAAAGTTAAAAGTTAAATTATTATTCATAAAATGGTATACATAGGTGTCATTGTTCAGATAAAGCTGTTTAAAATCAAAAAAATTACAGTAAGACAAAAATCTTTGATAAAAATAGCAAGTATGACACATATTGTTACAGTAAACGTCATAAAAAGATTATGTTTTAAAAACAAGATAAAGATCATGTCACCGGATTGTCAGACCTTAGGATCTACATAAAAAACAAAGATGGAAACACCTTTGGGCCGCCTTATAGAAAGCTACATAGGTCGTCCAGATCATTATTCCTGTAAAACACGCGGATAGACGGTGCGTCAGGTAAGAGATAATGAAGATGGGGGGGGGGGTTTTTTATGTGTTTATAACTGTTGTGAAATTTTAATAATTTGACTTATAACTTAGTTTCTTTTAACCTGATAAATTGCGGAAGAAATAATGGATCAACTGTCTACGAAGGAAGAAATACTAACGGAAGGACGTAAACGATGTATCACTGTGTTGGTCGTATCCTCGATCCCAAGTGTCCATGGAAAGCTGCAAAGAACAACAAGTATGATCCACGGCGCCGATCTATTTGTGATGCGTTGCACTGCTTTTAACCACAACTCACGTGTTTTGGCATCAGTAGCAGGACAAAAAGTAGGTTTAAAGTATGTTACAGAATTTGGAGATATAAGAGACAATTTCTGGTTTTTATCAAAGTAGTGACTTGCGATGCATAATAGAACAAAAAAAAACTTAAGTTAACCATTATTTTAATGCACTAGGGCATAAGTTTAATTTTACAAAGACTGCAAATACAAAAAAAACCGCGAATGAATGTGCAAAACTGTTCGCCTAGTAAACCCCTCTTTTCTTCGCTTATGAAGTAGTGAAAAAATTAATGCGCCTGTTAGACATCCTGGTAGCTATGTTTTAATTTTTCAATGTTTCATAGGTAAGTTCTGTTATTCAAAAACGCCTGTTTCAGATAAATTGAGCTATTTTTTTACTAAATTAAGTAAAGCGGGACCAGGTCTCTTTCGAGCCATCGTGATTTTTTTTTGGCCAGAGCTGTGTGTCCCCTCGGGCTGTGGGAGAAAAGACAGTTAGGGTGACAAAAAATAGCTGGCCCCTAGGTTAGCTATTTTTTGCCGCCCTAACTGTCTATTTTCCCGCCGCCCTAGGGGACACATAACTCTCTAGTACACACAAAGTGTACGTCCTTTCGGGTTGCTTATATAGAGAGAGTACTGTATATGACAATTCAGAGCTCAAGTGTAATATACTAACTAGGGAATTGAACCAAATACCATCGGTTTTTGGTAAGTGACATATATAATATAAAAAAACATAAAAAATTACCAAAAAACATTTTTAAAAATTCTTAAATGGCCTTGGCTAGCGAGTTACAGTATGCTATATATTCTTATATGCTTAAAAAGTTTAGCTATAAAATTCGAAAAACAATATTTTTAGCAAATATTTTTTTCTGAAATTAACTAAAAGCAAAAAATTTTTAAATCAAAATAACGTTTGGCTAGCCAAAACTTTTTGGGCAAAACGCCAAAATAAAATCTGCAGTATTTAAACATGCCACCTTCTGCACACCAACCTAAACTCTTACCCACTCAAACACACTGGACTGACGTTCCAATAACAACCCTCTTCCAATTGTAATATACAGTTTTATTACGTGTTCTAACAATAATTTATTGCACATCTTTCCCAATCTTAACGGTATAAAATTAGCTCAACTAGTGAAAAAGCAAAACAACTATCATTACAAAAAGACATAACAAATACCTAATTAATAATTTAAAAACCATCTACCAACTATAATCTAATCAACACCTAGTTGAAGACACCTCCTCCTCCTTAAGCTCACTATCATCTCCCTTCTCATTATCGACCAGTCGTTTCCCAAAAACAGCAAATGGAACAAACAACAGTGCCAAGATAGCAAAGTAACCACTGTAAACGTAAAACTGTGTCACAATTGGCAAGTGTAGTCCTCGCTTATCAGCTACAGTAAATGTCAGTCCCGTCTGTAGTATTAGTGCTACAAACGTGTTGAAACCAAAGATAAGAGAGTACTTTGAAGAATGTAGTTGAGCAGCTATCGTATTACTAGCAGCTGCTATTAGAACATGGTATAGGGTAAGGTTGAAGATGTAGAAGAAATAAGAGAACCAAATAATTTGAATTGATGCCATGCCTGCTAGGAGAATAGCAGAGAAGATGGAAGTGCTGAGGAATACAGTAGAAGAGTGCTTTTTGAAGTCAAATGAAGTGTACTGTAAGCCAAAGGTTAGGAGAGTGCCTGAAAAACAAATTTTACGGTCATACCTTACCGTACCACAAATTTTACGGTCATACCTTACCGGTACCTTGAATTGACTAGACATGACTTACCCTACCCTACCCTCCTTACCCTACCCTACCCTACTTTACCCTACCCTACCCTACCCTATCCTACCCTACCCTGTCCTACCCTACCCTATCCTACCCTATCCTACCCTACCCTACCTTACCTTACCCTACGCTGCCCTGCATATCCTTGCCTTGCCCTGCAATGCCCTTCTCTTTAACATTGCTTTAGTACCACCCGACCCTATCTTACGTTAACCACTTTTTACCTACCCTACCTTAATATAGTCAAGCTTAGTACTACCCTACCGTTATATCTTTCCTTATTTTTAAAAATACCCACGCCCGCTTTCTAAACTTATCACAAAAGTTAGTTTAACCTTTTGAAACATACACATTGTCCATCAACCCCAACGCCCAATGCTAGCCGTTATTCTACCCTGCCTTAAATATAAGTATGTCCTTCCACGTCAACCCCCCTTTCCTTCCAAGTAAAAAATCAATTTTAGGTTTTTACCTACTCTACCCTACTTTAACCATTGTTTCCTACCCTACCTTACCTCACTTAAAATTTAAAAAAAAATCAAATTCTTCCCAAAACCTTAACAAATACCTACTAGAAAGAGTAGTGACACATTCCATCAAACCGTTCCCCATGAACTGGCCATCCTTTTGCATTGGTGCCCACAGACTTTGTGAGTAATTCTGGACCTGGAACATGCCACACGAGGCTAAAGCCCACCAAATCGACCAAGACAAAACGGTCGGGTCACGGAAGGCTTCGAGCAATTCACTGATCAAGTTGGTACTGATTCGAGGTACTGTATTTTGAGTACGAGCTTCGTGAAAGTCGGCATCGTTGGGATGCACAGAATCTGCGATTCTGGTGTTATCTGGAGTTTTGTGGAACTGTAGAAAGAGAGAGATGATTAGGGTTACTGTAACTGAGCCTAAGGTGATCTGAAAAAATTATATTTGAAATTTTTTTTAAATTTTAAAAATAAAAAAAATTCTTAATTTGTACTACCGTTGTCTATGTCAAGAGAATACTGTATTTAAAAAACGAACTTTCGTATTTTACCTGATTAAGAAGTAGATAAGATCCTATTTCCAATGATACAATAGTTTGTGCTACCGTATAACCAAAAAACTTCCCCAACATAACAGCACTTCGTATGTAGGCAGTGACCTTCTTAAAGTTGCGTTTGTCCACAACTGCATATAAATATGAGTAATATGCTATTTCAGCCGATGTTGCCAGACCTAAACTGACATTTTCTTATTAAAAAAGTTCGAAAATTTATAGTAGGGTACAGAAGATAGTATGATAAAGCAAAAGAATATACAGTAAAAAATAGTAAAATAGAGCAAAGCACAGTAGAATAGTAAGCTAACGTAAATAATAGTTTTTAAAGTGATAGGGTTAAGTAGGGTAGAATAACTTAAACTATGGGGTGAGATATAGCAGGCAAAACAGAGCATGGCAGTGTAGGATAAAATAAAGTAGGTAAAGTAAGACAGAGTACGGCAGAGTAAAGTAAAGTAGGATAGAGCAAGATAAGATAAGGTACGGTAGACTAAGGTAGAATAAGATAGGATAGGGTAGAGGTAAAACAATACAGGGTAGCGTAGATAGGGTAAAGTAGAGTAGAGTAGGGTAGGGTAGGGTAGGGTAGGGTAGGGTAGGGTAGGGTAGGGTAGGGTAGGGTAGGGTAGGGTAGGGTAGGGTAGGGTAGGGTAGGGTAGGGTAGGGTAGGGTAGGGTAAGGTAGGGTAGGGTAGGGTAGGGTAGAGCAGAGTAGAGTAGGGTAGGGTAGGGTAGGATAGGGTAAGGTAGGGTAGAGTAGGGTAGGGTAGGGTAGGGTAAGGTAGGGTAAGGTATAGTAAAGTAGAGTGAGGTAGGGTAAGGTAGAATCGAGTAGAATAGGGTGAAATAGCAATATAAAAATAGCAAAATACGCAGTCTGACACTTAAAAATAAAACCTAAACATACCAAAGGCAATTTGCATGATTTGCATTTGCCAAACTGTATTTCCAAACACCAGTAGTGCCCATGTTGTTGTAAGAGCAGCAGCTTCTATCACAACCACCGGCTTGTACTTCAAGAGATCTGTGATGATAAATATTGGAATCTGAAGGTAAAATACGAATTTTGCAAAACGTTGCAACCAAATTTTAATTTCTAAAAGTATTTTGTAGTTAAATATCATAGACAAAAAACAGTTTACACTTAAATTCCTAAAAACATGATAGGAAGAACTACAATCTACCCTACCCTACTCTATCCTACCCTACCCTACCTCTTCATGTACCAACTCACCAAGAAAACCAAGTAAGAATAGGTCCAATAAGGGTAGACTTGGCCATAAAGCTCTTCGTTTGTCAAGTTTTTGTCAGGTCCTTCCAAGAATGGCGTTAGGAAGGGCGTTGACGGCCTAAACTCTTTCAGAATTCCGTATAGTACTACCAGTACCACTGTTAAAGTCCTACTGTCCGCCATAAACCTAAAATTTTAATTCTTAAAAACATTAGTAACTACGAAGATTTAAAACATAATAGGTACAGTATAATATATTACTTTGCCAAGATCTAATCCACTCTGTATACGTTACCCTACTATAACATTATATCCTGCTCCATATAAATTAGCATACTTTCCCTTGTCCTACCTGTCTCTACACTACCTTACTCTACTGTATTTTACTCAACTATAACCTACCTCGCCCTATCCTACCCTATCTTACTCTACTCTATCCTCCCCTACCCTATTCTCCCCTACTCTATCACACTCAACTCTACCCCTTTTCCTACCCTTGCTCTACCCTTGTCCTTAGCTTTTCCTACAGTTGCACTACCCTTGCCCTACTTTGTTCTACTTCGCTTTACCTTACCCTACACTAATTTTAAAACATTTAAAATTAATAATTTTATTAAAAACCTTATCATTGAAACAAAATACTCTTTTTATAAACAAATTTAATCTCTACTTACAAGAAAAATCAAAAAACGTTATGAAAACAGAAAAAAGTCCAATAATTCAACGGAAAATGCCCAGAGATCTGCTGTTCCCCTACCCTTTTCTCTCCTATCTATTCTGTTTTGACACTACAAACTTGAAATCAAAAAGTATAAGGCTCAAAAAGATAATATAAAATATACTAAAAAGAGGCGCAGAATTTATTGAACCAAACAGATAAAAGAATCAACAGCTTAACCTAGAAATGGCAACAAAGTTTAAAAAAGCCCAGTCTAGAAATTTAAAAAAATTTTATAAAAAGGTCAATCAAAAAATGGCAAAAAAGTCTATGAACCTCCAGTATGAAAAATGTTACAGTAACTAGATTTTATCACTTTATTTAATCATTTTAAGAATTTTTACATACCACAAACATATGGCTTTAAAAAATCAATTTTGAGGCTTATCATACAATAAATTTTCAAAAAAAAATGTTTAAAAATGGCATTATTAAAACATAATGACTATAAAAAACTTCACGTTATGACAGAAAAACATATGTATAACAATATATGGCAAAGTACAAAAACAAAGATATATTTTATAAACCAAAACTTTATAAATTGCTTTACAATTCACAAGACACACATCATTATAACCAGATATTACATTTAGAATGCCAAAACTCGACCTTAAGATAAGATATTAAGAACGACCAAAGATATTATTACATAGAAAGCCTACAGATGCTCATATTGGGTTGTTCAAATAATTCTGCGCCTCCTAACTCCGCAAATTTGCTTTAAAAAAGGCACAGAATTATTTGAACAACTTATTATAAGCAAATCATGATAAGGCCAATAATATTAACCATAGTCATTCATTTACAATAAAAACCACCATATATACAAAACATTACTCTGCAGTAAATATCTTACTCCACAGTAAATATCAATACCAAACAAATAGCCAATCCTTCGATATTCCAGATATTCCAAACAATATTATCCATACAAATACCTCGTCCAATAAAAATCTTGTTTAATGTCTACATGAGTCGACAAAATAACATTAAATTATGCAGTAATAACCACGGTAAAAATCTGTTATGTACATCTACTGCTGAGTGCTCTTCCATTGTTTGGCCAGACTCTTTTTGCTCGAGTTTTGAGAGATTGTGCCATTCGAAATGCTCGTCCGTTTCGATCTAAAGCCTCTGACTGGGTCTTGATCAAGACTGGTCGATGAGTTTGGGGTTGAGAGTTGAGGGGCTACTTCTGAAATGGGGAAAACTGTATATGACGCTGTAAAATTTCTTGATTGAACACATCATATATATATACTGTGTTAATAAAACATATTTTTGTAATACAAACTTCAAAGCTAATCAAAAACCCACTGTTAACAGCCAACGGCGTCCTCATTTCCTTGCCTTTCTGTCCCACCGGTAGACTATTCCTCTTTACCACATCCTCCAACTCCACCAGCACTTCGCACAAATGTTGTCCCATCTTCTTCAGATCCTGAATGCCAATCTGTTTCGATTGTAGTGGGCCTTGGTCAAATCCACAATAAGTTGACTCCATAGTATAGCATCGATCCAGGCCAAACTGTCTCCATAGAGCGATTCTGGCTGATGATTCCTTGGCTTTTGTTATTGAATAGCGACAGTCTTTTAGGGAGAAGCCATCAGCATGTTTGTCCAGTAGTTCTGGGAGGGTTTGGAACTGATGTTGAGGCATTAGACGGTCGGCTTTGCGCCATGATTCCTCTGGATTGTTGCCGTAACAGAAGACGTTCGACTTTCTGGAATGACCGTGGAGGTCGACAAAACACAGAGGGGTCTTTTTGAGGACATCGACCTAAAAGTAATGATATTAACGTTAAAAAATGACATTTTTATTTTCCCAATTTTTTTATAATTTTTGAAAAAAAATATTTTAGCTTGATCCCCCTTATAAACTTTACTTTTTCCCAAATAAAAAATCATTTTTAAGCCCAAAAACCTTTTATATTACCCTACCATATACTGCAGCACCCCCTTAGCATGATAAATCGTGGGATGCTTATGTTCCGTCGGATTGTCCCAGCATCGATTCAGATCCACGCCAGCCAAACTGCATCGATGAGAGCCATTAATCACCCCATCCGGGTTTAGCATTGGCACAATTTTGAAAACGAATTTTTCTCTCAATACTTGAGCTTCTGGTGCCATTAGCTTCTTCAGAATGCCGTGCATCGTCCAGCTTGCATTCGATTCGCCTGGATGTACTCTTGAGGTGAATACTACAAACTTTCGCTGCTTTAGTACTTCTGGTTCGGCTGGTGCTGTGATTGTTAAGATGTTGACTGGATTACCGGCTAATGTTGTTGTGAGACGATCAGACCGTACGTAGATAGAGTTTGAATTGACTTCTGATAGATGGCGTTCTAGGGTTGCTTGAAGGTATGAATATGTGTATGGGAAGTGATATGCAATGTAGCAGACGTCGGCTGCGTGACGGAATCGGATTGAGAAGCGAATGGAAAAGTAACTTCTAAAAATAAAAAAAAATTTAATTTCAAAAATTTAAACTTTAAAATTACCCAATCATACTCTACACTACCCAAAAATATCCTTCCCTACCCAATCTCACCCTACCCCGCCCAAACCCCAAACCTGCTTACTTGTTCTCCTTGTCGCACTCCTTTCCCTTCTTGTTATTCTCAGACAACGTTCTTCTTCTTGTAGTCGTCTTCTCGGTCTCGCTTCCACTACTCGACGAGCCATTAGTTGGTGGTACGTACAAGTTGCGATAGTAACATACAGCTTGGCCACATCTTACCCAGCCTGGACGTCCTTGTTGGGCTTCAGCAACTGAAAACATAACCGGCTGCATTCCTTTTGAGAACATTGATGTGTTCTTCAGGCAGTTTATCACTTCGAACGTGTATGGGACATTGGCTTGATTGTTTGATACCTAAAATTAGTTTTTTTTTAAATTTTAAGTACATTGTATACCATGTTGTTACCTAAAAATTCTTTTTATCTTTCTTTTCTCCTGAAAAACCTCATTTTAAAAGCAATTGTTACCTAAAACCCTTCTATCCAACCCCTTACCTCAAAATAGAACCACTGATAATGTGATCGCATTTCGTTGATATCCGGCGACAAAACCAGCTCGTAGTGATTCTCAGATACTTGGATTGCTTGTCTTAGATTGCCAGATTCGAATCTTGATTCAAATTTCAAATTCTTGGTTGATGGGTCCAGCTTTCCCACTTTTTCCGCATCATTGTTACTTAAAGGCATTTTGGCAGTAGGTTTCGAATGTAATTCATCGAGATCAAACACGACATTGGGTTTGTTGGCTTCGTTCGACTGTTGGCGGAGTTTTGTCAGTTTTTGCATTACGGTCTCGCTGAAAATTCAAATATAAAAAACAATATCCACTCCAAATTTAAAAAAATCAAAAATTTACCCCGCCCTAATCAAAATAAAAAAAAGGCATTCGAACAGCCACTAATTCTCCCAAAAATTAATTAATACCAATACCCCTCCCAAAAAGCCCTAAAAATCCCCTACCGCATGCTGTCCTGGTTAGCCAACAGGTCATTTCGATTCGTTTCAATGTCCGGATTCACCAGTTCTGGATATGCAATTTTGATAAAATTGGCGACTGATTTTGTTTCCTCCGCCAGTCGGATAATGCTCTCTTTGTAATCCGGCTTCTTTTCCTGAGATTGTGCTTCTGGTACCGATGGTACTGCGCCTTCGTTGGTTCGACGAAGCTTTGGGGACGGGACGTTTGAGGCGCTTGCTCCTTGTTCCAATTCCAAGAAGATTTTTGAGTAATTCGCCTGAAAAATAGCTTTAAATTGTGAAAAAATTGTTAAAAACCCGATCGTACTTTACCCTACTCTATCTTACCATACCCCGCCTAAAATAAGCCTAATAAAAGCTATTAAAACTATTATTTAATGAACAACCAAAAATTTCTTGACCTAAACCTAGGAACCAAACCCTAATAAAACCGGACCTATATCATCTCCTTTTTCACTAACCCTCTCAAAACTTTCACCAGCCCTTCCAAAAAACACTTACCTTCAATCCAGCCAACTTTTGTTTCGAAAATTTAGGTAATTTCTCGTCCGAAACCTCCATTTTCTGATTCGAGTCCTCGTCGTCCGACTGAAAAGCGATCATTTCATCGTCGGCTCCATTCGAATTCTCGTTGGTTGGGGGTTTTGGGTCTTTCATAAAATTGAGGAAACTGTCTTCTTCTTCGTCGATCCCGTCTTCATCGTCCGAATCCATGCCGTCCTCATTCTGACACTCATTCTTGGCTTCGGATTTTAAGCTAAAACAAGATTTTTTAAAATTTTGAGTCATAAATTACGTAAAAACCCAAAAGAAAGCCTGATCTTGGCTTTTTAAATCAGAAACATGTTCCACCAAATACTTTTTTGAAATTAAAAACTCACACATTCTGACCTTCTTGTGGTACCGGAAACGCTAATGGAAACTTTTGACTCGTGATTGGGAATGTAAGTTGTGGCAGGCATCTAATAGCCAAAGCGCATAAAGAGTCTTGTAGTTGAGTACAGTTGGCCAACAAATTCTTTCTTGAAGCCAATTGAACACGATCGTCACTCAGCTTCTGAATACATTCTTCGCACATTTGAAGGACATTCAGCCGGGTCAGTTCTTCTTTGCCTTTTTCTATAAAAACGTTATTTAATGGTAAAAATTTAATTTTAGGCTAAAAATTTAACTAAAAAAAATAAAATTCAATACGCCCCATTTGCAAGTCCGTATTTTACAAAAAAAAATTTAAAAAAAAACACAATTTTATGAGAATGAGAAACGAGAAAGCCCATTAATAAGCCCAATATCCAACGTTTAATATCACAAGATATCACTTACTAGTCTTAGACAAATGACGAATAACAGCCGTTGAAATCAAGGCGATTTCCGAATGTACAGAATCCACGAATCGGCGATTGAAATGAGATTCGAATATGTTTTTGACCACTTCGACAATACCTTGATCCACAAGGTGCAACTTGTTCTTTCCTGAAGGATATGACAATTACTATATTCACTTCCAAAATGCTACTTAATATCAATAAAAGTAACAACAATCCTCTCAAGACCACTTACAATAACAATAATGTCCCTTTATATCTGCTCATAATAGTGAAATCCCTTTATAACAGCTCTCAATATTATTATAACATTCCTTAAATTCATTAACAAACAACAAAACTCTCACTAATATCTACCGATAACAAAGCCTCCTTCAATTGAAGCTTCAACAATCGTACAACAATAAGAAAAATCTCCACTACACCATTAAAACCCTTCAGAACAACAAAACTGTACGTAATTTTTGTCAAAACAATAATTTCTTGAATACTATAATATCAAGTGACCATTCTAATTGAAAAACATATTTATTGGCTTTCGAAAAGCGTTGAAATTCCCAAATTGTAGTCCCAAATATAGTATTAAAAACAAAGGATTTACTGCATTTTTTGTTGCTTAGATACCAAATTAAGGACATTTGGAAACATTGCAAACTTATCCCAAACAGGGTCAAAAAATGTTTCATATTGGTTCATATCATTTCATAAGGTCATGCTTTAGTTTTTAAAACGTTTCTTTTAAAGATTTGGGGTGGAATTTGGCTTCACTCCAAAAAATTTTTTTTTAAAAAAAAAGTTGAGCTTGGTAGGAGTGAGAAACGGGCCGTGAGCCTAGCCCAGCCAAGCCCTGCAATCGGGTTAGATCGTTCTTTAGCTAAAGTTAAAACAATCCGGGCCTAAACTTTTCTTTAAAACGGGCCGGGTCAGGCGGAGCATATCACTTTTTACCAAGCCAAGGTATGGCCTGGTAAAAAAAATAAAAACGGCCCGATCGAGACCTAAATTTTTTTTTATTGCACTAGACCGGCCTGAGTAATAATGAAAACGGGCTAGGCCTAAAAGTTAAGCTCTAAGCTTGGGCAGGACCTCAAAGCTGAGTCGAGCCCGTTTCTCACCCCTAACCTTAATCTTATAGATCCACAACGAACCCCCCCCTCCTCCCCCCGAAAAAAACAAAATTTCCAAACAAATTTTCCCCAAATCTTCACATAGATTTGAAAATCTTTAGCCAAATTTTAAAAAAGACCAAAATACTCAACCCTATTGAACACCGGAATTTCATTCATGTTTTTTGGTTCAAAATATGTTGAATGCTCTTCGGAGAGAAAAAAGTTTGTGTAAACTCAGGAAAAGCCATGTAAATACTTTTGAAACGGCCAACTGAACCATAACTATTGGTCATGGATTTCTTTTTTATTCAAAGATTAAACTCAAAACAATTTTTTTAAATCTTCTGCAATTACTAATACTACTTCCTGATTTTACAAAGATTTTTTAAATTGCATTTATTTTCCAGAGGTTTAGATAGAACCCTTTCCACCCTCTAGTACTACTAACGTAATGTCACATTGATTACTTTTCACCTCTTATTAGGCTGTTCAAATAATTCTAAGCCCCCTAACCCATAAAACTTGTTTTGAAAAAGCACAGAATTATTTGAACAACCCAATATTTTTACTACCATTTCTTTGTTCCCACTATCTTACCCTAAACTTGGCAATTCAACTTAAAAACCTACGATTCTTGGTGACGTAGAACAAAATCTCGACCAGTCGAGCCATTTTGTCTGCCGCAGTAAATGCTTCCGGGTTTTGAGATCTGGCCAAGCCATCAGGCGTGTCGATCTGAACATCGTTCGCACCAAATTGAGATGATGCACATTCAATAGCATTGAAGTTTCCCAAAATATTGGTAAATCGTTGGGCAAATTGACGATCTCTGCCTAGTTCTTGGGCATTTCTCGCTGAAACGACAGTAATTAGAGATTGTAAAAACCGCTTTTCATATTTTAAAAATTTGTTCAAATAATTCAGTGCTCGATCTCAAAGCAAACTTTTGCGGTTAAAGAGAACAGAATTATTTGAACAATCAAATATAATCTAAAAATTTTTAAACCTTCAACTTAAAACTTAAAAATTTTACTTTTATTCACAACTTTAGCCTCAACGTAGTACTGTGAAGTCTTTTTAACAGAAACATCTTTTACATAAATTTTACTGATGCCAGCAGCTAGTGTATTTTCATAATGATCTTGTTTAGTAATAACTAAAAATTTAAATCCAGTCATTTTCAAATTGAATACAAAAGAATAGCGTTAAGTTTACTTTTCAAACTTTTTTTCATTTTCTCAAAGTGTTATATTACTGTTTGCGAACAGTTCACTTTGTTGCTTCTTATCAACTTGAACTTTATGAACGATGAGATTTTACTCGAACCTTATGAGAGTTAACAGAAGCTTTATTACAGCTTCTATTTTGCCAATACGGCTGCTAATTTGCTAATATATTTTGTCAATCTGCCAGTATTAACATACACATAACTTCCAATTCTTTAACAGTTTGTTCGATCGGTGGCCTCGTTAACACTTTGTCATACATAGTTGAGATTTTGTTGAGTAATACCACTGGCAGTGCTTCTCTTGTTTCTTTATCAAAATTGTAGATTTTTGAAACTTCTGTGACGACTGGAGAATCACAATCACTAGACGACACATTCGAATCTATCGAATCGAGCCTTGCCAAGTATTTTAGAGTCAAATGTTTTGGTCTTGGCGGTGGTAATGGAGCTTTAGGCTTAAAACTTTCCGTTAAAGCATATGGCGTTAAATTTTTGACAGGTTGTATTATTGAACTCTGTACTGGCGGTTGATTTTCTTTACCCGAGAGAGATACATCATCGTTTTTACTCGTAGATAAATTGATCGTTGTTTTTATAACATCACTAGGTTTAGTTGTGGTTATGCCATTAGTTTTAGCCGTATCAGTTGATTTTAAACCCGCTTCTTCAAACTTTTGTGGAATGACGTCATTACAAGCTTTTGCCATATCCATTGATTCAATTAAATCAGTTTTTACCAGTTGTTTAAGTGAAAAATTCTTTGGCTTTGGCGGAGGAGGTGGTGGTGTATTTGTTTTTGAAGCCATGCATTGTGGAGTTGTTAAGTTGACTATTTTACTGTTTAAAACAACTGGTGCTTCGTTAATAATAACTGGTGTTTCATCAATAACAACCGGTGATTCATCCATCGACTCCTCATCAGAACTAGTATCAGTTTCAGAATCCTCTTCATTCTGTACAAGGAAAAATTTAGGTTTTGGTAGAGTGACCGGTGGTATTTTCGAAGTTGACAGGCTTCTACTCATCAAATCGCCCAACTGCTGCTGTTTAGATGCGTCAAGAAATGTAGAATTTTGTCGCGCCATTACGGACAGTTATTGTACTCATTTGTTATCAGTTTACACGTTTTGGAACAGATTTATAACCGTGTTTCACAGTGATAAGCGCAAAGTTACAGGGTAGAATTACAAGAGTCACAACTTCCTCAAAGCAGTAGATGTAATAAATGTAAGCATATAATTCATATGCATATATAGTCGATACAGTAGATAGAGACACAGTAGATGGCTAAATTTACAAAAAAAAATCGCAGAATCAGCAGGTATGTACAAAACCGTTTCACAATACCAACGTATTCAACTCTAAAAAATTGTTATTTGTCAGTGAAAAATAAATAACAAAGTCGAAACGAACGGCTGGCACTCACAAACCCTTAAAATCGTGACATCAAAAGATTGGTTTTCAGACAGAAAGGTCAAAACATGTTTCATACACGTTCACATGCTTTCTCAACGTAATTAACAAATTAATAACAGATTTTGTTGTTAAATATAGACAAAATGGCTAAGAAAAACTTCTTACTCTTCAAAGTTTTCTTATAATGAATAAGTGAATGGTTTCTAAAAATACAAAAATATAAGTACAGTAAAACCACTCTAGTTAACCCTCAATAGTGTGACATCCTCCTTATCACGACCGACAGCTTTTTGGCCGTCCTTCGTAATAGAACCCCTATCAAAAAGTACCTGGGTCTTTTGACGCCCTGGTTATAAGGACAGGTTTGGACCACTCCCTTGAGTGCCATACTAAAGAGGTTTGACTGTACTCACAAGACAAAACAACTCAGATCAAATTTCAATACTTAATACAATACTATAATCATTCTCATTACTATAACCTTTTCAAAAAGATTTGGAACTCCGAAAATATTCAATTTCAATCTTTCAAAAAGCCGAGCCCAAACCCGAAAAAAAAGAAAATGAGTAAATTGATGCCCAGCACTTTTCGAGAACAAAAAATAGATTTTGAGACATAAAAATTCCGATCGAGTGGACCCGGTATCAAGCTATAAATCCGGTTGTTTGCAAGTTTCTAATTATTCACACATTAACAAGGTCAATAGCAATAAGAATATTGAGAACAAGAATAAGAAGAAATTTAGGTATAATATTGATGTACTGAAAGATAACTTTTAAACGTTACAATAGAAGAAATATAACCTAAAACTAGACAAGGAGTAACGTTTTTAAAAGTGAAAGCTAATCTAACAAGGAAAGTACCCGACCTGCCCCGCTCTGATTGACTTCAAACTTTTTATATAGGAAGAACATGTAAATATAAGATCTTCAGCAAAGTACTAAATCGCGCTTTCCAGTAAATCTCGAGAAAATCGAGATTAAAAAATGACATTTTGAATTTCCCGCCAACTTGGCATTGTGTTTCAAGCTTGTAACTTCGTCATTTTTTGACTTTTAATAATTTTTCTTTAATATACTAGTAGAAAACCTTTAAATGAACCTACATTTTTAAAGTTGTAAGCGTATCTTGTCTGGAAAGCCAAAAAAAGTACTTGAAACACAATGCCAAATTGGCGGAAAACCCAAATAATTTAAAGTTAAAACTCAAAAGCGCAAGCTAAATTTTTTTTTGGGTACTATTGGTGGTACAAAGAATTCATAGAAAAATTTTGAGCCGATTCTGAGCGGGGCAGGTAGGGTACTTTCCTTGTAAGTAAAAAAAATTTTAAAAAATAACTATTTTAACCTGTCTAACCCTTAAAATACACAAAACTTTTAAAAACCCCTACCTGAAACAAAAGCTCTACCTATAGTAAACACAGCCACTGCTATAATCATCAAAATTTTATAGCCAAAATCAAATGACTAATAAAATTCCGTCCGTTCCGTCCGCATGTGCCGTGATAATCCATCAATTTTTTACATGTATGTAAGCATTTTATATGATGCCATTTTGCCCCTCATGTGTTCTTTAGCCTAGGCTCTTATCCCAAGATCGTTGGGACGGCTGTTCACGCGAAAAATTCTGATTTCATTTCAAAATAAACAAAAAGACAAAAACTTGGAAGAAAATTGAAGGACCGTCTCGGATAACCGTTCGTTTGTGATAAAATCCATGAGAATAATAAAAACAAGGAAAGACGATAGTGCATATTGTGGCCTAGGTTCTGGGTATGTTATGAAGAGTAAGAGATCAGAGACAGGTCAGGTGATTTGTAAAAAAACAAAAGATAGTGTTAGGCTAGCACTGGCAGATACGCATTACTTTAAAAGTCATTAGTCTTCTGATGTTGAATCAATGCTGACAACTATTTAAAACTCAAAAAACGTCTGTGTGGTCCTTTTACTTAATTATGGTCTTTTTAGTCAACTATAAGAAGGTATTTTGACTCAATTGTGTAAAAGCACTTCTACTCAATCATAAGAATCAGCATCAATTACTAACCTGCCTTTGTAGTTCTGTTCAACAACTCAACATCAAACTTGATCACATCAGTTTGGCTCCACTTTTCTTCCTTGACTTTACTCTTTATTACTCGTTTACGTTTTGACGGAGTGTTAATTTCAATCTTCTTTTCGGTAATTCTGTATGTAGGCTTTACTACAGCTACGTTTCTTGGTTTCTTTATAGTAGCGTCTTCTAGTTCCTTACTACTTGTTCTTACTTCTAACGCTTTTTCATCCTGAAGAACGTTCTTCTTTTTAGGCTTATCTTTTCTTTTTGAAAATTCCAAACAAAATGAGTCAATATCATTGGCCATCTTAATATTGGGTACAATATTGCCCTTTGTCGTTTTTGTAGAGCTTTTCAATTGTTGGAGTTTGTTCTCTCCACTTTTCGTAAAGCTCAGCTCTCCACTCTTCCTGGCTTTACCCAGAACTTCATTGAATTCGCGTTTTCTTTTTGATATGAACAAACTTTCATCGATACTTACAGTAGCTTTGTCACACGACCTACTCCGTCTAGGTACGTCAAATCTACGACAATCTCTTGTTATACTTCTTGATCTGCTGTCTGTTCTGGGCGGTAGTTTGAAGTCACGTAGATTTACTCCGTAAAATATGACTCTGTCTTTTCGGTCGGCTTTTACAAAGGCATTACTTGTTAAATCAGTCGTATGTCGGATTTTATAGTGGTTTAAGGTGTCGAATGTAGTATGTGAGTCATTTTTAGGGCATTTGATATTAGTCTGACTTGGAGATCTTTGAAGACTTAAAGTTGGATTCGTTCCATGAGTTGTTAGCATGGTTTTATCAGTGATAACTTTAGGTTGAATTTGAGCTTTAGGTTGATCTAACGCATGAGCATTTGCAGGCTGTAAACCCTTCATCGTCCTACTTACAGTGTTATGTTCAGAAGCTTTAGCTTCTTGTGGTCGACTTTGTTGACTTCTACTTCTCCTCGCTTGGTCTTGATTTCTAAAATTTGGTTCGACTTCTGCAACCGGCTTCTTATTGACATTTCTTTGGGCTACCTGTTTTTGCGGTCTTTCTGGTACTGAGGCTGTACTAGAAAAAGAACGTATCTCCTTTTTTGGCTCATTGCCATCATTGCATGGCCTTACAAAACTTCCGTAGCATCCAGCTTTTCTACTGTTTATTCGTTCTTTTACCGTCATGGTTTACACTTCTTTCTTATCACAATAGCTGTAAATAGAACCTATAAACAAGACCTGTACACTTTAAACAGCAATGATAATCTCTTGTAGTAATTGTGAAAAATAGAAAAAAATTACAGTTTAAACCCCTAAAGTTCTATAACAACTTACAGTTCTAGTCCAAACCGATGATAAAACAAAGTTTAGAACAAAGCAAACATTTATACGAACGTTGTCGATATTGTGTTAGTAGAACGCTGGGTTTATTTATTAATATTCTCACTTTGTAGTGCAAACAATTTTGACCTTACGGCTTTGAGTGTGTAATTATCGTTTGTTTTTTCTTCACAATACCACTTCACATTGAAAAACGTCAAATTTTAGCATGGATTTGCACAATTTTTTTGTGGTTTTGCAGTTTAGCAAACTTTTTGAAATCTTGTATTATCTTTTGTCGTATCACAAGTTGTCAACTTTTCAAAACTATAGCTTTATAACCTCCCTATACCTACAGAGAAAAAAAAAGAAATCATGAAAACACTATCAACTTTTTTACGATTCTATGACAGATTAGGTTGTTCAAATAATTCCGAGCCTCCTCTCAGAACAAATTTTCCTAATTGAAGGCACAGAATTACTTGAACTACCTAGCATAATTTAAGCTTATAAAAATTCTTTTAAACTTACGCGACTTCAGCGCCCTGCAGGTGAACTTCATCAAGGCAATAGTGCAGAAGATTCTGTCGACTTCCAAGATTCTGGCGCATAAGTCATTCAACAATCCACTAATCCTAATTTTCAACAAAAACTTTGTATCTTTGACACAAATCCGAATGACAGTAGTCATTAATTGATCATTGGCGATTACTTTGAAAGGGCTTGGCTCCGGGATATGGCAATTGGCTTTTATACATCGGAAAAAGTATGTGGCTGCATCGATGCGGATCATGTGGCGAAGTCGGCGTTGCCGGACTGAAAAAGTCATTTTTAGGTTTTAAAAAAAAACTTAAATAGCTTTTAAAGAAAAACTAGAAATTTTCATTTTGAAAGCCAGTAATAGTAACTGAAATTCATTTTGGAAAATTGTAAAACCGACAAGAAATCATTCTCAAATTCAGTAAAGGCAAAAACAGAATTTTAGGTAACAAATTTGGCCAATTTCAAATATTTGTTACCCAAAACAAACTTTTTTGTTTAACAACAAGAAAACAACCGTTTTTGCCCTTCTTATCCTTACCTGCTTTTGTTCCAACAGTGACATAGCCCTCCAATAATTTACACAGTACCATTACCGTAAAGTCATCTGATGACATCTAAAAATGAATTATTTATACAAAACGTTACTTTCCTAACATACAAAGTCACTTTTTACAACTTTGTGCCACATTAAAGTTGTTCAAATAATTCTGAGCCCTTCTCAAAGCAAATTTGTAGGATTAGGTGGTGCAGTATTATTTGAACAACTTACATTACACTCTTATACTCTATCATGGCTCACGAAAAATAGTGCAATAACACAACACTCACCTCTATAGCCTTGAGGATCTGTGCCACTTTATCCACCTTCTTCTCCTCCACAAACTCTATAATCTTCTTCGGTGGTGAATGAGAAGTCGACGGTATGTTGATCAAGTTCTCGTGTAACAAGATACCAGAAGTGCTTGGGCTAGTCGGAGCACTAAATGTTTCTGCATAGAATCTGGGCTCATCTGTTGATGACAATCTTCTCTTGGGTGAGGTGGGCTTTTTGGCCTTTTTGATTATTTTAGCCTTTGATACTGGAGTTGATGGTTGGAGGGCTGTTCCGACCGAATTGTGACGTGACCTGACAAGTTTGGGTGTGTTTTTCTTGGGGGAAGTTCGGAATTTTGTTTTTGGTGATGATAGGAATCTAAAAAAAATAAATTGAGAACTGTTAGGTTGTTCAAATAATTCTGTTCTTTCTCTCAAAACAAATTTTCTTAAAAGTTTTTTTTATTTTAAAATTTAAAAAAAAATTTTAATTTAACAAAATTATGTTTTAGCCAAACATAGCTTACAAATTCAAAATTTGAAAGCAAAACGTACTCATAAGTCATTGGACTAGTCATAGCAGCCTTTGTCATTAGCTGGTCCAACTCTTTAGCTAACTCGTTCTGTTCTTCCGTCTGATTCACGCACGATTCCACCAAGATCTCCGTCAATTGAGCGATTTGCTGACTTCGCATGTCACTACAAGTATAATGCCTTTAAAAATGCAATACAAGAATTTTCGAAAATCTAATGAACCATCTATCAACTTTTAAAATTTTGAGTTTTTCTTTAGAAATCGAAGGCTTTAAATTCACAAAAAGTAAAATCACTAAAAAGCCGTCGTAAAAAAATAAAAAATGAAGCTTACATTGACTGCAACATCGAAAGCATATTGAAGAAGTTGAAGCAGCACCAAGAGAATCGTGGGTATTTATACGTTCGTTCAGACACTTTTAATCGTTGGTCGAAAGTTGTCTGCAAAGCTTATGGCACTTATCCCATCTTTGGCCTAAAACGATATAATTGGCTCTTTACGTATATTACTTAAAAAACGACTAAATTCATTAAAAATATATAAACATATCACGATATCAGCTCAAATTCAGCTAATCAGGACAATAAAGTATTAAAACCACAAAGAAAATCAAATAAAACACAATATATCATAAAAACATGTATGTAGAGTAACCAGGCTTGGACACAGGGCAGGGCATTGACAAATTTCCATGCCATGCCCTGCAATGCCCTGCCCTGTACAGGGCATTCGACTTTCATGCCCTGCCCTACCATGCCCTGCAGGGCATTTACAGGGTATTTACAGGGCATTTGGGTATATTTAGGCGGACGCCTCCGCCGAGTAGTCGATAATCGGCGAACGCCATAGCTTGGTTAGTTTAGCAGCTAGAAACATGTAGTTAAGTGCAGAAGTTTTTATCTTTTATAACCTACACGTTAAGGCAGTAATTTATGTTTTTGAAAGCAATATTTTTATCGACCGGTCGATAATTAACAAATATTTAATTCGTACAAAAAACAACGTTTTTTGCTAAGAATTGTACCTAACGTAATTTCTGTACGATTTAGAACAACAGAGCGATAAGAAAATATATAAAATTTGCAATTAAAATATACTAAAAATTATCTACCGGCCGATAACAATACTACTTTTAAAATCTTAAAACTATGCTTTTATTTGTAGCCTATGACGTATAATAACTTCTGAATTTAACTACATATTTATAGCTACTAAACTAAATAAGTTATGGCGTCCGCTGATTATCGACCGCTCGGCGGAGGTGTCCGCCAAAACTTACCATGGCACAAACAGGGCATTTGCAGGGTAATGCAGGGCATATGCTATGCCCTGCCCGGTTCCAAGCTATACCATGCCCTGTAAAAAAATTTTAAAACATGCCCTACACCATGCCCTGTAACAGGGCATAGTACAGGGCACACTGCCCTGCGTCCAAGCCTGAGTGTAACACAATATTTTATAAAAACATCAAATATAACATGGTTGCTCAAACCAGTATTCAAATAATTTCAAAGCCACCAACAAACGATGACAAAAATCTTTATTCAAATTCAAATCATCGAGTTATAAAGCTGTTTACACACGGGTACATCTACCTATTCATTTGGCTTCTTTGATCGATTAAATTTCGTTTGGTCGAAGGCCGCCAGTCTAAAAGTACAATTTATAATATAAAAACAAAAATTCTGCAAAAATAAATAATAAATTTAAAGAGAAAGCTTTTAAAATGTAAAGAGTATAATAAAATATATAGCTAAATCATTTTTTATCGACATACGACGTATTCTTTTACATATAATGCCTTTTTAGGTAATAAAAAGTTATTTTCAAACCAAACCCAAGAAAAAATATTTATTTCTGAAATAAGGTTTTAAATATCCTGTCCAAAGCCATACTGTTTCCTTCCTAAAATGCCCTTTCCCAATCCCACTTGACATTATAAAAAGATCTTTGGCCTTAAATGTTCAACTACATTTCCCCAAAAGGTTGTTATTTTTCGGTTGCCAATGGCAACTTTTTAACTTCTAATTCGTAAAAAACCGTTATTCCCATCCAAAACATAAAATTATCCCTGAGATATGATCTCAAACTCATATGTTTCTTATAATTTTTATAAAAACTTAAAGAACAGCTGTTTTTATGCCGAAACATTAAGAAAATTGGCAAAAACCTTGAGAAAAAACAAAAATCTATTTGGCCAGTAGTCGAAAACTCACATTGATACAGTCCATTTCTTCCTGTGACATTGGCCTTCTTCTTAACCTCAATGGCAGTTCCAGTTCATCAATTACAATTCCACCTCCAGCAGCACGAAGTTGTGGTTTACGGTTTGGATCATACTTTTGGACCTGTGGCCGAGAATTATGCAAAAAGTTTATCATTGGCTTGCGGGGAGTTGAAGACAGCTATAAAAATCCACATTATTTCTGTTAACACTCATTAATATTTATTTTCTTCCAAAAACATTAATTTTTTGCAAAAAACCATTTTCAATTCCAAATTGATGAAGAACCTAAAAATCGAATAAAAACAGCAAAATTTACCTGTTTAATAGCAGACATAACTTTAGTCGTGTTCATTGTAGTCTCTTCTTTCAATTCTTTTAAAACTCCGGTCGATTTGGTGTCTTGAGCAGCTTCTATCGACCGTTTCCCGAATATCAGTCGATAAAAATAAGAAAACGTTGACAGTTGGCGAGTTTGATATGATTTAGACGTAAAAAACCTAAAATAAAAAATTTTAGCTAAAATATATGAATAAATAGTATGTAGTGCACAAAAGTTAGCATCATACAAACCAACCACGTGACGAATAACAATACAAAGCTAACATAAAATCAAGCTAAATTAAGTAAAAGAAAAAATGTTAAATTTGTAAAAAATATTAAAAAATAAACAAAATTTCTTTTAAAATGAGGATAAAAACTAAATGAACTGCGAACAGAACAGTAAAATATATTTTAATATCCAAAATTAATTTACAATTTATTCCATAGCAATTTAGACCATCTTATGAACATTGAAGATGCCAATACCGTTATTATGTTAGTTCCTGAGCTAAATGTTATTATAATCAAATATTATACCACGAAAAGCATAATTATCGAATTTGATAGATATTTCAGCTTTTCTCTCGAGTAAAAAACATTAAAAAATTGTATTTATAAACAAAAATGTTATTCATAAAAATAATATAAATCAATGTAACTTTTCTTAATCAGAGATCAATCTAAAAATGTTTTCATAAACATGTGAAACAAGCGAAAACCAGTTATTTTGAGTATTCTTTCAGAACAACATAAAAATAGAGAATAAATAACGGAATGCCACACTTTTTTGCTGGACCCGCAACGAAAACGTTTCTTTTCTAAAATAAAATATTCTTTTTTATTTTTTAGATAACAATGTTTCTCAACAGGAACAACAAAGTATACGTAGACTATGAAAAGTCTGCTTAAGTTTAATTACCTTAATTTGGATTTGTTTAGTTATTCTCGCGATATTTTACGGGTCAATGTTGTTATTTTCTTGTAAACAACATTGTAAGCGGAAGAATATTTTTTTAATTTCAGAAATGTCGAATAATAGAGGTAGACCACCTCCACAACGTAAATTAAGTAGTCCAACTACTGCCACCGATGTTGTTTTTGGGGTTTTGGTTCAGATTTCTCGGAAATTCTTATTTATCTCGCCGGCCAAGAAGGCGATCTTCCATTTTTTAATGATTTTGGTACTCTCCATCTACTCTGTTTACTCTACACTTCCAGAAGTTTATTTGGCACAGGTAAGATTTTTTTAATGTTTTTGACATTTAGAACAAGAGTTCACTAGCTTTTCATCTTGTTTTTGGCATCAATCTTCAATATTTGATAATCAGTTGTCTGAAACAGGTTTCTCCATCGAACTTTTTGACCACACAACTACTAATTTGTACTTTTTAGAAGCACAACATATTGAACTTGTATTTCACAAAGATTGGATGGTTTTGGACTTTATTGGTTTTGGTTCCATTCGTTTCATTGACTTCGTATATTCACCACAACTCGATTCAGACCACTTTTGTTCATTTAATGCGGCTGGTGGTTGCTACTGGTTTTTGGTACATTTGCACTCATGCGTAAGCTTTATTTCTCTGTTTTACAGTTTTAGAAATTGGCATATCAAGCTGGATTGACTTACAATCACATGATTTTAGATTCCTGCACGTTGAAAAAGTTACCGGTAAATGTTTGGGAATGCCAGATGCTTTGAATAGGCATACTTGCTCTCATGATGGCGGCAAATGGGTACCTGGATTTGATATTTCTGGTCATGCTTTCATTTTACTGTACAGTATCTTACTAATGAGTGAGGAGGTAAGCTTATTTGTTAATTGAGTTTTTTATTATGTGTGTTGTGTTTTGTTCAAAGGAGTTTAATTTTTTAAAGAATTTTGTGAATTTTAATGGTTTTTTAAGCTTAAAGAAGATTTTATTTAAAAAATTTTTAAAATCTCTTATTTTAGGCGATTTCCTTCCGTCACTGGCCAACCACTCCTCTTCACAACCACATTTCCCATGATTATCATCGGAATCAAACCAAAACTGTGCAGTGGCTTTTTATCGCCATCTTTGCTTTACATTGTATCTGGGACATTCAGCTGATTGTTACCTCATTGTACTTCCACACCATTTCCCACAAAGTTATCGGATCTTTGTTCGCTATTGGAGCATGGATTGTGACATATCGAGTATGGTATCCAAAGGAAGTGTTACTGTCATTGCCTACACGACGAAAGAACTCACTGGTCGTTCCGAGCACTAAAAAGGCTTGGTAGAGGTGTAATGAACAAAAGTTTAAGAGCTATTAAGTTAAGATAAAGATGCTTATGGTTCTTATAGAGACAAGATTTATATGTTTTAATTGAGTATTATCATGATATCAACAAAAAGCCTTACTTTATGGTATAAGAAGCTTGAAATGTCTGCAGCCGACATTGAAGCTTCAATACCATCAACTTTTCACTATTCTCCCGGTCTTTTCTACTAATTTTTCTTTGTTTTATTGTGTTATTGTTCTTTTAGGTCTTTTAAAATTGTTTATTTTTGTATAAAATAAAGTAATATCCTATTAAAAACTAGAGTAACGTCTTATTAATGTATCTTTTGTGTGATATCTTTGAATTCTTGCCGTACAAAAAATTGTGTGAAACCTTATGTTTCAGCCTTAACTTTTGTATATTATGATACTTCTTTTGTCTTTAGGGTTTATTTGATAGAATTAGAGAAATTTGTTGTTGTAAATTTGTAAAAATTTAATTTTTGGGTCGTAAAGTACTTTACTTTTTACTTTCTGGTTATGGGTGGTACGTTATGGTGCTGGATTTGGTACTGAAGGCATTGGTAAAATCTTATGGTGGTTTTTTAAATGGTTTATGGGATTACTGACTGACATTTTAGCTAAGACCCCAATTGGAAATGAAAAAGTCATGGGCAAGTTCGACCAGGGGGAAGACTTATGCTTCACCCGCCAGATTCTTTCTCAAGCCTGCTGTCCATGTCTAGCCAGGGTTCTGTCCTTTAATGTAAAAAACTATTCAGACCCCATAATAAAACGATATATTAGTTAAAATGTCATAAACGTTCGCGAAATATGTGAAAGTGCCATTAAATATAACATAACTGAGCTGGTATGACAAAGTGAAGGAAGAACGCCGGCAACTTGTTTCGTTTTTTCAATCGTTCGACGCGATTAACGTCGCGTTCGGATCAAACTCACGATTTCAATTAACTCGGAAAATGTTAAACCCTTATCAGTTTGGGTGGTGTTCGTTCAAATGTTTTTTGCTTGAAATTTGATCGATACCGCGTTTTATGGCATTTTCGGGTGGTTTTTGGCACAAATTATGGCAGTTGGGGGTAGTGCTTAGCACGTTGGATTAGATTTTAGGATTTGGTGGTAGTTCCTCGTCATATGGAGGTATTTTGTAGCATGTTGGGGTAGATTTTCGGTAATTGCGGTACTTGGCCTTTTAAGGTTAGTTTTGACAAATGGGGGTAGTTCTCGGCGCGTTAGGGTAGGTTTTGACAGTTGTGGGTAGTTATTGGCATGTTATGATAGGCTTTGGAAATTGGGGGGGGGAATAATTTTTTATCTGTTGGGGTAATTCTTGGCGTTTTGAAAAAGTTTTTAAAATTTTCGGGTTGTTCGTTTCATGTAGGGGTAGTTTATACTTTCATTCTTTGCTTTTTTAATCAAAAGTTACGTTATCATTAGCGAGATCCTTTCTCATGTATTATATATCTCAACTTTCCTTTTTAACTACGCGAAACCAGTGGAAAGTAAGTTTATTTAACTCTCAATCCCCCCTTACTCACTCCTTAATTTGGTAATTTTCACGTCATCGCTAATTAGAGCTAGTTTTTACTATGACAAGATTATTTTTGTTACAAGAATGGATTGCGTAAAATCGAGATTTTTGGAATAAACGGGCTGAGCATTTGCAAATTTTGATCTGAATTGAAAATTCACTAATAAACATGAATTTTTAAAAGTAAAAGGCCCTAACCCAGAGCCCTAGCCCAGAGTTTTATTTCGGAGCCTTAGCTCAGAGCCCTGACCCAGAGCCATAGCTTTAGCCCTAGTCTTAGTCCTAACTCTAACCGTTTATCGTAACCGTATGTATGCTGTAGTTCTACTCTAGATTTGAAAAAAGCCACCAAGGCTCGAAAAAATGAGTTTGGTCTACCTCTTTCCAGGCCCATTCTACTCTTTACATCAAGATTACAAAAAGCCGTATTTTACCTTGAACCACCACTCCTTTCAATAGTAAATCGAACGTAGATTTCCGTCGCTTAATGTTTTAGTTAGTAGCCCATTAGCGTGAAAATATTATTTTAGCGCAAAGTAAGTTCATCAAGTCCGCCTATTGCGCAATTAGATTCGCTTACTGAATTGACAATTTACAAAGTTTTACCTTGGTTTTTGGGTAGTATTTTATACCGTCATTACGCATCAGTTATATTGTAGTAGACCCATATAGGAATTGTTGGCTTATCACTTTAGTTTTAATTTTAAGAAATTAAAAAAAATTTTGGGTATGGAGGGATAAAATATTAAATACAATTTTTTTTTGAATTTTTAAAAAAGGTTGCAATTTTACGTCGTTGTGTCATTTTCACCCCCCCATAAACCCCTCTAAATTAAGTAAAAGTAGAGCGAAAGCCACACCTCTGCCCTCATTCTCGCCTTAACCCTCCCCCCCCTAGCTCCTCCTAACGCCATAAAACAACATTTGGGTATGCCTGTAACAGAAACTGGTCGTATCTTGTTTTGTGACATTTGTTTCACTATCATCTCGATACCGCCATTTGCACATCGAAATTCGAACGCAGCCGGCTGCAAAAAGGGTAAACTTCTTTTTGGATCAGAAAGCGTTCTTCACGTTGGCGTGGGTTGCGTTAGGTTGGCGTGAGTTAGGTAATGTAGGAATTTAGTGAAGTTTAGAGGGTGGTTTTTTAAAATATTTTGAAAATTTTTAAATTTGGTTGATATTGTGAATCTACCACGAGTTTTAGGTTGTACGGTAAAAATTTTTTAGTATGATCCTCGATAGTATGAAACACTTTTTATAGTGACATACAGGTTGTCTCAGTTATTATTTTAATAAATTACTATTGTTAGTTGTTGTTTTAGTTACATTTGTTGTTAAAAAAATATTTGATTGAAAAACCGTATAACAGAACTTTTGGCGCACTCTGTGTTTACTGTAAAAGGGTCAGGCTGGGCAATTTTAAAAAAGCGCGTGCCAGGCCTGCGGATTTGGGTTAGAAAGCCGGGTCAAAAAATTGGGTCAAACTTGTCCCTTTTACAGGCCTACAGAAACATTACGATACAATTTTTCTCAGTTGCTATCTTAATAAATTGATACAAAAGACCGGGCCAAAGAAATTTTAAAAAAGCTTGGTTAAAAAATTAGGCTTGGCTTGGCTCTCAACGTATTTTACCAAAAAAAAAATCAATTAAAAAATTTTTAACTTTATAAAGTAAATGGTTAACACCGTTAATAATGTATCGTTCAGATTTTTTATCACAGAAAAAACATTATTAAAAACTTTCCTTTTTTGATGACATGATGAATATACACTCATTCTGTTATCAATTTTTACTGCGTGAAATAACTATAACTATAATCTTACTCTCATCAAATTTTATTTAGCCTTATGGATAAACCTAACACCAGTCGACTATCATCAAGGATCAGGCTCTACCACAAACCTCACACTAACATAACCTCAGTAACCCATAAGTCATCGTCTATATCATCAAAACACCGACTATCATTCCTACTATTAAACACTCTATCACCAACCCTACTGACTTCTTCTATAATATGTATATCATTCCTATCTCTTGTCCCAACAGTGTCATCAGACGTCTACACAGGCTACAACGCTGCCAATAAATATCAACATAGAGCTGGTGACAACAATGCCCCAGTAATACTGCCCAACTATTACCATGCTCCAAATGACAAAGAAAATCGACCACATGACTTTTGGGCTGAAAATGTGCCAAAACCACATTTTCATGGTGGTCGACCGATCGATTTGAAGCTTCATCAGCATGTTGGAGTTGATGAAAGTGACTTCCCACAACCAAATGCTTTTGTCACTGACCGACCTGGCACTGGCATGAATATTAGTGAGTTTACAATATAAGTATTTGTTATCAGTAGAGTTTCTAAGGTCTTCAGAGCGGTCTCCGGCTATGAAGTTAAAGACGGTTTTGGTCATGGATTTAAAGCCAAAGCAGAAATTTGTAAAAAGGCACCGCCGAAGCTGGATCTAAGCAAGAAAGTGCTGAATTTCAGTACTAAAGACCCTCGAGGCCGACACTGCTCTTTTCTTCGCGTTAGAACTAGAACGAAAGCTTATAGCTAGGCGAAGCCAGAGCTGAGGCTAGAGCCGGAGCAAGCATTTATCAAAAGACAGAACCGAAGCTGAAGCCAAGCCAGAAAATGTAAAATTCCAACACTAGAAACCCTCGAGACTAGCACAGCCCTGGCAGAAACTATAAGCTTTAAATTTTAAATATCCGAATTTCCGCCTATTCGGTAAATTTGGCATTGTGTTCCGAGCACTTTTTTCGACCTTCCAGACAAGCTATGTTCACAAATGTAAAAATATAGGTTCACTTAAAGGTTTTCTACCAAAATATCAAAAAAAATGATTCAATGTTAAAAAAAATGACAAAGTTATAAGCTTGAAACACTATGCCAATTTGGCGGGAAGTTAAAAACGCATGTTTTTTGATTTCGATTTTCTGGAGATTGACTGCGCAATTTAGTACTTTGTTGAAGGTCTTATATTTACATGTTCTTTCTATATAAAAACTTTGAAGTTAATCAGAAGGAGGCAGGTCGGGCACTTTCCTTGTCAAAAAAAATTTCCTTTTTAAATAACAACCATAGCTCATTTTTACAGATAGATACAACAACAAAACGTACAAAACAGATAGATTTTTTTATGCTTTACAAAGCGTATGTCATCAAATTTTAACAACCTTTCTTAAAAAACTTACGTACTATCTTTTCCAGACCACTCCCCCTGTTCATCCCTCCCAAAGTCTTCTAGTAATGACCAAATTGATCAACTCGATGATGGTGTAGAAGTTCGTCAACATGCTTACAATCCAGATTGTGACAGCTTTGACCAAGTTCAAGTGACCCCATCACCTTTTAAAGTTGAGTATGATCCTAAAGTTGTACCTTCCATCTCTACTAAGCTACCTTATCCTCAGCCAGGTGATCTGCTGTACCAGAAGCCTTTTCCAAAGCCTCAGAGTATTGTGTTGGATTCTGGGGATAGTAAAGGGTTGGATTCTGGATACAGTGGATATGGGAAGACGAATTCTGAATCTGTTCCTAAAGAAAGGTTGACTTCTGGATCTACCGTGAATAAGAAGCTAGATTCCGAATTGTATGGCTATTCAGATTCTGATTCTACCGTATCCAAAGGCAAATTCTATGATTCTGAATCAGAAGCTCAAAAAGTTACAGATCGACCATTTGAGACCACTTTATGGTCTTCCAAAGAGTCTAATTGGCCTATTGATACCAACTCCAACTATGATTATGATGGCAACTCCATCGTGGCTAAGCCTATAGACCAGCCGAACAATTCTGAAGCCAAAAAAAATGAAAATTCTAATTCTAATGCTTCTAACATCCAAAATAGCAATGAAAACTCATCGACTTCAGAAGTCAATATGTCAGAAATCGACTGTTTATCCTACCATAACATTGACCATCCAGCCTGTAATACTGTAACTCAAAGACCAAAGATTCAGCATGTTGTGTCAAAGTTTACCAAAGTTCCTTTTAAGCTATCGACCAGTGGATCATTTATCACACATCCTACAACATTGGAGTTCATTTGGAATCACACCACAAATCGACCGAAAAGTGGTCGATATGAGTCGCCCAATAGCTCTAATAATCTTTATGATCATAAAGTACATCATGATGACAGTAATAATAGTAATGATAACACAAGTTACGGTAATGACAGTCCAAACAGCTCAAATTACGGTAGTAACTCGAACATACCAAGTAGCTACCATAGTAACTCAAACAGTCATCATGATGAGTCAAACAGCAATAACTACGGCAGCAAAAATTCAGAATTCCCGTACGATGTAAACTCCTCAACTTACACAACAAAAAGACCAGTATACCCCCCAGGAGCAATACCACCAGAAGATACTGTAACTTTAGCATACGGTAGCCATAAAAATATAAAAACTAAGAAAATTCACAGATATTACAATGACGGACATACTACAAGATCCGGTGGTTCGTATGTTACTCAAGATGACTCGGAAGAAGCTCCTTTTACTGCCACACAAGATCTTTATACTAGAACAACACCAGTATACGGTAACAACTATGGTGAATATACTACAGCTTTGCCTCGAGTAGTTCTACCAGAAGTACCAAGCTACTCTGTACCAGAAGTACCAGCCTACTCTTTACCAGAAGTACCAAAAGTAGTACAACCAGAACTGTACCACAATGACAATAACAACCCATACATATCTAATCAAACATACGAAGACCATAGCCCTGAACAGTATACTGTAGAACGGTTTACTGTAACAAAACCTATCATAGAAAGCGGGTATGAGTTTAATGGAGAAGAGAAGAGTAAGTACGACAGCTATCCTAAAGTAGAAGTTACTGATGAAAGTTACCATGGCGGCACGGTAAAGTCTACGCCTAGTACTGCCAGTACTGAAAGAGCTCCATATGTACCTCCCGTTACTGTAACGCCTAGTTGTAAGTTTTATTATTGTATCTTAGGCCCTACCCTACCCTACCCTACCTTAGTCTACAGTATCCCTATCTTCCTTACACTATCCTTCCTTGTTCTACCATTCCCATATTGGACCATGACTTGTCTTACCTTTTCCTACCTATAGTCTACCATATCCATAGAATACCCACTCTATAGACATTCTACCCAAAAAATACCTTATTATCACATTACCATACCCTGAAAACTTTAAACTTCAACACAAAATTCAGATAACCCATACGATGCCCCAGAAGCTCCACCAAAGCACACAGCTCACCCACCTGGTCAACAACCTCCATATGAGACTCCAGTTACAGTAACTCCAAAATACATTCCTACAACAACTTATAACTACCCTACTTCTACTGCTACACCCTATACTTTATCTACAACATCAACTACAGCCTATGAAGCTAGTACTGCTAATCCATATGATATAGTACCCAGTACTGTAAACCCATATAATGTTAGGCCTTCTACTGTAAATCCCTACAATGTTACTCCTAGTACTGCCAACCCTTATGATATTGTAACTAGTACTGTGAATCCATATGACTTGTTACCAGAAATTCCTACAGCTACTGTAGATTACAATAACAGATTCAAGACAGTTATACCGCAAAGAAATGCTTATCCACCTGGCCAAGAGCCTCCATATGAAGAAGATAGGAAGTCAAATTGGAGGGATGGATACGGTATGGTCAACTATTAGGTGCCGACATAAAGAAACCGCCATTTTTTTATAGGAAATGACAGGCAAAGTATGGCGGGTTCTTTATGTCGGCACCTAATATTTTCATTTTGAAACTTAATATTTGAAAAAAAACTTTTTTGATACAAAATACAGTATACTTCCTATATAAATATCAAAACACACAAACATACTGTAAGAATCAATAAAAAAATTCTTGTCGTTTTTTATCACACAATCCTTTGTTAAAAAACGACATCACTTTGTCTCATATTCAAAAATCAAAAACTTTATTTCCAGACTACGAAAAAGGCTTCAAGCACCCCCACCCAACCCCACCAACCACTCCTCCTCGATACGATGCCTCTTCATCGTACAGTAATGTTGTTGTACCAACAACAACCCAAAAAGCCTACAGTATACCACAAGACTTCCCGACCCCATATCAACAACTTGAGGTCACAGCTTCTACTAAAGGGTACGAAAGCTCTGAAAGTTATGAAGCCGAGAGTATACTGGCTTTGTCACCTACACCATTCAGTGTCACACCCACCACAACCGATTATACAGTTTATACTACTGTAGCACCACGAGTTGTCACTGTAACCGCGAGACCGGTTAGTAGTACTGTTGGAGTTAGTAAAACTGGTAAGTTCGTTTAAATTGACATTTTTTAGTTTTTATGAAGTAAAATGGCAGAAACTTTCTTTACAAAACAAAAAATAACAAGAACTTTCTTTACAATCTAAAAAATGGCAAAAATTTTCTTTATAAAAAAATGGCAAGAACTTTCTTTACAAAACATATATGCAAATCATCGTATAAATTGGCACCCGCAGGTTGCAAAACACTACACTTATCTGTAAACTGCAAAAACTTTCTTTCCAAAACAAAAAATATAATTGTTTTAGCTCCATCATCAGTAGCTTATCAAGTAGAAGAAGAACCCTTCACTCCTCCTTTACCATCTACCGTATCTCCATCTATCACTCCATTTACCGTAACCGACGACCTTCTCGAGTCGTACGCCAAAACTGGTTTTGCTGGTGCACATGGTGCAGATGACTATGATTCTCAAGAAACCACGGGTATTGACTACACAACTCCAGCTTCATCACAATTCACACCTACAGTATATTCTACAGTATCCATTTCCCTGAAGCATACTCGTAACTATGCTGATAATGATGCTGACATTCCAGTTAAAGCCAAGGTTGCTGGAGGGCATGGGCAGCAAAAACCTTGTTGTTCATGTTGTCAAAATGTTAGGCCTCAAGCTAGTTTTGTGAACCAGATTACTGTACCTAGAACGAGTTATGTTCAAACGAATAGGTTGAGTTTATTGCCGGTGAATGATGCCTACCCTGTCCCTGTTACTAATACTCCAGCTCAAAGTAAGTTTATGTTTTTGATGTTTGTCGTTATTGATCTGTCCGGCACTACTGTTACTGTACTATAATATACGATAATATCACAAAAAAGTCATTTTTAAAGGCTTTTACTGCACTATAATTATAAAGAGGTTAAAAAGTCTTGTCGTTTTTTAATATTTTTTCCTTACTTTCTACCACTTTTTCTAAAAAGGCATCTCAAATTTAAAAACCCTCTCCCAAGCCAAAAATTGTTGCCAGACCAACAAAGTCTTATCCAATAGCGCCGAAGCCGACAAATCATAACGATGTCAAGAATTGCACTTGTCAGTTTCCACCTTACGGTTTTCCAGGTGCGTCACCATGGTTTGCTCCAGGCGGTGGACCCTTCCCATGGGCGGTTGGAAGTCAAGGCTGTGGCGGTCCTTGTAATGGCAATCCTCAACCGTGTTGTGGACCTACTGCTCCAAAACCTTGTTGCCCTAATGTACCAAATTGTTGTCAGAGTAGGTATTTATGTGTTTAGAAGGCAAGGTAAAATTTAAAGAACTAGGTAGATAAGGGTGAGAAATGAGCCAGGCTTACTATTGTGGCCTGCCTCAGACTTTAGTTCAACGTTTAAGCCTTGCCATTTAAAAAATACATATTGTATTAGATAGTGTAGCATTTAATCTAAAACTTCAGCTCCATGTTGTCCAAAGATCAGTCTTCCATGTTGCCCACAGCAATCACTATGCTGTGATCAAGGTTCTGGATGTGGTCAATGTAGAAGTAAAGCGGCTCTCAGGCTTCGGACAAAACGAACTGTAAGGTTTTTTGAAAATAATTAGTCAATGTTGTATAGACCTGAAAAGCATGTAAACCGAGCTTAATTTTTAGCTTAATCTTTTCAAGTTTGCTTACCCGAGCCGGGCCGCGCCGCGCTAAGCTGGGCCAAAGCCAGGCCACAGCCTGATTAAGATAGACCCAAAGCAGAGCCTTTAAGCAAGACTCGGGCAAGGCCAAAGCAAAGTTAAGGCAAAGCCAAGGTATGGCCAATTCTTGGCTAGCCGGACTAAAGTCGCGCCAAAGCCGGACTAACACCAGGGCAAGGCGAGCCAATGCAGGGTCAAGGCAGGGCAGAAGCAAAGCAATGTTAAGCCAAAGACACACCAAAGCCGGGTCAAAGCCGGGCCGAAGCATGACCAACGCCGGGCTAAGTCAAGGACAGTCCGGGTCAAGCTTATCTCTTGAGTCTTATTTTAGGTTAATTACTTTGTATTTTATTTTGTAAAACCATCAATTATAGCTATGTCTACCTTGTAACGGTCGTAAAAAGCGTGACATTTTTGACGAACTGGTTCACACAAGGCAGAAGCGACTTGGATGTCAATATTGTTCAAGGAAGAAGCGACAGACTGTAAGTTTTTCAAATTTTAAAATTTTAGCTTTTTATACAGTGGAAATTCTGAATAATGTAACGTATTTTACATGTCTTTGTTTTGCGGGGTTTTTGTTCCATAGGAGTTCGTTATACAAGAGTTCTACTGTAATTTCAGAATTATTTAAAATTTTAAACTTTTTCTTAATTTTTATACAAAAGCTAAATCCACTTTGTTAAACCTACAATTGTAATGTTGATATTGTAGTGCCAGACCTGCACCTCCTTCCAACAATCTATTTTTGGCCGAGTACGAAACTCAATGAGTTCGTGTACTCAATGTCCCACTGTAGCACACCGGAAGAAGCGGGAAGCGGAAATACAACAATATTATGTAAGATTTACTGTCGAGTGCTCTTGATTTTTTGAAAGTAATTTGGTATGAGTAACATTATACTTGGTAATGTTCTTTGTTATGAATTATATAGGGTATTATGGCGTCAAATATACTGTGGCTTTTTACAGACAAGCTTACGACAACATGATGGGGGTATTGCAAATGGAAAGTTGGGTTCAAACATTGTTGGTAGTACAATATCAAGGCAAAGTCGACAAACAGTAAGTTTATACCTTAGCCCTAGACTAGGGTCTTAACCCAGAGCTCTAGCCCAGAGTCCTAGCACAGAGCCCTAGCTCACACCTTTAGCCCAAAGCTGCTCTAGCTCTAGCTCTAGCTCTAGCTTTAGCTCTAGCTTTAACTCTAGCCCACGTATTCCAACTACCCACTTAATATACCTAACAAAAAGTTATAACATACTACAAACTACGACACTTTAAGGTCACATGCATTATATGTATACTGCTTTATATCATGTAGCACAGTACAAAGTCTTCACGTAAATGTAAACTAAAAAATTTTAAAAAACTGTAAATTAAACTCCAATTTTAAAGAGACTTGCACTTTTAAATACAAATGAAACACTGTGTTTGAAGATTCCGAAAAACTGTTTGTAGCTAATATCAATGTCATTATTACAGTATTCTGAACAATGTGACGCCTCATGTTGTGACTACTCGAAGTGTCCGTCAAGTAACCCTTCGTACAATGTTGTACTTGCCACGTAGACGAATGTTCAAAATGCGGGTTAAATTTTTTTTATTATATGTTTTAGGTTGTTCAAATAATTCTGTCTTGTAAGCTCTGAAATTTTTATTTTCTTTGAGAGAGGGCACGGAATTAGTTGAACAACTTGATTTATAAAGTAAGATATAATTCATATACTACAACATAATTTAAAGATATTATATATAGAGTATGGCATATGTATATTTATTATTGTACTTAATATAGTTGTTTTTCCGCTGTAATTATTGTAGATATGAGTCTTTTTTTCTTTGTTTGTTTTTTTGTTGTCATGTCTTTTTCATTTTACAGCTGATATATTAAATTATAATACATAAAGTAGCAGTAAGCTTGATTACAATTTATTTCATTGTAATACTAGCTTACTGTGGTTTATTTTGATGTGTTTTGCTTTTGCATGGTTAATATATTTGACATTATATAAACTTCTATTTCTTTCTTTTCACTGCCATTCATTTTTAAACCCTCTCTTTATCCTATAATTTTTTATCCTAACTTAACTTATATTTTTTGTAGTACATCTTATATTTAAAAAATTCTACATTCAGGTAATAAATATAAATATAACCTATCTTTTAATCATGCACAACCAAAAAAGAAACTAGAATTTACACTGTTGTTTACCAACCTTTGTGTTCCGGTATTATTGTAGCATAACAAGCATGTGACAGATACTTGGTTGAAATGAACATACAATCTCATTTAATCCTGTTGCTAAATTTAACACTTTTTCAGTTACACTTGTAGGTGCAAGTGTCAAGAGACTACAAGTGTTGTTTCCGTTCGAGGGAATTCATTTTACTTTATTGTGTTTAGTTATTTTACTGTGCATTTGATATATATATATACTATATTTTTATAGATTATTGCACGGTAGGGTAGGTCGAGGCAAGGTAGTTTTAAAAAAATATATATAAACTTCACTCCCTACCTGGTCGTACACAAGGGTATAGTAAATCAGGGTAAAGTAAAGTAAGGTTGAAAAGGGTAGGATAAGGTAAGGTATGGTGGGGTAAGACAAGGTAGGTTACAGCAGGATATAGTAAGGCAGAATAGAGCAGGGTGGGGCTGATTATTGTATGTTAGGGTAAGAGGAGAGTAAGGTTGGCTGGGCAAGGCAAGGCAAGGCAAGGCAAGGCAAGGCAAGGCAAGGCAAGGCAAGGCAAGGCAAGGCAAGGCATATTAATATTGCTTACCTCAAACAGTCCCAATAACCTAAGTGAACCGAAAGTTCCTGGAATGATAAAAAATGTCAAAAAATATTTAAAATTGATGAAATTGCCAGAATTCGATTATTCGCATCCGCATCCGACTGGAAACACGGTAAAAGAAGCCGCGTTTCATTATTATGGCCATAACATCAGGTGGAGAGGGTTTGGCGCATTTCACGCTTAATTTCAGGCTTTGCGGTTTTTGTAGCTTTAAATTAACAAAACATATGTAAAAGAGGGCATGACAAAAAGAAATGACATTTTTTATTTCACTCTACCTTACCCGTCTTAATTATCTGCTTATCTATTCTACTTTTACTCTCTTTGTTTACCGTTCTGTGATGTATTCTTCTCTTTCTACACCGTTATTTCTTACCGTTTTGTATTTTTACTGTGCTTAATTTCTGCCTGACGTGACATTAACTTTACTCCTTAGTTTATATCGTTTAAAACATTAAACTTTGGTCGTTTCATGTCATGCTTTATGCTTTACTCTTATTTTTTTCTTTATATATTTTATTTTTTCTTTACTGTTCCTACAGTATTATATCTAACTTATACTGTTAAAAAAAGCTCTACTTTTGACCTAAATCTTTTAAAATCAAGATCTCATTCATTTGCTCAAACTCCAAAAATCAGGACAAATTAAAATGAAATTTAAAGTCGTCCTGTCTTTGTACAAGTCATGTCAAGTCTGTCACCATGAAGAAGGTGCTGTTTGGCTGACGAACCAATTAGGCAGGGTATTTTGACAGCCCTTAAATGGCCCGTTTTCTTGTTTTTCGCGCCGCCCGACTACGGTAGACGGAACAAGAATTTTGAGGTTTGTTTGCGGAAGGCCACTTTAGATGGGACGGATTGGTTGGGTGGTCTTGTAGTTGGAGATTTGGAATTTTTAAATTTTTCGAAATTTGAAATTTTTTTAAATTTTTGAAAAATTTTGTAAAAATGCAATGGAACATCGCTGAAGTGCTTGGAAATTTAAAATGGTTTAGTTATGAAGAAGTTTAAATTTACTTTAGTTTTAGATAAACTTAAAGGACCAGTTCGCCCATTCAAATATCATTGGCATTCTGTCGCAAAAATTCGACGTTCATTTTTTTTCGCAAAAAAACCTGAGCAGGTCGGTCCCAAATTGGAAAATTCATTTCGACACTGACCCACTCACGTTTTTTGAGAAAAATGATTTTGATTGAAATTGCCAGATTTTCGACGCTTTTTGCGACAGAATGCCAATGATATTTGAATGGGCGAACTGGTCCTTTAAAAGCTGTTAAAAAGTTTTGTCGCTAATTCACACGGTTTTGCAAAAAAAACTTCCCCTCCACCCCCCCCACCCACAAAAAAATAAAAATTTCAAAAAAAGTTGATAACCCTCCCTGCCCTACCAAAACCTCTCTACTTTAAAACTTACCGTTCAGCATGTGCCATTTTCTCGTTTCCCTTCGGTCGAAACACGAAGACGTAATTGAATTGGATTTTGACCATTTCCGCGTCGCAGTCGATACTTTGTTTTTCGGTCGATTTGTTGTCGTCGATTTGAAAGATTTGATGACACATTATTTTCAGCTCAGTTAGGTCTATTTGCTTACAATTCTCTTTTACTAAACATGGTCCCCCTGTGGATTTTTTCGACTCCCGTCCCCAGACCGAAAGTTCTCGCCCGGCCCTGAATACAAATGTGACGAAGTAAGATCGGCGTATTTTACTCTATTTTTATAAATAATATGCGAAACTTGAAAAGAGCAACAATCTAATTCAAAGCATATTCAAAAGCGATAAAATATGACAGAAAAGTACCGCCGTAATGGGCTCGACTTTGCATATTATGACTTGCTTTGATTGGTTTATTATAATCTTTATATCGTCCCGGTTTGGCTAGCCTTTTTTTTAGATTTAATATAGTATTTTTGATTATTTTTAAATTTAAAAATCTTTTTTTTTTAAATTTTTTTTGAGCACAAGGCAGGGTAGGTCAGAGCACTATGGGTCAGTCAGGGTATGACAAAGCACGGCATGCCAGATCAGGGCTGAGCAGGGTATAGTATAACATTTTTTTTCATTTGGTCGTATTTTACTACAAATGGCATAAAAATTTTTTAAAAATTTAATTTTTTTATTTAAATTTCAAAAAATTATCACAAAAGGCCTTTTTGTCGTATTTTACCATAAAACACTAGCCAAACAAAAAAATGTCTTTTTATTTCAAATTACAGTAACCGCCTGACCTTTCGCCACGCGCATTAGTCTTATCTCCAAATTAGTGTTGTTGCAATCGCGGATTAGTGCGCAATTAGGCAAAACAAATCGATTTAGCGAGAGTTCTTAACCACCTTGACATTCCACAACAATTGGCTAGGTTAAGTTTATTACGGGAAGATGTTAACGGTAGGGAGGATGCAGAGTGCGGGAAAATGAAGGGGGAGGAAGATTTTGATTTGGAGGGTGTGGTAAAAGTTGAGATTTTGAAGACTGGGGGGGGGGAGTTTTTTACAATTAAAAGATGTTTCAAAAAAGAGGGAAGGGTACAAAGTTGTGTATTTTTAAGGCATGGTAAAAACTAAGACTTTAGAGATGGGGAGGGTACTAATGAGTGTTTTTAGGCAGAAAGGAAGGTGAAAATTTGTGTTTTATGGGGTATGGTAAAAGTTGTGATTTTGTAGTATGTAGACTTGAAAGAGAAAGAGGGCTCACCATTTTCAACTTGGCCTAGACTTGGGTTGACGCATATTGAAAAAGAGCTGGGATAACGCATATCAAAAAAGACCGGGCTAAAAATTGGGCTTAGTTAAACCTTTTGCCAGGTTTACTATGTAAGATACTAAGGGGTGTTTTAACTAGGATTTTCGTAGGCATGATAGACGTTGAGATTTGATTATAGTAAAGTACGTTCTTTAATATTTAGTTTATTAAAAACATTAAACCTACAGTAGTAAAAATTCAGCAAAAAAATTTTTAAAAGTATTTTACAATTTTTTCGAAACTCGACAAATAGACTATGATTTTTTAAAATTAAGACAAGCAGACTGATTTGCCAATGCCAATTCAAAACACAGTTAATCCCGAGAATCAAACCGGGACCTGCTGTTATTTAAAATCCACTAATTATACGTCTTCTTTACGACCGTCTTCTCCGATTTCAAGGGTACCCCCATCTGTGGGGCCACACAAAAAGTTTAGGGCTTATTAAAGAGGGCGCGGGAAAAGTTTTTAAGCAAATTTTAAGTTTTTAAATGTAGCATAAAAGTGATTGTTAATGGATATCTTTTAAATAAGCATTTTTTATTAGAGTAAGGTTGATTACGCATGTTAGACGTAGAAAATGATAAAGATATGACGATAAGTATGAACGAACGATAGATATAGTAGAAGAAAATAATAAAAATAAGACGAATGGTATATGATGACATAAGGGTAATACAACGTAAAGGTAAGACATGGCTTATTTAGGGCACGGTAAGCATAAAGTATGTTAGGGTATAGTATAATGGTAGCAAAGAATAGGGTAGGGTAGAATATGGTGTGGTCGGTTAAGTAAGGTTGTGTTGGTTGGATTCGATAGCATTGGGTACTGTATAGTGAGGTGAGATGGGGTAGGGTAGGGTATTGTAACTTTGAAAATCTCACGTAAAACTATCACTAACATTAACACTTGGTTACTGACCAGGTATTAATATGTAAGTAATTAGTCATTCCAACTCATCAAATTACAATTTTCATAATTAAACAACATTTTAATCACAATTGTTAATTAAATTTCAAGGTTTTTGGGCCAAAAAGTGTAGGTGGAAAAGTTTTCGGGGAAAAAGATTTACTTACAACAACGAGGATTAAGGGGGGGGAGTGACAGGGGAGAGGGCAGCTTAAGTTAAGATTATGACAATTTTTAGGCATTTTCAGGAATTGGCATGGATTTTTTTTGTGGATGTGGTATCATTCTTATGTTGGGGGGGGAGGGGGGGGGGTGGGGTGTGGTAAAAATAAAAATATTTTTTTTAGGGGGTGGGCTAGTTAAAAAAAATTTTTTCATTTTATGTAAAAAATTTTACGTTTTCACGTCTTCTTATGTTATTAGTACTCTGTCTTATCATGTTATGTTATACTTACCCCCTTCCCTCAAGTTGTCTCAAGCTCTTGATCTTCGAAAAAACGAGACATTTGGGTTTTAATTCTTATGGAAATGTGTTTTTTTGGGACAACTGATTTGAGTGGCCAAATGTTTGAAATCGCTTTTAGTTTTAGGGGGGTGTCGCGACTTTTTCGTGTCCAATTTAATATGGCCAACCCCGTGGGAAGAGGTGTGGGAATATCATAAAGGGTACGGTAGTTGGGGATGGTAGGGCTCTGGCTTAGGGCTCTGGGCTAGGATCTCGGTTTAGGGTTCTGAGTTAAGGTACTGGGCTAGGGCTCTGGGTTAGAACTCTGGACTAGGGCTCTGGGCTAGAGCTTTGAGCTAAGGCTTTGAGCTAGGGCTTTGGGCTAGGCTGCCAAAACATTTTTCATATGACTTTTTTTTACAGTCTAACCATATTATGGTAGACTAAAATGAAATTGTTGTTTACATTTTTTTTGATTACATTATTGATTACAGTTGTACTACTTATAAGTATTTTGAGCTCACAGTAATTGTAAAACCATTTTTTACGTATTAAATATTGTTTGTTAACCATAAGTTAATTACAATTTAGAAAGACTTAATTACTTAATAAGGCATCTATGTTGTAATTAGCAATCCTTGACCTAAATTCGATTAAAATTTGGTTAGATATGTTAATATTTCTAAAATTATAATATTTTTAAAATTTAAAGTTGTTTTATTTTTTTTACTTTTAGCTGTATTACTATCTTACAGTATTTATTTTCTCACTGCTTTCCTCTAACGACAAATTTTGAATTTGTTACTTAAAATTTAAATTTTGTAAAATTTAAAAGATTTCAAAATTTTCAAAAATGCGGTTATGACCATGCGGTTTTCTTTGTGAAATCTCTTTGTAATCGTGCAATTACTACAATAAAGAGTCAGAGTAATCCTGTGGATTATCTTTTACAGTCTTATCCCCCCACTCATTATTAATTATTCTGCCATATTTCATGTCTTATCGCCAAGTTTTTGAGTATTTTACAACTTTCTTTAAATTTTTTAAGTATTTTTATGTTATGTACTATGGTTTTCTATAGTTGTTTTTATATTTTATTTGTTTTTTTTTATTTTTTGCAATTTTCGGGTTAAAAGACAAGTCGAAAATTTTGATTTTGAAAGTCTTGCTAAAAGGTTTACATTGGCGTTCTGTTGCAAGCCCTTACGTTTTAGGTTTTGATATGCTTATCAGCTGATGAGACGTTTTTTTTACAAGTTGTGGCACAGATTTAACTTATTTTCATTTTTGTACGAAAAATTATGTAAATTTATTCACAAGTACACTTAGATTTTAAAATTTGTCATGTTAAGATAGATTTTTACTGCTCGTTTTTAAAAGTTAGGCAATTACAATTTAAATAATTTTTTTATATTTAGGTAAAGCAATGATTTTGGCCTATTTCAATAACCGGTTGTTATTTGTCATTTTTGGAAACAAAATTTATGGCGTTTTTTTCAAAGCCACAGCACTAGTCCCAGTTCCAGCTTTAGCTCAAGTTCTCGTTCTCTCTTTAGCTCTATTTCTACTTGTACCTCTAGCATTATCCATATCCTTTCCAGCTTTTAAAAATCAAAGTTTTGAATAATTTTGAAAACGTTATTTTATTTTTATGATATATCATTTACAATTTTTAAGTCGTTTTGACTTTTAACCTTCTAGTTTTTATACAATATTGTTTGTGCCTGAGTTTTGTACCCTACCGTACTCCGCGGGCTTAAGCCGGGACCAAAACTCCTACGATAAGTTTGTTGAATGAAGATTATCGGATATTAGCTGTTCAGCCGGAGGATAATATAAAATGACGCTGCATTTCCAAGCAAAATGTCTGTGATTTTTGAGATTTTTTAAAATTGTTATGGTTTTTTGCAAAAACTTTCTTTACAGAACAGGCTTTTGATGTTTTTAGTAGACAAATTCAAAATTTCTTGGCTCTAGCTTAGAAGTCAGGAAGCAAGAGCTGCAAGAGCTGCTCTGGACCCCTTAGGACCAATGGCAAAAATTCAAAAAAAAATTTGTAAAATACGACTTTCATTCCTCATAACTTTGATAAACTTCTAAAACAACCAAATAACCAGGAAACAGCCTAAAAAAGGCGAAAGATCATTCAGAACAGAGAGAGTAGTCAGAGAAAGAACCGTAACCCATTTCGAATAAAGTGGGCGGAGTCATCCGTTCTAATCCCGGGCTAAATCTCGAGAAGGCGAGGGTTTGGAAATAACGTCAAGTCATCGGTTTATAACAAAACATACACGACCAGTTTTTAACTATGTTTTTTTGTCGTATCTTCATTTTGACTGTTTTTTTATAATTGTTAACTAATTTATTGATAGTTTATGGTATTTAAATCTTATTTTTAAACTTTCAAACATTTTACGTTTTTTTCCTATTTTATTTAGTTCGTATTTTACAATAACATGTTTTAAGGAACTTTTAAAATTCTAAACTTTTCCAATTTTTATGAGTAAGACCTTTTTATTTTACATCTTGTTTTACTATACTTTTTATCTTTTATTAGAACTGTAGTATAACAAACCTCTCAGGGACCTTAAATTTTTTTGTTAATGAAGAGTTTGTTTTACACGAGTTTTAAATGCACTGTGAACAGTTAGACGTAGTTTTAAAAGTTACTTTACCAATTTTTAAAAATTATACGAGAATTCTACTTGATTTACTGTGAAGTTTTTAAAATATACTAATAGTGTAAATTAAATTCTTTAATTAAAAATTTTTTTCTTCCCTTCCCTCTTTATTTTCTTATTTTTCGACATTAACTTACTGCGTTTCTGTTTTACCCAGCCATGCGCTACGATAGTCTTGTCCTAACTTTTGGTTTAGACTTTCTCTAGCCTTTGTCTTTCAGCTACGTTAGGCTTACTCTAGACGCTTTAGTTTTACTTTAGCCTTGTTCTTCCTCTATCTTAGCTCTACTTAGTCTTTTACTACACTAGTCTTTCTCGCTTTTGTTTTAGTCTTAGTTCGGGGTTACCCTAGCTTACGCATACTCCCGCCTTTGCCTTAGAATTACTTTAGACTTTTCCTACCTTTACTTTAGATTTAATTTTACCCTAATTCTACCCTAGCTCTACCTAGTTTCACCCTACGCTATCCCTACCTTAACCCTTGTCTTAATCTTACTAGTTTTAGATTTTGCTGGTTTTACTAAAGCCATATACTACCTCTTTTCTAGCCCTACCCTGGCCTTACTTTAGCCTTGTCTAACTCGATTTTTTACAATATTTTTTCGTAATGAACTAAATAAAATTTTTTATTAATATCCCAATATCAGTTAATCATGAACAAACTAAAACGGTAAATAATCAAATAGTAAATATACACTTTAATTAGTTATTCATCTTTTAAATTAAAACAAATTTCAATATTCAGTGATGGATTAATCTGATTACTTATAAAAACATCAATTTTGGACCAATTTAAATTGTAATTATTGCTTTTTATCACTATTCTTTTAAATTTTCGTGTCAAGATTATAATTTTATTGTTTTTGTTTCACCGGTCGAAAAGTTTTGGGAATTACGAATTTTATTGAATTTTCTTAATATAATTTTTTCTACAAACTTATTGACCTTTCTTAATAAAATAAGTTTTTTTGTTTTTTTTATTACACGCCGTTCTTTTTGCATCAGATCAAGCGTCATATTTCGTATTTTACAATATTTCTTTGCTTTTTTTAAGTTTTAAAATTTTTAAAATTTTACGATTTTTTAGGTCAAATAGCTTCAAACTATGGAAAGCCAGGCTTATTACCCATTGCCGGCTTTCAACCCGTTTCCAACCGATAATCAGAGCTTTGATGAACAGTTTGACGATGTCGACAAGCCTCCATCAAGTAGGTTTTTGTTTTTCCTGCGTAATTTTACATCTTCTGGTTTTACTTACTAGGTATAAGCTACAAAAATTTGGTTTTTATACTACAGTAGACGTTTGTTAGAAGTAGCAACAAGTGGTAATAGATTTGTGTTTACTATAGTAAGCGTTTGTGTTATGTAGCCTTTTTTACATTTAGATAAGAGTATTATCATAGAAATAAGTTGTACATTCATGATCATGTGTAAAAGTTCCTTATAAAAAATTTTGACTTGCTCTATAGAAAAATATGTATATACCATATTTGTTACCTAGCTTACTATGTATATATATTTGACATTTGCGTGTAAACCACCCTTATATTTATTGCCAAAGGGTAAACGGTGCATAAGATTACTCGATAGCTTTACTATAACAAATAGCATGATACACTTTCATTAGTTTATTGTAACAGGCTATTTGTTATAGAACATAGCACACAGAATGGGGTATTCTGGAGCTATGTTCAACTGAATTATAAGTTAAAAAAGAAAAATGCAACTTTATAAACAAGAAAGTTTAAAATTTTGTTTTAAAATGTGAGGAAAAGTAGACTTACGATGCTGGCAACACTATCAGGAAAAGTACCCTACCTACCGCGCTCAGAATCAGCGTAAAATTTTTATACGAATTTTTTTTACCAATAGTACCTATAAAAAATTTTAGCTCGTTTTTTTGAGTTTTAAATTTGAATTATTTTGATTCCCCGCCAATTTCGCAACTTTGGCATTCTGTTTCAAGCACTTTTTTCGACTTTCCAGTCAAGCTACAGTTACAAATTTAAAAACGTAGGTTCCTTTAAAGGTTTTCTACTAGTATATCAAAGAAAAATTCTTAAAAGTTAAAAACAGCAAAGTTATAAGCTTGAAACATAATGCCAATTTGGCAAGAAATACAAAATATAATTCTTTTAATCTAGATTTTCTCGATATTGGCTGGAAAGCGCGATTTATTACTTTGCTGAAGATTCTATATTTACATGATCTTTTTATATAAAAAGTTTGTAGTCAATCAGGGCGAGGCAGTTCGGGTACTTTCCTTGTATTATAAAAGGCAATGGCTTTTTTGTTACTTTTTTGGTCTTTTGAAATTATTTTTAAGACTAAAGGTATTGGTGGGGGCCTTTACTGGGTTTAGTTTCAATAAATCTTTCTTGTACAATTAGCATTGGGAAGGTTGAGTTTTTTGGCACAAAATTGTATGTTAACTACAGCTATGCTCTAAAATCATATATTTTTCGCAATTCTATGGACTACAATTTGCATACAGAGTGCGCCAAAAGTTCTGTTACACGGTTTTTTAATCAAATATTTATTTCGTAACAGAACTTTTGGCGCACCCTGTATTATACTCCACAGCCCTTTGACATGGCTTATATTACTCTTTTACACCCCTCAATATGGCTTACTAATCGGTCACGTAAATAGTTAAATTAAACTTTCCAAAAAGTTAATTAAAGGCCTATAATTAGGTGTCAGACAAACACAAGATTATTTATTCTCCTACACTTTTAAATGTTATCTAATCAAGTCGCTTACCTTTTTTCGTTAATTTTAGCCTTTTGCGGATTAGAAATGGGGCTAAATTGGGCAAAATACTCGGTTTTAATTATATTATTAATAACTCTCAACATGCAAACATAAATGATCAGTTTTTTCGAATTTTGCAAGTTTTAGGGTTGAAACATTGAGGTTTGTGGCAATCTTAAACTAAAAATTATGCCTAGAGCTACACCTTGGAGCTGGGCCAAGCCCAGCTTTTTACCCTGCGTTAGTGGCCAAGCCTTACTTTGAACCTCGGTACACCGCTTTAAAACCACAGATGTTTTACATTTTTTGCTAGCCAAATCTTTTGTTGCGGGACCTAAGCTGAGTTTCTAGAGCCTTGCTTTGTGCTCCTTTCTCTGTTCCCATATATGCCAGCCCGGTCCGGCTTTTTTCAATTTTGCTTCGGCTTAACCCGGCCCGGAGTCGGACTGAGCTGGACCTATTGGGCTTCTTTTAAGGTTTAGCTAGAGCAAAAAATTTCAGAACCAAAAGACTGGACTTGTTATACTTTGGTTTGAGCAATGAATAACACAATTACAAAACAACTCATTTCAATTGTATTGTAGTATCGTTTGGAAACAAAATGTGTTACGGAAGTCTTTATTAGGCTTCTCTTTGTTCCAAATAATAAGTCTAGTTTATATGAAACCGCATATAATTTGAAATACAGTGAATGTCTTGTATAATATATCAAACTCTTGTCAAAAAATATGTATACAACTACACAATGTATTTAAAAGTTTCGTATTAAAAAACTCTTTTATAAAGAAAAAAAATTAAAACCTCTCAGCGATGTGTTATAATAGGGTTCTACTGTAACTCACTTTTATAAATTGTTTAAAAACCTAAGTTGACCCTATTTCTAGATGATCATAGCTCTGGATTTAGCATAGCTCTACATAGTATTAGTCTTAGCTTTTTTGTCCTAGCTCTAGCTCTAGCTCTAATTCTATCTCTAGTTCTAGTCCTAGTCTTAGTTCTAGACCTAGGTTCTAGCTCTAGTCTTAGCCTTAGCTCCTCTAGCTCTAGGTTATTATCTGGCTCTAACTCTAGCTTTTGCTCTTGCTCTCTTACCCCAACTTTACTTTTAGCTCCTCTAGCTCTCACTCTGTTTCTAGCCTTGGCTCTTGCTTTTGCTTCTGCTTAAGTTCTATGCTTAGTCCTAACACTAGCATTACAAGTAGCTCCAGCTTTAGCATTAGCTCTTCTTATTGTATTAGCCTTAGTTCTTGCTTCACATCTAGCTCTAGTTCTAGCTCTAGCCATATCTTTCTCTACTTTACTATGCCTTACTTTATTCTTGTCTTTTTCAGCCTTATTCTAACCTTATCTAGCTCAACTTTTGGAAACTTTTATAAGCTTTACTTTTTATGTAAAATACGATGTGGTAAGTTTTTTGCATTAAAAAAAAATTCTTTTGTTTATGATAACAAGATTATAAATGCTATTCTACATTACGTCGTTTGTTGAACTTACTGTAAAGATTACTTTACTTATTCAAAACCAGCAGTATTCGGAACCTTTACATTTAGTACTTTGTAGCATTACAATGTTACTATAAGCCATCTAAATCTCAAAGTATTAAACTATATTGTCTTTGAATCACCACACCATAACATAATAAGGAATCTTCGTATATTCATATAACTCCTCTACGCACATGCATATTCCACACCAATTATTGACAATTGTAAAGCCATCTAAATTTATTGCCTAACGAGATTATGAATGTAATGTTTACATTGAAACAACTTTATACGTAAAGCGGATTAACATGACTAACTCTACGGTAGATTTCGGGGCGGGGTAGAATAAGAAAAGACTTTTTTTGGGATTGTTGGTTAGATTTGTCATTTTTGTGAATTTGAGTGTTACTAGTTTTGTATTTGTGGCATTATTAAGGTATTGGTGTCTTGTGCTATATACTTGGATATTGTTACATTAATTACCTGTATTTGGCTATCCAGGGCTATATAAAGCCGTATCTTAGTACTATTTTCCATAGTGTTACTTTTCTGTAGTACTCTTTCATTTACAGTTACTGTACTGTATTGCCATTTAATAGTTACGTACTACACAGTACTTATCCTACTAATATCTCAATACTGTACTGTATATTATATTACAGTTCTAGTTTATTGTTTGGTACTATATTGTAGTACACTTTCTTCTTCATACTGATAAGCATCATACTATACTAGAGTACCACTTTATTCATTGGTACTATATTGTAGTACTGGTTTATAAAAAAATACTACTTATCAGTACGTTAGTAGTGTCTTTTGTACAATACTTGGCTTAACAGTACTATATAATTTATGTACCAGCTTGCAAGACACATATAGTACTAGTATTAAGCTACTAAAACCAATACTTGTTGAACTATCTATGATAATACATAGTTGTGTATCATATAAATAATGGCGATTAACTTTGAAGACACGTTCAAATCAGAACAAAAACTGTTTTTACTATTGGGTACGGACCTTTTCATTTTTGTTTTTTATTTTAGGATTAAAGGTAAAAGCTTATGCGGCGTGCAGATAACATAGAGGCAAATATGTAGAAGCTAACTACTGTAGGCTTAAACGTGTTTTATATCTATTAGTCGGTTTAAATAAGTGGTTTACCGCGGTAAAATAAAACTTTTCATATTAGGTCGTTTAACTAGTCCTGTGCTCCCTAATATCTATAACTTGTTTTGAGGGGAGGCACAGAATTATTTAAACATCCAACTGTAATAAAAAGATATTGTGAGTTGTTGTTAAAGGCAACTTAGAGCTAAAAACTGGCTTTTAGTTGTTACGACAATTTTCATATTAGAGGTGTCTTTGTGTAAAATACGATGATCAGAGTCGATTTAATACGTTTTTTTATAAAAACCAAAAGTTTTGAAAAAAGTCAAATTTGGAAAGTTGTTGGCGCTAGCTCTAGTCTTAGTTAATCCTGGTCCTGGTCCCGGTCCTGGTCCTGGTCTTGGCTCTAGCCCTAGCCTAGGGATTTTTTACCCTGTCCTTGTTTTATCTTAGAAATAGTAGTCGTAATCCTACCTCTAGCCCTAGCCTCCGGAATTATAATATAAATTTTAAAACTTGTTCTAAAATTTATAAATGCGACTTTTCAGACAAATCCAAACGCAAAGAAAAGGACTCAAAGAAACAGCGAAGGAACAGAACGACGTTCACAACGTTTCAACTTCACGAACTGGAACGGGCTTTCGAAAAGTGTCACTATCCAGACGTCTATGCGCGAGAACAATTGGCCATGAAGATAAAACTGGCAGAGGTTAGGGTTCAAGTAAGTTTTAGTGATTTTGGTATTATATTTTAGAGGTTTTGAGGCATATATGGCCATATGTTAGGTCAAAAAATATTAAAATTTGAATTTTTTTGTCCAAGATTTTTCAAATTTTTAAAATTTATTTTTTCGAATCTAAATTTTTTCAAATTTTTAAAACCTACCGTAATCCAGCCACCTGTCTGCTAGCCGTTTTTTTCCAAAGTTATGGGATCGTTTATTAAGCATATGGCCAATCATTAGGCCATATTTATTGGGTTTGCTTAATTTGCTAAACACTTTTTGTTTTAATTGCCTATTCTTTATGACATTACTTTATGTTATTGAGAAGGTTTTGACTTTTTCAAAATTTTTTGACATTTTATGGTACATGTGGTATTATTTTGTAGATTACTAATTCCAAGGCGTATTTTACAAAAAAATTTGTTTTTGTGTTTTTGATAGCACCAATAGTACTATTTTTTGATTCTTTTTAATACTAATAGTACTTTTTTAGTACCAGTCATATCATTTTTAATACCAAAAGATAACCTTTTGGTAAAAAAACTTTATTTTTTCAAATTTACTTTTGTAAATTTAAAATTTCAAAACGCAGTAAACAGTTTTTTACACAGTAAATGACTGTAACACCTAATTAGCAACCATCATTTCCGTGGTAAAATATGGCATTTTCTATGCTGCATTTCGCAATCACAACATGCTTTGGTGTCATTTGGTAGATTATGCCTATATTCAACAAGTTATGTTGGTTTTGTCACGTTTTTTGGCATTGTGTTTCAAGCTTGTAGTTTTGTCATTTTTTGACTTTTAATCATTTTTCTTTGGTATACTAGTAGAAAACCTTTAAATGGACATACGTTTTTAAATTTTTAAGCGTAGCTTGTGGCTTGAAACAGAATGCCAAATTGGCGGGAAACTCAAATATTTAAATTTTAAAAAAACAAAAGCGCGGGTTTAAATTTTTTATGGGCACTATTAGTGATACATAGAATTCATATAATAAGTTTGAGCTGATTCTGGGTGAGGCAGGTAGGGTACGTTCCTTTAGGTATTAAAATTTCAAATTTTTTAATTTTTTAAATTTAATTTTTTTTCAAATCTCAAAATCATTTAATAAAAAGAAAATGAAAAAATTAATATTAGACTAATTTCCATGTACTATAACAATATTTAATACTGTTAAGACCAAAAACATAGTGATTAAAGTCTTTTCGAAGCCAATTAAAGACCAGATTACAATTGTTTGACGTAGTAATTAATTAAGAGATAATTGTAAATAAATGTTTATTTTAAGACTAACAAACAGTCGTACGTGAAATAAGAGGGAAATTTTTAATTACTAATCAAAATTGTTTATTAATTTCCAATTTTAAGAACTTGTGATAGACAAAATAGGAGTTTAATTAAGAATTTTGAAATTTCTGGACGTTAAAACTAAATTTTGTTTATAAAACTATGTTTGTTAGGGTCTTTTTGATATTATTAATACAAAACATTTTTAAAAAGTGTTTTATAAAGTGGCAGTTTATTGATTTTAAGCCTAAAAACCTGGAAAATTAGCAAAAAAAATCAAAAAGAGACAGAAGAGAGTGCAAAAAGTAGAGAGACAATGAGAGACGCAAAGAAAAACAAAAAGAGAAAAGGCTTTTCGCTCTGGATCAGCGGGTTCCCCAGTCGAAAAGCAAGTAACACTTTTATATGCGTCGGACAAAACGTTTATTTGGTACGACTTTTGTCCTTATGATGACATTGCGACGGTGCGGTCTTATTAACCATGGTGAGAGCCAAGCAGTGACTGAAGGCTAGTTTTTGAAATTCAAAATTAGGTTTATTTACGTTGTCTATAGGGAACATCTAACCATACGATTACTTTGTTAACTGTTACAACACCGGAAGTCTTCCATCCCCCTTTTTCAAACCGTCATTTTAGTAACAGCCGGCTTTAAAAAATCATACCGTGAAACCGGAGATAATACTACAAATCTTGCTGTGTTTTGCAGCAGGCTTATCAAGATAATACTTGTTGCAAGATACGTTTGTTATCTACGTTTGAAAATGTCATTCAAAACAATACGATTACGCTAATACTAGACGTTTTATAATAGTAGGATGCTTTGACATATGAGTTAAATGAGTCATATTGTGATGGTCTGGATTACAGTAGGACTTGGGATTAGAGAAAAAAAAGTGTTTTGGTTTTAGGTTACTGTAGTAATAATGATTTTTTGGCTTGAGGTTACTGTAGTATTCTTCGGACTACAGTAAGAGCTTTGGATTACGGTAAAAAGTTTTTTTTGGTTATGGTAATGTACTGTATTTCAAGTATTTGTTATAGTACTGTAGTTTTGTATTACCACTTTTATTTCCTGACAGTATAATTTGTCATACTGTTCTTTAGAATACTCTTTCTAGTACTGTGCAGTGCCATACTGTACCTTAGTACCGTACTTTAGACGAAAAGAACAATTTCAAAACCCTAAAAAAAGTGTAATCAAGGAAATTGATTAAATTGTAATAAGTAAGAGATTAGGCATCACATATCATTAAAGATTACTCTGTAAGATAACTGACTTATCCCTCCGGCTTTAACCCCCTCAGAGACAAAGAGTAATTAGCAGTTTAATTACTCATTAAACTTTAAAACTTGCACATTTTGGCTAATCTTGAGGGAATTTGCATTTTATTTTTAGAAATTTGCATATTAGAGACTTTATAATTTTTTTAAATTTTAAAATTTTAATTTTTCGGCTTTAACTGTAGCTTCAGGCTTAAAATTAGGCATAAATTGAGCAAATAAAAACGTCTTTTCAAGACGGCGTATTTTACATTGTATTCAAGTTACTAAGCATACTAAAGGCCTATATTGTTGTAGGTATGGTTCCAAAACCGTCGTGCCAAATGGAGACGTCAGGAGCGAATGGAGACCTCATCTATTGGCGAACTGTCAGCTAGCCTCAGGCCAAACCAAAACTTTTGCATGTCATGGCCATGGCCAAACTCAAACGAAGACTTTGCCAACGGATTTGGGTAGGTAAAATGCGGGATTTCGAGTGGACCTTTTATTTATTTTAACTTTGGTAGATCATATACAGTTTATTTCGCTACAGCTATAGAATAGTATACACAGTCAAACCTCTTTAGTATGACAGTCAAGGGAGTGAGCCAAACCAGGTTTTTACAATGGAGGATACTGTAATGTAGGGTACGGTAATGCAGAATAGGGTAATGTAGAGTAGGGTAGGGTAGGGTAGGGTAGGGTAGGGTAGGTTAGGTTAGGTTAGGGTAGGGTAGGGTAGGGTAGGGTAGGGTAGGGTAGGGTAGGGTAGGGTAGGGTAGGGTAGGGTAGGGTAGGGTAGGGTAGGTTAGGGTAGAAAAACAATGATTATTTTTAATTTTCAGCTACCAAGTCTTGCCCGAGCCGAAATTCATGCAGAATATGCCCATGCCCGCGCCCAACACTTTGCCGTTACCATACCTCCAATACTTCAACCCTACCATTAAGACTGACGATTTAAAGGAAATGCACTCGCCTCAGCCAAAAAATCTTCAATTACCGGTCGATAATATCCAGTCGATCGAAGGGCTTCATATGAATCGAGATGGTACTGTAGATGTTTTGCATAGTACTATAGATGGCCTTAATAATACCGTGGAAGATCTTCGGGGTACTGTAGATGGATTACAGAGTACGGTAGAAGGTCTAGGATCAGTAGATGGCTTATCTAACTCAATAAACGGCCTTCAAAACTCGGATGGTATTCAAGGCTCTATCAACAACATCCAAGGATCACTAAACACCCTACAAGCCCACCGTGATACTGTAAGAGAACCCTCGAGCAACAGTCTTACTGTGCCCATCAATAATCGAGTACGATCTCCATTAGATCCTACTATCCAACCCAATCTACATACAAATATAGCCTTAAACATTGACAACAGAAGTTGTAGCGACCGTACCACACCCATGAACTGCATGAGCACAGACTACAGTACCCATAGTATCACAACATCAACTAATAATTTGAATAATATCAACAACAACGAGCTGCATCCTTTCTACTTTAACCATTACGAGCCACAACATGTTGATCGAAAGTTCGATTTCGAAGCCCCCAAGCTGACGTCGAGGCTGGAGGAGCTGCTTCACGCCGAAATCAACGGTGAAATGGCAGCCGGAGGGAAGGAGTTTGAATTAACCGAAAATCAATGTGCTTTCTAATGCCATTTTATATTGATGTACTTTAAGTTTTTTAGATTTTAATGTAAAATACGTAATTTTTTTTTTTGTAAAATATGCCGTATTAGGTTGTTCAAATAATTCTGTGCTCTTTCTCAAAACAAGTTTTATGGGCCAGGAACGCAGAATTAGTTGAACAATCTAAAAGATTAGTTTTCTTTGTAAAATACGACGCTGTTTTGGACTTGTATTTGTAAAATACGGCTAAAAAGCACGCCGGTCAAGTTGTTACCTGAAAATCAAAAAAAATCATGTTTTCGTGGTGAGACCCAAAAATAAAAAAAAATTTTATTGTTATGGTTGAACGTTTTATCTTTTTTAAGTTTGCTATAAAACCAAGGTTAAACTCAAAAAAATAATGCTTAGCCTTAACAATCATAAAAAACAAAGTTTTCGTGGCGATACCTAAAGTTACCATAAAATCATTAAATATTAAACTAAACGACGGCTTTGCGTATTTTACACTACTACACGTACTTTATATCTTAGTTTTTGGCGCCAAAATAGAGATAAAATAATAAAACCAAAAAATCAAGTTTTCGTGGTGGGACCCAGAATTTATACAAAACTTGAGTTTTTGAAATTCGCACTATTTTACATTGAATTCTAATTAATATTACTTTTATATATTTTAAAACTCTACTTTTATATGTACTTTAAAACAGCTTACTGTGCCGTATATACATCTATGTATATAAAGCTGTAAATATAGCTTTATGCCATTATTTAACCAACATTGTCTTAAAAAAGCCTAAGTCTTGTAATTAAGCCTAAACTTTTAGTCACATTGTATTCTAGTTATTTTATGACATTTTGTAATTTCAAGAAGTTTTAACTCTTTTCACTTGCAATACCTAAACCAATGTCAGATAATATACCGCAATACTATTTAACTCATTGTAACTGTTGTAAAAATTAATAAACATACCATATATGAACTTAACATGAGCTCGTTTTAATTTTTTTAGTACTGTGTTAAAGATTTTTGCTTAAAAACCAATTTGAGAACATTCGTGGTGGGACCCAAACGTTATATCAAAATTTGATTTTTTTGAGCATTCGGCATTAATAGCTAAAAAATATTTTTTTTAGTTTTTTTGGATTTTGTTATGTTAGTTAAATATGGTTTTAACCATGAAAACCAAAGATACAATCAATCGTTGTGGGACCCATTGCTACCTTCTTGAATAAAAAATGACTATTGTAGTAATATCTGGGTTTTCGTTAACACTAGAAATAGTAGCATTGAATGACACTTAATACAGTCCAGACTGCATTAAAAGCGCCCAACGTCATTCGTTACATTGTGGAACTCAAGGCCATTTGAACCATGTAAGTTGGTTTTAAAATGTCATTTCTTAATGGTAGTTTTTGAATTTTTTTGAAATTTTGGGTGTGGTACCTAGGGTGTATTTTAATGTTTGTGTTAAAATTTGGCATATGTATTGCCATTGTGGGTAAAGTTATGACCAAATTTGTGCTTACAACGCTGTTTTTCTTGATATTAGGTGCCGACATAAAGAACCCGCCATTTTTTGCACGAAATTACAGTGAAAATATGGCGGGTCTTTTATGTCAGTACCTAATATTTCATATTAGGTTGTTCAAATAAGTCTGCGCTTTTTTTAAAGCAAATTTTTGAGGTTAGGAGCACAGAATTATTTGAACAACCTAATGTTATTGTTAAATCAAGTGAAAAACTAAAATTGTGATGCAAATTCACAAGGATAGCCCCTTTTTTAATCAATAATTTTCAAAAACATCATCGTGGTATTTCAGCACCTTATAATTAATTAAGTTTTTTGATTTCTTTGCAAATTCTGATTGTTTTCCAGCCAAATAATTAGTCAGTGAGTGGGTTGCCCCGAATCGGGAAACTTTTATGACTTCTGATTAGGAATGTGGGAAAACAACTCAGAGGCTAAAAGTACAGTATCTACGTGCAATTCCGCTTTCTCATATTGTTTTTTAACTTTTAACTATTTTTAGCAGCAATAGCCCTAACCCAGAGCCCTATCTCAAAGCCCTAGCACAGAACCCAGCCTAGAACCCTAGCCGAGAGCACTAGCCCAGAGCCTTAGTTTAGCTTTACTTCTAGCCCTAGCCCAGAGCTCTAGCCTAAGTATTAGCATAAATTTCAGGCCACATCTTAGTCTAAGCCTTGTCGTAGTCTAAACCTTAGCTTAAGCCCTAGTCTAAATTTTAACTTAAATCTTAGCCTAAGCCCTAGCTTAAGCCATAACCTAAGGCCTATTCTAATGCATAGCCTAGGCCTAAGCCTAAGTTGTGTAAGCCTTAGCCTAAAGTTTGGCCTTAATCCTAGACTAAGCTTTAACTTAAATTCTGCCCCATTGCCCTAGCCTAAGTTTTATCCTAAGTTCTAGCCCTAGCCTTGCCCTAGCTTAAAGTCCTAGCTCAATTAGGTCTACCTCTAGCCCTAGCCTCAGCCTTTGTCATTGATATAGAGGTCTTAAGAATTTTACCACAGTTAAAACTATGAACCACAAAGCTATAATCTCGTTTTCACGTAATTGTTATCACAATATCACTGTTCTCTAGATAAACTTCCGCCCAGAAACATACTCAATGTTGCACACACTACATACTATATCTTGTTAACCAAAGCTCAAACACTCTATTTACAGTACAATCCAACCCTATTGTCACACGTGTTTATATACCTTTAAAGGCGGTATTGTAAATAAACAGTTCCTATATTATACATGACCTCGCCCCTACCGCTGTTTTGTCATAAAAGGTTTTGATAAAATTCACAACTGGAAGTCGTGATAAACGAAAATAACTTTTAGATACAAGTTGAGGTCATATCAGTTCTTGCACATGACCATACAAACGGCTTTTCATGTTCAGTTGTGTGATTAATCTGATCGATGACATTATCTACAAGTGGTACCGGGCTGTCGCTAGGAATGGGCATGTAAGTTGGCGAAGGAGGGCGTGGGTGCTTTTTGGCAAGTTTAAAAAAAAATAGGTAGGATAATTTAAACCAAGGGTTTTTGGTGAAAAAAGAGGGGGGGGGGGGTGAAAATTTTTCCGAAGGCAGACCCCCGAGAATTTTTAAAAATTTTTTAATTGGTTTTTCAAATAATTATGTGCCTTTTAACCCCAAAAATTTGCTTTGAGTACTACGTTTGGGCTAGGGCTCTGGGCTATGACTCTGGGCTAGCGCTCAGAGCTAGCGCTAAAGGTTAAGCTAGGCTTAGGCGAATACTGTTACTTTTAAAATAAATTAGTGTCCTGCTACGTATTTTACACAAAAAATGATTTTTCAGAGCGGTCCATCTAGAGAACATGTTTTTGCCAACTATTGTGCTAGGAAGTTCTACGTCGTGTTTCATATTCTGTCAATACACTTACAGTAAGTTGCTAAGTAAAAGATAAAAATACAGTAGAAACTCACCCTAAACAAGTCTTCGCATAAGCTATAGCCTTGACCTTGTCCAGACCTAGTTCTACCCTAGCTCTACCCTAAAAATTGCTTGACCTTAACTCAATTCTGTTATAACTATACATTAGTTTTATTTTTGCTTTAGTCTAGTATAGCCTATCCCACGCGTCCTATCCTAACGTATTTTAGCTTTATCCCAAAAATATCCATGCCTCGTTTTAGTACTAACCTACTCAACCATACCCAATATATCTTCATTCCTTTGAAAGTTGCCTATAACAAAAGCCTCCTATTTGTTGTTAAATTAAATTTTAAAAACAAAATAATTAAATAATGTTACACTTGTTTTAGAATAGCATACCTCATCATTTTATTGTCAAGTCGACACAATTGGCAAGTATTTGCTCCCATTTTATGCTGTATAACATATCTTTTGACGTATCTTGGGCTATTTTTACAAAAACGACTGCTGTTGTTACCTCATATACTATCAGACGTAAGTTTAATAATTCCTACCGTACCCCACCTACACTATTTTACCCTACCCAATCTATCCTACTATTCCCTAACTTATTTTAGCCTACTGTACCCTCTCTAACCTACTCTAGACAGCCTTAACCTACCCTAACTCGCCCTACCCTACCCAACCTCCCTTTACTTTATCTTACCATACTCTACCCTACCCTGTACCAATCAACTTACAATAACATCAACAAACTTTCAGTCAATTATCCCCCTCCATTACTTCAGTATGATGGGTAGATATTCAATCAAACAACATGACTTTACCTTACACATGGTAATGGGTGGCCTGATCGTGCTGAGCGGTGTGTTCCAATGGTTGTTTTTGTTAGTCATATTGAGAGATTACTGTAGAGTAGAGAAGGAGAACGAACAAGATGATCGAGATTGCTTTTGGGAGATTGGTCAAGTAGGTTTATATTGGCATTCTTAGTTAGTTAATATTGCTATTACCTTAAAAATTCGTTTCTAAATAACTTTAGCTTTAGAAGAATAACAAAAACTCCTTGATATTTTAGGTATACCTCATAATGTTCCTATTCCCCCTCTTCATCTACGTTAGGTATCATCGTCATGATGAAAAGCCTAAAGGTGGTATCTTTGGTTTCATTCGCAAATACACATTGGAGCCTCGAGGACGAGCACGGTCACGGAATCGTGAAGAAAGTGACCGATGTTATACCTGCAGTGTTATCAGTCGATTTCAAGCCAATTCTATTAGTATACCTCAATAAATGTACATTACATCTACAAATATGATTTTTGAAGAAATAACGAATTGATAAGTATGTAAATGACGTTTCTATAAAAAAATTTAAAGTCAGAGCGGGCCAGGTTGAGTATTTTCCTTGTCAGCTTACAACATGGATTAAACATTTATTTGAAAAAATAATATAATATATAAAAAAAATCCTGTTAAATTAAAAAAAGATACGGAAACAGTACTGCTTTAAAGCGCGCTTTGAGGATTGACCTTCACAAATATCCGCGCGAATAACAGCAAAAGAATAACTTTGGCGCCGTCTGCACTTTTTTAAATAAGTAACGTCTACAACAAGCTCAACAACGTCGCCAACACCAATATAATTTCTTTCATACTTTTCGTAATTGCAAAGGTCCAAAGCAAGGCTAACCTGGTTGTTTCTTTGATTCTGAAAGCGTACCACGAACTCTGTTTCACCGTTCAGATGAAGAATTTTTTCACTTGAATCTTCATCATCATCTTCTGTTATTTCCTTGACAATTTTGGTGTCTCCGCTTTTGATATTGCTGGACCAAACAGTCAATTTTCAGTTTTCTCGCCAACAGTAGACATTCTTCAGCGCGATCTTCATCAATGTTCTCCAACAATAAAAGCTCGCAGTGAATCTAAAACAAGCAGTTCAAAGAGAAAAACCAGTAATCTACATTACTTTTGAATAATATTTATAATAATCGTAGAAAGAAGCCATAACAACACAGAAAAGAGAGATAAAACTACTAAAGCTACTTAACGCATCAAAAAATTACCATAAGAAGCTTGATTTCATATAGGTGAGCGAGCCGGATTACTTTCATAGCCAGATCTACATTGTCCACTTCTGTGTTCTGATGTATAAACAACAACATGGCTTTTACTGCCTCAACATCGTCTACAATTATAAGCTCTCCTTTCTGAACTTCCTTCATTCCGGATGTGAACATAGATGCAAATACTAAAGACTTTTGGGCCAAAAAACACTTTGATACCTCAAACATTAAATGTTAAGAAACAAATGTTATCAAGGTTAAGTTTAGACAATTTATCGAATATTTTACATGTTCATATCTAAACACACATAATAATATATGACACGTGCGTTAGTCTTGTGATTGCCTAGTCAGTCAAAAACAGCAAATTCTTGTCTAAAAGGCATTTAGACAAGAATTCCGAATTTCTTGTCTGAAAAAATAGAAGAGACCATGCTCTCTCACCGCGAAGAGAACAACGTCTTTTTTTCTCTGCGCGCTTTCAGACAAGAATTCGCTGTTTTTGACTGACTAGCCAATCACAAAACTAATGCACGTGTCATATATACTTAAAATGTCGCTAAAATAAACCATAAATAGACTAGAATTACAACTCAATTGATGCGAGAAACCCTTCGGCTCCAAAATGATACCTAAAACAACAAAAACCAAAAAAAGCAACTTACATAGAAGGTTTCTGAGCCGCATAGCACATTAAAATCGCAAAACTGTGGATTATTAAAGACAACCGTGTCGTCCGGGTGCTCCAGAACTTCTAAAATGCGATCTGAAAACATTCTATTATTCACCAAAAATATAAAAAAACGTTGAAAACCATAAAATATTAGCTTGTAAAACAAAATCATACATAACTTTGTGTTGTAAAGAACATAGTTACAAAATTCTTGTATAATATTCTAACAGCCAAGAGTTTTACAACCAAAATATTATGTTACCTTACTTTTCAAGTAACGAATCCTTTTACAAATCCGCTTCTGATTCAAATTTATCTTTTCTTGATCCATATCAGTCATAGTTGCAGTGAATATTAATCATCAATAACTTGACAAAACAAGTAAAAATCAAAATTCCAGAAAATGTGTCATTTCGTTCACAAAATGTGTCATAAAAACATTCGTTGCTTCGAAAACGTTTTGCCTATAAAATACGTCTTAAAATCTAAAATTAGATTTCTAACTAGATAGGTGATAAACTTACTGTTTAAACTAGGCTTTATATTCATTTAATTTTTTGTTTTCTATCTTTCACCATATTATGTTATAGTAGCCCTTTTACAGCAAGATAATATAGTAGAAGCGTTACTATTTTCTAGTAAACATTAATATGACAAGTTCAAGTTTTAATGACAGATTTCACTTTGTACTTGGATAGGGCTATGATACTATTATAATAATGACCAGACCAACGGGGGCCCAAGGGCCCCCTTATGGCCTGGTCACTGCAATGTCATTTTGTTTTATTTTAAGTATGCTAATCTTAATACAGTTGATTATATTTCAAAAATTAGGCTCGGGCCTGCGGCCCTTGCAACCCAAACTTTGAAAATAGTATTGGCTTTTGTTAAAATATTTTTAATCTTTTTACATGACAGTAATTAATTGCTCGGGCCTGCGGCCCTCGCACACCACTTTTTGCGCATTAATGTCAAAAATTAATAAAAATTGTTTTGATTTTTATCAATACCCATGCCATACCCAAACTCATGTCATACCCAAACCCATGTCATACCCTTGCCATACGCATGCCATACCCATTTTAATATACATATCTTGACCCGTACCCATACACACACCCGTACCCGTTCCATACCCAAACCGATACCCCCTACCTACCTGTCCCCGTGACCCATGCCCATACCCATGTCAATATTCATACTCATGCCAATATCCAAACCCATATCGTGACCCATGCCCATAGCCATACCCATGCCATGCCCATGGTGACCCATGCCCAAAGCCATACCCATGCCATGCCCATACCCATGCCAATAGTGACTCGTACCCATACCATATCCATAGCCGTACCCATATTTGAAACCCGACCGCTCTCTGTCAAAAATTTTGGTGAAACTGACCGATTTCTTTTTTCAAAATTTTAAAAATTTTTTTATAAAATGAATTTGACAATTTTTTCGAATTTTGAGACCGATTCCCACGAAATTTTCAATTTCAAAATGCTTTTTTTCGATTTTTGCACTCGGACATAGTCCAAGGGGAATAATACATTTTCGGTTTTCGCACAGGACAGGGCGTCACGCCCTACGTCCAAGCCTGTATGCCGACCAATTCGCTCTCTATTTATTTAACAACTGTTAATAAATGTATATATACAGTATTGCTAGAAAAATGAAGTACAGGCTTGAGAAAAAGAACCCTCACCATTAAAAGAATATTAGAAATGTGGTCTTAATCTTGGAAGCTCAAGCAATTCTTCTCGATCTTCTTCATCAAATCCAGTTATTGCACTCAAGGTGTTGATAGCGTTGGAAACAATCATGTTTTCTTGCCGCTGCTCAATGTGAAAATCGGGCATTGTAAACTTGGTATACAACACCTCTAGACATCTGAATACCAAACAGTCCATTTTCAGTTGTCTCGCCAAATGTATACATTCTTCAGCGCGGTCTTCACCAATGTTCTCCAACAATTTGAGCTCGCATTGAAGCTAAAACTAGCAATTTTATAAAACACAGTAATCAGACCCAAATGCTTCTACGTTACTTTTGAATAATATTCCTCAAAATTGCAATTTAAACGTAAAAAAGCCATTAAAACACAAAAATTAAGAAACAAAACTATAAAATCTAATTAAAACATCAAAAATTACCATAAGAAGCTTGATTTCATATAGGTGAGCAAGCTGGATCACTTTCAAAGCCAGATCTACATTGTCAACTTTTGTGTTCTGATGTATAAACAACAACATGCTCAACATCGTTTACTATCACCACCTCTCCTCTCTGAACTTCTTTCATTCCGGATTTGAAAATAGATGCAAATACTGGAGACTTTTGGGCCAAAATACCCTTTGATACCTTAAAAAACAAATGGTAATAAACAAAAATGCCATAAAAGTTAAATTTACAATTTATCAAATATTTTACATGTTCATACCTAAACAACACATAAAATACTTGAAATAAAGCTAAAGAAAAGAAAATTCGTGTTGTGTCACCTCCAGAATGGAACACTTTCCGGAACGCCGGAGTAGTGACATCTCCGGAACAATGCATATTATATAAAAAAAAAGTATTGCGGAATGACAAAAAATGTTACCCTACCCTCCCAATTCATCCCTGACCCTTTTAGCCATACCCGACCTCACCACTGACACAATTAGCCTTACCCAATCCTACCCCTGACCTTTTTACCCCTACCTGACCCAGCCCCTGACCTTTTTGGCCCTACCCAACCTCACCCCTGACCCTTTTACCCCTACCTGACTCCGCCCCTGACCTTTCTTGCCCTACCCAAGCCTACCCCTGTCCCTTTTGGCCCTATCCAACCTCACTCCTGACCTTTTTAGCCTTACCCAATCCTACCCCTGACCTTTTTACCCCTACCTGACCCAGCCCCTGACCTTTTTGGCCCTACCCAACCTCACCCCTGACCCTTTTACCCCTACCTGACTCCGCCCCTGACCTTTCTTGCCCTACCCAAGCCTACCCCTGTCCCTTTTGGCCCTATCCAACCTCACTCCTGACCTTTTTAGCCTTACCCAACCTTTCCTCTGACCTTTCTAACTCTACCCCACCTCACACCTGACCCTTTTAGCCTCACCCGACCTCACAACTGACCATTTTAACTCGACCCCATCATACCATAAACTATGCTAGCTACTATATCGTATTCATCCTACTTGACATAACATAGTCTATCCTACATACTATGCTATACCATACCATATCATATTTTCTCTACCATCCTCTATCTTACCTACCATACCATGTTTTACACTACCTACCGTACAGTACCCTACCGTATCCTGTACTACCATACCCTATATTACTATACCCTACACTCAGGGCCGGGCGGGGACGTTTGGTCTGGGGCGGGGGTCCAAAAAATCGACACAGGTAAGCACCTGTGCCGATTTTTTGCTAAATTTTTTTTCCGAAAATCCACAGAGGGGGACCACGTTCAATTTTTTTCAAAAATTCTTTTCTGGGGGGAGGAGGTACCCCCCCCTCGCGCCCGGCCCTGCCTACACTATCTTCTATACCATACTATATCATACCATACCAAACCCTATACTACATAATATGCCATACATACCTAAAACAATAAAAACCAAACAAATAAACTTACAAAAAAGGTATCCGAGCCGCATTTTACTTTGAAATCGCAAAACTGTGGGTTATTAAAGACTATCGTGTCGTCCTGGTGCTCTAGAACTTCTAACATGCGACCTGAAAAAATCATTCAGTGAAAAATTATATTATCCATCATGCTTCAAAAAAACAAAAAAACTTTGAAACCCTTCAAATATTGGCTTGTAAAACAATAAAATACCAAATTTTGTGTTTTAACGAACACAATACAAAGTTTTTGTACAATATTCTGACAGCCAAGAGTTTTACAACAAAAATATTAGGTTATCTTACTTTTCAAATAACGAATCCTTCCACAAATCCGCTTCTGATTCAAATTTAGCTTTGCTTGAGCCATACCAACTGATACGTCAGTCAAATTGCAGCGAATATTACTCTACAATAACCTGATTACTTTGCGAAAAAGTGAGATGTTAAAATTCCAGAGCAACATTAGAACGTTCACGGCACGGTACGATAACTTGTACTCTAACAAGCTTGCAACCTAACATTAAAAGCATACAAAAAAGTGTCAAAGGAACGCTCACGGTACGATGTCAACGATAACGATACTTAATAAAGGCACATGTGATTCAGTCAGCGAGTGTAATGCGATTCGGTCATATTAAAATTTTTATATTATTTAAAAAGATTGATAAAATTTTAAAAATTCAGAAAAAAAATTCAACTTATGACATGTCTATAAAAAATAATTGAAACTAACAATACCGTACTTCATAATACCGTATCAAACACAAAAATACCAAAAAATCGTGGTTTTTTTGAAATTCACACGGTCAGAATTGACCCATTACTTGTTCATATCACATAATTTTATAAATAACGCTTTTTAGCTTTGCCACAAAATTATAATAAACCATAATCTATCTACAAAAACACAAAAAAAATTTCGTTCCAGTAAAACCCGACCTTACAGTTTCCCAAAAGACTTAATAATGAAGCAAGACATAATTTTTTTTCACTTGCTTGTTAGCAAAGCGAAAAAGTGTTTTTTATGGCGTAAGAACGAACGCTGTATCAGCATCGCGCGCGATTTCAACACAATTTATACATCAGAGGATAGATTTAGAAAGATCAATTTTGGCTTCGCGTTTATCCATAAAGTTTGAAACGAGTAATGGCCTCCGCCGATGATTTAAAGCGTCCGCCGACTCTTCGCCATTGCGGAGAACATAAATTTTCATCTCAAAAATGCATTTTCAACCACAAAACAGCCAAAACTTAAAAATTTTGGCGCTAGGACAAATGCGGTTTTTGGACATTTGCGGATCTGCGGTTTTTAGACACTTGCGGATCTTCGGTTTTTGGACACTTGCAGTTTTTGGACATTTGCGGATTTTTTAAAAAGTTTTTTTTATTTTTTGTTTAATTTAGTTGTATTATGGTACTAAATTGTACTAAAGTTTGAATTGGTACGGTTTTAACATAACAGTACCATTTTGGGCTTTTAGTACTATTTAGTACCAAAAATATAAAAACAGTATCAATTAAAAATTTAGTACTATTTAACAGTAAGAAATATTAAGACAGTGCCAATTTAAACTTTAGTATCATTTAGTACCATACTACAACTAAATTAAATAAAAAATAAAAAAAACCTTTAAAAAATCCGCAAATGTCCAAAATCCGCATTTGTCCTAGCGCCGAAATTTTTGATGAAAAAAGTGATTTTCAACTGAAAATGTAATATGTGTAATTCGGGGTAAAAATGAGTTTTTTTAAATTCATGACAACCTTCATATGCACTCTAAAATCCCAAAATTTTTCACAAAAAATATACATTGGCCAACTTCCACCGTACCAAGTTTGGTATTTCAGCCATCACTCAAAGATGAATTAAAAATTTTTAAAATCCTGCAAATTTCTTGGGATACCCTGTATTTCGAAACGGGTTTCGTCTATAAAATACGTCATAAAATGTAAAATTATATCTATAATTAGATAGTTAACAAGTTTTTATACTTCTAAACCTGTGCAAAGACTGTGAGAATGTTTTTGTTGGTTTTTATGGTTAATTTAGATATAAAACAATATAAAACATTGTCTTACCTTTGTCGTGAGAAACTTTGGGAACTAGAAACAATAGAAATGGCATTTTACTACCGGTAAAAGTGAAATAAACCACTTTAACTTACTTGTTAAGCTAGGTTTATAATCATTTAATTTTTTAATCTTTTACTGTAATATGTTATAGTAGCCCTTTTACTGCAAGATAATATAGTAGAATCTTTGATATTTTGCGTTAAACATCAATATGGTAAGCTAGAGTTTTAATGACAGCTTTTACTTTTAATCACTGTTAAACTCTGACTTATTTTTGGCAGTTTAGGTAATATTAAAGCGTCAGAAAAAGTTTTGTTGTCAATTTACATAGAGTTACAATTTAGAAGTCCAACTCGAGCTCAAATGTCAGAGAAGGTATGTATCAAGGTTCGGATGGCAAGAACTACATGTTGTACAACTTGGTGGATATGCATGGTGGTGGAGACTTGATACCATGGATGCGATATGCTATTAAAACTGGCGACTACTCTTTATTGGATGGTTATCTCGAAGGAGCGGTAATGGTGAAGACTTAGCTTTGTATTACACTAGGTTACTGTTAAGATTCTGTAGCTTACTGTTGAGGAATACTGTGGGTAATAGTAGTCATATTGAAGTAGTAGTGGAGCAAAATATTTTTAAACTTTCAGGTACGTGACATGATGTACAACAATGGTAAAGGCCGCATCGAATCGGTATCAGAGTTGGTGAAAAGAAGAAATAAAGAAAGAAATGAAAGATTAGGAGCATTCTCAAGAAAAAAAGGAAAAGGAAAAAGCGGCCCAAACATACTCGAAAACCTGGATGCCGAAGTTAATCAGCAGGATCTGAAGAAGGGTAACATACCACAATATACCTAAGAATCTTAATCTCCTTTAACTTCAGCCTTGAAACTCCTGGACGGTGGGAAGAACGGTAAAGGAGATGCGAAGTACCGTGAGATTGCTTGGAAGTACGAATCTCGAGGTTCGATGGGAGAAACTATTGTTGGATGTTGTCTTATGCAAGCCAGTCTAGTCCACAATCTACTTGCTTTAAGACTGATGACAATGTATCCACCTCTTATCAATGATATTTACATTTCCGAAGATTACTATGGTTTAGCACCGATTCATCAGGCCATAGTCAATGACGACTCGAAGATGTTGTACTTCTTGATCACTCATGGGGCTGACATTAATCAGAGATGTTATGGAGCCTTCTTCTGTCCTCACGATCAGGTCAGCTCGAGGACGGACTCGTTGGAGCATGAATATGTTGATGTGGATGTGGAGACTGATTATCAGAAGTGAGTTGGTTTTATTGGGTTGATGGGTAACAGTAGGAGATATATCATATAATAGATGACTTATTTATTAAAAAGGTATGGGGCCGGGAAGGGTCGGGCAGGTTAGTTTATAGTAGAATAAGTTGATTTATGGTAAGGTAGGGTGGGTTAGGTAAGGTAAAGTAAGGCTAGGTAAGGTAGTTCAGGGTAGCAAAGAGTTGAGTAGAGTAGGGCAGGGCAAGACATGAGGAACGGACCGGCTTGGCTTTGATCCAAATTTGAACCGGGCCTGGAAATCAAGGCTCGTCTCGAAAAGCCCATAAAAAATTCGGACCGGGTCTGAGCAAAATTTGCATCGGGCAGGACCTAACACTCGGGCCCGGCCGGTTCTTCATGTCTACAGGGCACGTCAAGACATAGTAAGGTAGTATATCGTAGGGTAGAGTAAAGTAAATAAGGCTTTATGGCAAAGGTGTATGGTTACCTATATCGATATATACATATATGCTTTGCTTTCAGTCGGATGTACTTTGGCGAGTACCCATTGGCCTTTGCTGCTTGTGTCAATCAAATCGATTGTTTCAAACTCTTACGAGCTAAAAAGGCAGATCCAAATCGACAAGACACTAATGGAAATACCGTGCTTCATATGACTGTTATTCATGAAAATATAGTAAGAAAAAAAAAATTTCAAAAAATAAAATTTTAAAAATAATTTTAAAATTAAAAAATTTTTAAACTTTTTTTGATATATTTAAATTTAAAAATTTTGAAATTTTTTTTAATTTCAAACTCAAAAACTAAAATTTCAGGACATGTTCCTCTTGGCCTATGAATCAGGAGCCAAGCTTCAAGTCTTGAACAAACAAAACCTCACCCCCTTAACATTGTCAGCTTTTCTAGCCAAGAAGATCATGTTCGAGCATCTACTCAAGATAGAGAGTCAAGTTTTGTGGGAAAGAGGTGGCACTTTCTCAATATCTTATCCTCTGGCCAAGATTGACTCTATCGATCCAGATACAGGTGATCTGAATGACAATTCAGTATTGTCATTGGTTGTGTATGGAGACTCGGAGAAGCATTTGGACCTGATTGATGGTCTACTTGAGGACATTTTGAAGGCTAAATGGAAGTCTTTTGGGTTGAAACGGTGGGTTTGTGGTTATTTTTGTAAAGATGGACTCTTGATTGAAAAAGAAGTGTCATTCCGATTAAAAAAGAAATGTCCTTTTGATAAACATATGTTTTACTTTCAGTTGGATCCGCTCCTTACTTATCTTTGCGATTCATTGGACGTGTTGTATCGCTGCCTTCTTGACCAGACCAATCGAAATGACTACTGTGGTGATATCTGGGTTTTCTTTGACGCCAGAAATGGTACCTTCAAATGACACTCAGTACAGTCCAGACTACATTAAAAACATCCAATGTCATCTTTTACATTATGGAGCTCAAGGCGATTTGGGCTATGTAAGTTGGTTTTAAGGTGTTGTATCTTATTGGTACCTTTTTGAACTGCTTTAAAATTTTCGATTGAGTATCTGGGGTTTATTGGGAAGATTGTGTAAAAATTTGACGAAGGAAATAGTGCAGTGTCTAAAGTTATGACCAAATATTTGAACAGAGGCCGCATAGAAGATATACAGGATAATAGAAAGACATATAACTATGTGAAATAAAATGAAGGTGCAGTTTTCTACAACGTATTTTACAAGAATCCTAAATTTATTTTGCTTTAGGCTAGACTGTTCTTTGAATGTTTGTCAATAGCTTTTGGGGTTGGTCAGATTGTCATTCAGTCTGACATGATTCGCCGTGAAGGGTTCACCAAGTGGTGGAAGATTATGGTAGGCTTTTATACATTTTCATAATTTTTGATTAATTTTTATACGTTACTGAGTTGTAACTACTATTGACATATGTTTTTAAGTTGTAATTTTAATTAAAAATGGCAAAAACTTCTTAAAAAACTTAATTTTATCATAGTTTTACATATTTTTTAAGCGCTTTTGAGTGTTTTTTGAATTTTGATAAAGGTCTTAGTTGTCATTGTAAAAAATTTCATCAAAAATTGTGGTTTATTTCAAAAATTTTCAGACATTTTTTGTGATATATCGTTACTATAGGTTGTATAAAAAGTAATGAGCTACTGATTTCTAAATTATAATGGTTATGAGACATAGCTTAATATTTTTTTATATAAACTTTAATTTTCATTCTTCAGCGAGCCTTCCCAGCCAAGATAATGTACTTTATATCAGTCATCCTCAATGTCCTATTAGTACCATTGCGTTTCCTCTGCTTTGCAAATGAAATATTCTTGACAGCAGACAATGTTATCAGTATCATATGTATTGTTCTCTGCACAGTGCACTTCTTGTACTATTGTCGTGCTATCAAGTTCATTGGACCGTTTGTGTTGATGATATACACCATTATAATGAGAGATCTGATACGGTTTTTTATTATTTATGCTGTGTTCCTTATGGGCTTTTCACAAGCGTTTTACATTGTGTTTTTGGCAGGGGAAAGGATCTACAATCAACAGTATGAGGAGGCATTGAAGGAGTGGAATGCCAACAATGTTTTTGCCAGTAAGTTGTGGTTGGTAAGGTATTGTTATAGTATAATAATTATAGTAGATAAGATGTTGTTATAGAATGGCATAGTAAAACACTTAAAAAAGCATTGTTTTGTCAGTTTAGAAATTACTTATTTGGTATGTTAAAACAAGTAAAAGGCAGAAAAGTCAACTGTACTTTAAGTTAGGCATACATCTTTATTTTTGCACTGTGCAAACTCCTGTGAGCCTAATTTTTCGAAATTTTTTAAAAGTTTTATAAAAGCAAAACCATACGTTATTAAGAGCTTAAAAATTTGTATTTATTCTAAAATTTTTACATTGTTATCTTCACTCATGGCAAAGTTATCATGATTTAATAATATCGAAAATCCAAAAAAGTTCGAATCCGCTTGGATGACTATGTCTTTTTCGCAATTTTTTGAACTTTAAAGTGAGGCGGGCGAACTAAAACGGTCAAAAATTATGTAGAAGTGTCTTTTATTTAAAAATGAGTTTTATTTTTTTCATTGTCTATGTAATTTTTGACCAAATATGTAAAAGAAATGCATATTTTTTTAGGAAAAACCAAATTTTTATTTGTTTTTGACAATTTTAAGTAATTCCAACGTTGTCATAAATTATGACATGACTCAAAAACTCTAGGATATGCATAATATTTCCTTAAAAATATTTTATAACTTCTTTCCAGACGGCTCCGAAGACGACGCTCCAGTAAAACACGAAAATATAATGTCGAATCCCATCGAATCTTTGTTAAGATTGTTCATAGCAACAATCGGAGAGTTTACTACATTTTACCGTGAACTAAATGCAATTCCGGAGAGAGCTTTGGCTGTGCTTGGAAAGATATTATTCATGATATTCGAAATGGTGGTCAGTCTGATGCAGTTCAACTTGTTGATCGCTATGATGAGCAGAACTTATGAACTGATCTTTCGGACTCAAAAGGAGTATAAGCGACAGGTAAGGGGGGAGCAGATGAGGGTAAGGTACGGTAGAGTAGGATAAGGTACGGTAGAGTAAGGTAGGGTAGGGTAGGGCAGAGTAGGGCAGGGTACGGTAGAGTAGGGTAAGGTACGATAGAGTAGGGTAAGGTACGGTAGAGTAGGGTAGGATAGGGTAGGGTAGGACAGAGTAGGGTAAGGTAGGGTAGAGTAGGGTAGTGTACGGTAGAGTAGGGTAAGGTAGGGTAGAGTAGGGTAGGATAGGGTAGGGTAGGAATGTATGCTAAACCTAATTTCAGTGGGCCCAAGTAATCCTCCTATTAGAAATGTCATTGCCAGCTAAAGAACGTCAAGACCATCTCCTTCGCTATTCACGGCCGATCGGAACGGACAAACGAAAGCGTGCCTTCGTAGTGATAAGAAAAGCCCAGGTTTTAACCGAAAGTGAAAGAATTTTGAAAATGAAAGAAGAAGAAACAAAAAGATTGGAGAAACAACAGGTTCTGAAGAGACGACTGAGAGGACTAATGGAACAAACTGGTACCACACCCATGCCTATGGAGACGGGCATACCTACTGGTGGGACGAGAAGAAGGTCGAGGAGGAAGACTGAGATTGATGGAGGGAGTAGATTGATGTAAAGTAGCAGATACTCAACTGATAATACTTTTTTATTAAGTTCTTCAAATAATTCTGAGCCCCACTCAAAGCAAATTTACTAGGTTAGATGGCTCAAAATTATTTACACAAACTAATATTTATATTTTTTTACTTTCTTAATAAATTTTATACTGTAATGTATTACCCCTACCCCCTACCCCCACTTATATTAATTTTATATTACACTACCCAAAGATTTAAAGACTGTTTTTCCGTATCATTTTTTGCAACCAGAAGTGATATCATACCCAAACATTAACAAACAAGTTAGGCTACTTTTATCGCGCTGTTTGTTTGCCCACCAAACAACAGCCGGCTAGCGACCTAACAATGTATCAATTCGCAATAGGAACAGGATATGTACCGGTATACCTGTGTTTATTTTGATCTTATGACAATTTACTTAAAATTACAGAGTAATACGGTTTATATTTGTCTATAAATCGTGGCCTAATTGGGATAGGCTTGTAATGAGACCGAGTCAAGACTAGTGGGCCCCCGTTCAGGTCTGGGCTGGGGGAGGGGGGGGAGGGTTAAGTTTAACAGTGATTTAAAAAACTTTTTTTTGAAAATGGTGAAAAAAAACTTTTTCTAGTTCTAACGCTGGCCCGCGAGTGCTATACTTTAGTTTAGTTCTAGTTTATACCTTATTTACTGTGTTATACCTTACAAGTTACCCCAATACCTCATAAGTTTTAAAACAAGCTCTAGATAGGTGAGAGATTGACGGCTAAAAAGATTACATAGGTTTACATATTAGACCTTTCTGATTTGCTTTGAACAAAAAAAACCGGGTTAAACCGCCAACCTAATGTGGTCGAGTGTTTTAGTAGTTAGCCTGGTGTGTAGAAGGCGATAAGTTCGAATTTTTTAAATTTTACTTTTTAAACGTCCATGAATATCGAGCGTACTGTAATTTGCTAGCTAAGGCCAGGACCGGACGCGAGGGGACAGGAGAAGCGGGTACCTCCTCCCCTAGGAAAAAAAATGAAAAAAAAAGTTTAACGTGGCCCTCTTGTGGATTTTTGTAAAAAAAGCATTGAGGGAGGGGGGAGGGGTATTTGGTTTCTATTCTTTTAAACCTTATATTCTCCTGACCCCCTAGAAAAAAAAATTTCGAAAAAAGTTGAACATGGTCCCCCCTGGATTTTTGGAAAAACTTTTTTCGACCTCCGCTCCCGGACGGTCTTGCCAGACCTAAAGTCCCCGCCCGGCCCTGCCTACACTATTCTAGTCCTAAGTAATACGTCCAGGGCCGGGCGCGAGGGGGGGGGGCGGGGGGGGCACCCCCCTCCCCCAGAAAAAAATTTTTGAAATAAGTTGAACGTGGTCCCCCCTGTGGATTTTCGGAAAATGTGCCGATTTTGTGGACCCCTGCCACCAGACCAAAAGTCCCCGCCCGGCCCTGAATACGTCTACATTTCTGTGTAAAAAAGAATTAAAAGTTTTTGTAATGAAAATTCAAAATTTTACTACAAATAATATACTTTATTAAAAAATTTCAAAAATTTCATTTTCAAATCTACATTTTTTTACTTTTCAGTCAATTTTTTGCAAAATAAACTTTATTTTTTTTATTTTCGAGAGTTTAGAAGATTAGAAGGAAACAAAAATCAAAACGTTTTGAGAGTAGTCGTTTCGAATGTTATTATAGACGGTTCTGTTATGTTTTTAATATTATTTTGATATCCATGACCTTTTGCCGCGTCGATATTGGTTTATTTTATTGTTTATTTGATTGTTTTGGTCTGTAGAGGTTATTTCGAATTGTTTTTGATAAATAAACCGGCTACATCAATGTACTTGGTATTACTTTTACTATAACAATGTTGTGCTTGGTCTTTTCATTTAGATATAGCGTTTGGGGGTAGATAAATTTGGTTTACTCAAAAATATGCGTTATATTATAGTAGAACGTTGATTGTTTGCCTTTTTTAAATTTGAAAAAATTGTTTTTGTTTAAATTTTGAAATTTTAGGTAACAATGTTGACAAATCTTATAAACTGAAGAGCCTTTTTGATTTTATTTTTAAAACTACAAAAACTGGATTGCAGTTGTTTGGACGGAAAAAGACGACCATAGTTCCTACAGTATCATTGGGCCAGAAAGTAGAAGTTATAGTGCTGAAACAAAGTATTATCGTAAGTTTTTTAAAAAGATATTTAGATATGTCGCTTACCCATGCCTTGCATGATCATACTTTATCCTACTTTATCATTCACTGCCTTACCATACCCTACTCTATCTTACTCTACCTTACCCCACCCTACCGTACCCTACCTTACCCTACCGTGCCTTGCTCTAACTTACCCGTCCCTATCCTACCTTTCCCTAACTTTCCCTACCCTGTCTTGCTCTAACCTACCCTTCTTCTGCTTGTCCTACCGTACGCAATCCTACTTTACTTTACTCTATTCTTATCTACCATACCCTACTTTAACCTACCCATCCTTACCCAACTCTACCTTATCATGACCTGTCTCGCCTAAATTTATAATTTTACAGTAATTTAACTTTTGAATTTAAAATTTTTTATAGCTAAAATAACCGAAACACACCCCCAACTTCAAAATGTCATCCAAATCTTCGGCCATGGCTCCATCCGACTCATTTACGTATTCACCATCGTCACGACCTCCAGAATCCTCATCTAAAGGCTTTCGCTACATAATATTGTTCTTGACCATGGCTTGTCTAACTTCGATTTGCTCCAACATGGTCGCGTTTAATGTTACCATGCTATGTAGTGACAATGGTAATATGACAAGGGTTGTGACAGATAAAGAGGCACAGAACAAGAATACGATGTCATTGTGGGCCGTATCTGCTGGTAGTATATTGGCCACAGCACCTTTCAATTGGTTGTACAGTCGATTTGGTGCTAGATGGGTGTTTTTTGGTGCTGGTAGGTATATAATAGTTACCTGGAAAACCAACTTCAAAAATTACTAAATGGTCTTGGCTAGCAAGATATAAGCTTACAATTAGTTATTAGTGTTTGTTATGAAGAGAGTCAACTAAATTTTACTTTTTTTATTAATTTTAGGTATAATTTCAACTGTGAGCACCGTGCTAATCCCAGCATCTTCTGACCTTAACTTTTACACGTTTATTGTCGTCCGATTCTTTCAGGTAACATTTTTTTAATTTTTTAAATTCATCCTTTTTTAAAACGTCATTATAGTACAGTGGAACTCCTGTATAACGAACAAATTTACAGACACCGAGCGATTCGTTATACAGCTGTATATTTTTAATTTCACATTTGTCAACTTTGGCAGCCTATTATAATATAATACTGATAACGATGACCTATTATAGTATGATAATAATAAGTTTTTTATTTCTAGGGCGTAGCATTTGGAGCGAATTTCGCTGCCATAGGCATGGTTTGTTCAAGATGGGCCGCTTTGACGGAAAATGGTTTCTTCTTGTCCGCGATGACTATATTCTCTCAAGTTTCGGTTATCATTACAAATCCTGTCTCTGGATTCGTGAGTTTTATTATGTTTAAAATTTCACATAATCGTCCCTACCGTATTTTACCATACCCTACCTTACTTTATCCTACCACACCCTGCCCTACACTAACGTGATTTATCCTTGACCTCCCTACTTTATATTAATCTACCCTTCCCTGCCCTATTCTATCCCACCTTACCTTACTCTAAGCGTAGCTACGGTACCCTGTTATACCCTACCCTCCCTATCCTAATTTGTCTTGTCTCTGATCCCCCAACCTTATACTAATGTACTATGCCCTTCGGCCTACAGTAACTATTATATTATACATTTTATCTGACCGTAGCCTGTTTCATCATTTCCTACCCTACTCTACTCTGCCCTACTATATACTACAATACCTTTTCCTATCCCGCCTTAACTTACCCTATAATGACCTGTTTCATCATGACCTACCTTATCATACCCTTACGACTCATTACGTTTTACAATAATTGTTTCAGCTCTGCGTCTCCCCTTTGGGCTGGCGTTCAGTTTACTACTTCCATGCTGGGGCTGGTCCAATTCTCTTTGGACTGTGGATATGGTTGTACACGGACTACCCAGAGTCTCATAAGTCAGTAAATGACAGAGAAAAAGATATCATAATGAAAGGAAAAGACACAGATAAACGAGTTTTGGACGGGTTCTTGCCTTATAAGGTAAGAAATATTACCTTTTTATATGAAATTGTTACCTAATTTTAAAAATTTTAAATTTTTTAAATAATGAGTAACATATGTTCTGGATTTTTTTGACTAAATTTATACCTAAAAATAAGTTTTTACCACTCTATGGCCAAAAAAATCAAAAATCGTAACTTTACCAAAATTCTAGGCGATTTGTACCAATAAAGTGGTCCTAGTGGTATGGTTCAACGCATTTGGTGACATTATATCAGCCATTTTCTTACTGACCTACTTCCCCACCTATTTGAAAGACGTGCTCGGGTATTCATTGGAAACAGCTTCTGTACTGAGCATGTTCCCAGCCATTTCACATGTACCAGCCAAACTCTTCTTCGGATGGGTCTTTGACAAGTTACAGTAGGTTTTTACTGTGGTTTTGCAGGACACATACCCTACTCTGTCTTACTTTACCCTACTCTACACTACCGTATCATATCCTACTCTACTATAACTTACTCTACCCTACCCTGCCTTATATTAACCTATCCAACCCTATCTTACCCTACCCCACACTACCGTACCCCGTATTACCAACCATAACCCTCGCAGTACAGTACATAAGAAGTACTATGTATACTTTAAGATGGATTTCCGAAGTGAATAAGATGCGAATTTGTAATACGGTAGCCCTCATGGGATCAGCGATATTATTCATTGTGGTTGGTTTCATACCTAATTCTATGGCCGGATGGTCAGTGGCTTGTACCACCTTGAACTACGCCTTTATTGGTGCCAATTGTGGTGGATTCTATAAATGCGGGTCGTTGGTGTCACGGTAGGCTTAGAATGGCTTTTTGGGGCATTTTAATTTTTTGGGCGGGGTAATTTTTAAGAGGGTCGAGTTTTCAATTTTTTGAAAATTTTTGAAATTTCGAAAAATTCAAATTTCAGCCAATACGCCCACTTTGTCATAGCCAATATCCAATTCCTCAAGTGTATATCACTGTTCGTATCTCCCCTAATGGTATACATATTTGTATCCGACCAGTCGAGTCGAGATCAATGGAGAATCATCTACCTTATCATGGCCGCCTTCCTGATCATTGGCAACGCTTTATTCATGTATTACGTCACAGACCAGCCGGCTGACTTCACTAATATCACTAAACAGAATTCGAAGGAATCAAAGAGCAAAAGTAGCAGTGATTCGATTGAAAATGGCACCAAATCAGACTGATATGTCATGTATAATATTGTTAGTATGTGTAATATAAAATTGGTTCTTAAATTCTGACTACGATAGGTTATGTACAGTATTTTTATGACCATTCGTATTAAAAAAAGAATTTTGAAGCTATTTTTTCGAACTTTTATCAATAAAAACTTTAAAATTGTATAACAATAACAACTTTTTTCAAATAACTAACGATACCTTACTCACCAGCCCATTTGAAAGTCTTTGGTTCGTAGTTGGTGTAACAACAAAATATGTTACCTAATTTTGAGGTATGTTCCGGATGAAAGTCTGTCATTCTAGCATTGAACAGCTGTTTTATCTGAAACAGTAATATAATAATGATGTTTAACTGTACAAACATATCAATGTTACGTATAACACTATTAAAGGTATATTATGATTTACTGGCCCCTGAGGCCTGACCCTTAATACTGATATCAGCACTTAAACCCTGCAAAATATAAATTTGTCCATTTTAAAACCCAATACCTACTTTTAAACTTAAAAACACCTTTAAACCACCAAAACAGTATGATCATCTCATAGATAACGTTAAAGACATAAATCCTTTTAACTTACAATATCCTCCATTTTAGCAGCCGTACAATAAATCAATGGTGTATTCTTGTCCTTGGCCAACACTCGTATCGTTTGAGCAAATTTCACAGCGCATTCATCCGACAAGTGCGGAGGATCAACAACAACAATATCATAGATATTCGAGAACTCGGCCGGCACTTCCAACGGATCATTGTAGTCGTAAAACGTAAAATTTGAAGTCGTTTCACCAAATCTAGTATCATATTCGTACAGGTGAGTGTGTAGGTTTGATGGTTTGTCCTGGAACGAAAGCAGAATAAGAAAATATCGTGATAATCAAAGGAAATAACATTTTTGATAATATAAACTAAATGCTTTAACTACAGTGTAGTCAAAAGTATTTTCAAACTTTTAACATCAATATTCACCTAAAAATTTAAGAAAAAAATCAAAGAAATACCTCTTTCTTCTCCATAGCTTCGAATATCGTTGGACAAGATAAGAATGCCACTCTTACTGGTCCATCAAAAGTTTTGGTCAATTCAACAATCTCTTCGCATAGTTTATCAGACGTTTCCTTCGTGTACCAAAATTGACTCATCTAAATACACAACTTCAACTTTTACATCGAAAACAATGAGAATTAGTAGCTAATCAAGTGTAATATTTTCATAACCCTAAATTGAGTAAAGCAAACAAACTAATATATTTTTGCAAGACTAATGTCTTGAACAACTTTTCAGAAAGTTTTATAAAAAACCCTCGACTAGTATTTCAGTAATCATCAAAACTTCATCACAATCTACAAACCAATATATTCAATAACGAAATCCTCCAAACTCAATGTCATAAAGTAACCTAAACATTAAACAATACTTATAAAACAACTTACACTCCATATTTCAGACTTTGAGTTAGCAGTGTTCTCGTTTTCATCAGTTACAACAGCTCCTTTTGCCTGGATTTCCGCGACCATTGCCAATACATCGCTACTCAATTGATATTCTCCATCCGAGTCGTCCAATGTAGAATCTGTGGCCATGGTTTAGTCTATTTAACAGTTCTGGATACGAATTGAGGATTATTTCGGCAAAACTTCTGTAATTTTTACTAAATTTTTATTTTAGGAGTTTTGCAAAGTGCGTCCGATATTGAACACACTTTGCAGGCTGCAGTGATGGTGTTTTACGAAGAATCGTGTAGTTTTATAACGGAGTGTCAAATAAATATCGGTTTTTAGAAATTTCCAAACTTTTTTAGATAACAAAAATTTGTCCGACAAGATAAATTTATTACACAAAATCAGGAGAATTTAAATAAAGTTTTAGATACTTTTTTGTATTGTTAAGCCTTTATCGATTTTTCAATTAAAATTAGTTGATTTTCTTGGTAACCATAAAGTGTATCGATTAATTTAAAGTTGAAAGCTATATTTTAAATTATTCTTAACCTTTACAAACTTTACTTCGTTTAAAAAGGTTTTTTAATTTAAGTTTCTCAAAACTTTATTTCGTATTTTTTAGGTAACAAGATGGTCCGTCAAAAGCAAGTGGCGAGGAAGAGACCAACTGGTAGTCAAGGATCTTCTGGGTTTACTACAAAGTTTGGACCTGTTAAGAATAGGATCGCAGCTAAACAAGCACCAACTCTTGTTTTAAAGACCAAGAAACGGAAAAGTAGTAAGTTTATTCTTTGAATTTTAGGTAACACAATAAAAATCTGGGGAAAGCTTATAGATTTTAAACTAATTTAAATCGTAAATATAGTTTGAAGTGTTGCGCAGCTTTTGATAGTTATTTTGAAGTGTTTGAAGTATAATAAGTCGAAGAAAATTTAATTTTAGTTGTTGTAGGTATCGAAAAATAGAAAATTAATGTTATGATCAATTTTTTAAAACGAAATGAATATTTTAGGGCACAACTTGGTACTACGGGAAATCAGACGTCTACAGAACTCAACGAATCTTTTGGTTCCAAGAGCTGCGTTTTTAAGAGTTGTTCGACGTGTAACAGCAACGATCAAGTCCGAAATGAAGTATAAAGTCGAGGCTATATTCGCTCTACAAGTAAGTTACTTATCCTTTTTTTTTGTTTTTAGAAGAGCAAGATTTGGGTTTTAAGAGCAATATTTGGGTTAAAATAGCAAGATCTGCGTTATAAGAGCAATTTTTATGTAAAGAATGCTTAAAATTTAAGGTTTTCATTAACTTATATCTAAAATAAGATTGATTTATATTTTAAGCGAAGTTATACCTAAGTATTGCAGGAAGCAACGGAAGCTTTCATAGTTCAACTTCTGGAGGACGCAAATCTCTTGGCCCACCATTCTCGTCGAGTTACACTGATGAAAAGGGACATTATGTTGGCCAAAAGGATCCGTGGGCTCAGTAAATTTGGGGAATACTAGACTTAATAGACCGAATTATCAGGCAATACATTAGCTAATGGAATTATCAATATCTTCATTAGCAAATAGCTATATCAGTCAACACATTAGCTAATTGACATATCAGTAAATATTGACATCATTCCCTTAGGTATCCACATCTTATTTTGTTAGTTTAGGTATAGACAGTCTGTTAGTGACTTAAGTTCTTACATTATAGTACCTTTTACTCACTTTTTTCTTAATTTTAGCTTTATATTGAGTATATATATAAACATGAATATACACTGCCTTTCCTAGCTAAACTCAGGTTTTTTCACTTTTTGTTTTCTTATTATGTTAGATATCATTCCAGTCAATAGTAATCACTTTCTTTACTATACCTTATACAGAAACCTTTATATAGTTCTAATGTTGATCTTTTCGGACAAATCATTATTGTATGTAATAACTTATCTGTTTAAGGTCAGTAATAAACTATTACTGCGCTTTTACATTGCAATTTCTTGTAGAACGTCAAAGACGAGTCAGTATTACATTCATAATGATAAAACGTTTAGTATTGGGAAGTCAAAAAAAGTCTTGTCGTTTTTTCTCATTAAATTATGTGTAAATTAGCGACAAGACTTTTTTAACCTCTAATATATAATAATATAATGGCAAATTCCAGAATACTACTCTACACCAAATATGACTTTTTTAAAACAATTGACAAACAAAATTTTAAAATTTATTCAATCTCCTTCAAAGCATTGGCAATAGCATCCACACATTGATCAGCATTACTCTTGTCGATGCACATTGGTGGTTTGATTCTCAAAACATTGCCATTCAACCCTCCCTTCCCCACCAAAACCCCATTATCTTTGATTTTCTCGAAAACTGTAGCCACTTTGTCGGCTGGTAATGGTGTAGTACCTTCTTGTACTAGTTCTAAACCAACCATCAGGCCTTTTCCTCGAACGTCACCAATCAGTTTTGAGGGAATTTTAGATAATTGGTTGAGGAAGTGGGTGCCTACGACTTCGCAGTTCTGTTGAAGGTTCTCTTCTTGAATCACCTGAAAGAGTTGTTGACTTATATTGTTTTAGATTGTCATTTTCTGCTGTAAATCTTAAAAAGTTAAAGGTATGGTAGAAACTAGAGTATTTTAGGGTAGAGCAGGACTATGATAAGGCTATTTGGTACCGCTTTATAGTAGGGTAGGGAAGGGTAGATTAAAGTACAGTGAGGTAAGGCAGAAAAGCTCTTAAAAACCTACATCCAATGTAGCCTTAGCAACAGTAGTAGCCAATGGATTACCACCATAAGTATTAAAGTACAATGCCTTTCCCAATGAATCAGCAATCTCCTTCGTAGTAACAACCGCGCCCATAGGAAAACCATTGGCAATTCCTTTGGCCATAGTCACAATATCTGGCCTAGCGTCCTGACTTTCAAATCCCCAAAAGTGAGAGCCAAGTCGACCAAATCCAGTCTGAACTTCATCAGCAATGGCTAGTCCACCTCGCTTCTGAACTCTCTCGAAAGCTCCTTTCAGGTATCCTTTTGGGTATTGAACAGTACCACCCACTCCTTGGATTGATTCGGCCAGAAACGCGGCTGGACCGGTCGATTTTGGGAAGTCGTAGTCTAGAACTTCATCGAGTTGGGCTAGGTAATTGGCTGTGGCTTGGCAGGGTGAGCCTGAATTAAAAAAATTTTTTTTTTGGTTTTTATGGTAAAATATGATGAGTTTGGGCTAGTTTTAATTGAAAAATGCACTTTTTAAAATATTTACCGTAGTAAAACATATATCACTTGAAAGATATACATATTTTGTATATACCGTCAAGCTTTTGTTAATAGAATGTTAATTTGGAAAGACTTACAGTCCTTTGAAAACCTGAAGAATCCATTTTTTTATCAAAATTGGACGTTTTTTTACTTTTAACTTTTTTAAATCGCTATAACTTTTTTCAAAAAACAATTTAATACTTGAAAATTTGTGCAATAATAGCTTGTTGATTTTGTCACCAAACATAATAATTAAAGTTTTAATTTAAAAATTTTAAAAAAAATTACGGTAGTTTTGCAGTACCCTTGGTTTTTCAAACTTTTTTTCATTTTTTCAAAAACAAAAAAAAATTTGTTTGAAAATTTGATTAACGGATCTTGTAAAGCATAAAAAGGTGTATTTACCTGGAAAATTTCATGTTCATATCTTTTTTACAACAAAGTTATGACTATATAAAAAACTTAAATTAGTCCTTTTTAGATTTTTAAACAGCTGTAATTATTTTCAAAAACTAATTTAAAACTTGAACATTTTTGTGAAAATAGCTCTTGGAAGGTGTTTTCAATACCGACAATCAAAGTTTTAATAAGACAATTTTTTAAAAAGTTACAATGGGTTTTACCCAGATTTTTCAATTTTCATTTTTTCAAAAACATATTTTTTAAATTAAATTTATAGGTTTTGTAAAGCATGAAAAGATGTATATATCGTGAAGTTTTTTTGTTTATATCTTATTTTACAACAAAGTTATGACTATATAAAAAAGTTGAAAAATGAAAAAAGTTCGATTCCGCTTGGAAAAATTAATTTTTTTTGCTCTTTTGATACTTTTAGTTAATAAAAAAGTTATTTTTGCTATTTTTATACTATAAAAAAGTTAATTAGACTATTATTGGTCACATTTTAAAACCACCATACCTTTCTCACACTTCGAAGCATGTTTGACCTGAACCGGACTGTCCCTGCACGATCCACACCGATATACACCTTTGAATGGGTCAGGACACAAAGACTTTAGAATGCCAAATCCATGAGGTAGAGGTTGTTTCCAATTGCCGAGATTAGTAGCACCAGCCAAGGCTTGTGTCATTCCATGATAGCCATTACGCAGGGATAAAACATCGAATCGACCGGTATAGAGACGAGCCAGCTCTAGGGCCAAGTCGTTGGCTTCTGAGCCGGAATTGGTGAAGAAACATACCTAAAAGTGGCAGTTATAGTATAAAATATCCTACTATACCGTACCCTACCCTACCCTACCCTACCCTACCCTACCCTACCCTACCCTACCCTACCCTACCCTACCCTACCCTACCCTACCCTACCTTACCCTTCGATCTAAACTTACATTCAAATGATCTGGCAAAGTACTAGTCAACGCTTGAGCATATTCATATACTGGCTCAGTAATGTAAATCGAAGTTGTATGCCATATCTTCTTCATTTGTTGTGACAAAGCTTCATTGGCTTTACTAAAACAATATTGAGTTAAACTTGTGATAAGCCTACTACAATATCCTATTCTAAAGACTTACGGATGACAATGCCCGACAGAGACAGTGACAATTCCTCCAAACATATCCAAGTACTTGTTGCCATTTGAGTCGTATAACCATTGTTTGTCACCTTTTTGAATCACCAATGGCGATTTATAGTAATGTAGGGTTGATTTTGGCAGTAAATGCCTCAGGTTTTGGACTTTTGACATTCTAAAAACATTTTTTTAAATTTTTTAACGTCTACAACGTAATTTAAAAAAACGAAAAAAAAAATATTAATATACCTAACGTTTAAAAATAAAGCCTTTGCCTAGCCCTACTTCCGCCTCACTCTAGCCCTAAGGACCAGAAAAAGGCTGGGCCCACTTTTAAAGCCTGACCCGAATTCTTTACGTACAAACGGGCCGGGCTTTGATTTTCAGACCCGGCCCAACATAAATTAAACTCAAGGCCGGGCCTACACGGATCGTTTCTTACCCCTAATAGGCCATGCTCCCGGCTTACCCTAACCATATCTGTCCTTTTTCCAATCGCTATTTTAGTCTTACCCTAGCCTTAATTCAGCCTCATTCCAGACTTTCATTAGCCTTACTCTCGTCCTACTTCAGCCTTTTACTAACCCTAATTGGGCCTTATCTAATTGTAAGCCTTACGTTTGTCTTATCACACACCAGCCTAATTCCAGCCTTAACTCAGCCTTATTCTAGCCCTAATTCAGCCTTACTTTACCCTAACATTAGCTTGATTCTAGTCTAGTCTAACTTTTTAGTTTTTGATAAAAAAATTATTTTTAAAATAAAAAATGAAAAAAATGGATAAAAATAGCCATTCTCTTTTGTTTTAGAGAAACATAAGTGACCTTTTGGAAGCGGAGGCATTCTTATCGCAATATAAAACAGTTGGCAATATATATTGAGGAATAAATGAACACTTAAATCAATTAACATTGCTGAAGGCTCTAAATTTCAAAAATTAAATTTAAATTAAAAATTATTATACTATTCACTATAACAAGAGTTTAATGCTAGCCCTAGAACTAAGTATAAAGTATTAAGTTGTTCAAATAATTTTGCGCCCCCTGACCTCGCGAATTCGCTTTGGGAGATCTCTCGGGCACAGGACTATTTGAACAACCTAATAAACAAATAAGACTTAAAAATGTATACTCACCAATAATGACCAAACTTTCTTCAATTACTGTAATCCGGATAGTCTTTTGGCTCAGCACATTGACACAATTGAAATTCACACCATGGCACGGATTTGCAAAATTTAAACAGCAAACATGATGCATTATTCGAACATGGGTATGGGTAAAGCTGTGGGAGTGATTTTCTGAAACATTGTGAACAAATATGAATGTAGATAACATTTTAAAACTTTGAAATTTTTTTTTTTAGTTTTAAACTAAAATATTAGATTGTATTAAAAGTATTGAGCTACTGAATTATTATATTATAATAGATATAGTTTTCCTATTTTGACAATACATACGTTGTGTTTTCATTCACCATAGACAATATAGCATTTATTAAAAGCACCAGCACTAACAAATTTAAAAAATTCATAGTATAGGACCAGCAGTAGAATAATATCATTTGAGTCTCATTGGAGCACCATAGCAAAGATAATGGACAATATGCTTTTTCAATTACTATAGTTCAAAGACAATTACATCGTGTCGTTTTGTGACAGTATAGCATTTTGTAATACTTTATTTTGCAAATATACGATTTAATTACAATATTTCACAAATTTGATTACTCTTAAGGCATTTCCACATGGTTTTTTGATGCTTATGTCTAGTTTTTCTGGTTTTTATATTCATTGGGTCAAGGAGACCAAGAAATTACTGAGGAATTAATTTATGAATGTATGGTAAGTTTAAAAGAGTAGGTAATGTATTTTGAAAGGTTGTTGAAAAAGTACTGTAAAAATAGTATTAACAAGAGAAAAATGGCTAAAAGTTGTACTACAATGAGAAAAGGTACCAAAAAAAGATAGCAAAATGAATGAAAACAAGCTAAAAATTTTACTTTCACAGTAAATTAATCAGCAAACTCTATAAAACCTTTACAAACATCAAAAAAAGCAAAAAAGCTCAGCGTCCTTACGGTTCCGTCGTCGCCGCACGGGCTAGGATTGCTCTTCCTATCATATAAAGGATCATCACCGCTAGCCGCGCTCGAACCCGCGTGTTTGCCCTCTTCTTTGTTTTCGAGACAAAGCTGCAAACCACTCGGCCACGCAAACACAGCTCGATTCGCTCTTCGTTTCTCTTTCTATGAGTTCTCTGGTGGAACAGCGAGATAACGGGGAAGAAAAGGTAGTTTTTGAAGGTTTTTTTAAGCTTTTAAAATTAAAAAAGTTTGTTTTGGCTTAAAATATGGTTAAGAAACATTATTTTATTAAAATCTATTAAAAAATCCTTAATAAATAGCGGAAAATGTAGATTTTTTCATAAAAATAGCTGTTTTTAAAAATTTTTTAACAGCTAATTGTTTCAAAAATGCCTTTTTTAACCTTTTTTCATGCCCAACTCGACAAAAACAACAAAATTTATTAAAACAAGACATATCCAAGCCTTAGGTCTTATGTATAATTTTTAAAAATCAATCACAAGCAGCTTCTCCAACTTTGAAACACTGATTGGTAAAGTGCAATTCAGTCGGCCATATTTGCTCAAAAACTTATTAAAATATATACTATGATCTTCTTTGCTTGGGATACCAAGTGGTTTTTCACAAACAGCTCCATAGTTATATCCACAAATTGTGTAACCAGCTCCTGGACTCATATCTGCGCCGTACCAAACTTCCGTCGAATGATGTTTGTAGCCTAGGGCTTCGGGAAAGACTTCTGCCACAACGTCTTGGTTGTGAACTACACGGAAGAACCAGGGAATCTGAAAAAAAATCATTTTATTCATATACAGCTAGAGCTAGAGATAGAACTAAAACTAGAGGTGGGCTAGAGCTTGGGCTTCAGTTAAAGTTTGAGCTTGTGCTTGAGTTAGAGGTGAAGCAAGAGCAAGAGCAAGAGGTTTAGCCAGAGCTAGTAATACTATACCATTTCTGAATGTGAATAAGCATAATCATCATCACCAACTCTCGGCTGTCCAAACGTGTACAAAGCCAAATTAGTTGCATTATAACCATACTTACATATCAAGTACGGTGCCAATAATGAAGTAAGAGCACCGCCAAAAGAATGTCCAGTCACCCATACAGTATATATTGGATATTGTTGTCGTATCTCATCAAAAACGTCAGACATTCCAGTTACCCAAATCTGTCGAAATGCTGAGTTAAAGTAAACATTGACATCACCTATTTCATAATATCTTTCTTTGGCTTCAAATCCGCTGAAACTTTCGTCCATTAGTTGTGTCATCTTGACAGTGCCTCTGAAGACAATGGCAATCACTTTGTCATCATGTAGTAGAGCCATGTAACTTGCACATAGGTCTTCGTAGTTAAATGCACATAATTCTTTGTATAACTGAAATTGTTTTAGTTTAGTTGAGGGTAAGATAAAGTTAGGTAGGATACGGTAAGGCAGAGTTACGTAGGGTAAGGTAGGTTAGAGTTAGGTAGGGTAAACTTACAAAAAAATACAACGAAAACCCAAAATAAAAGCCCCATCCCAACAAAAAATATACTAAAAAACTTACCTGCACCATTTCAACATTGCCAAAATGATTTGTGATGCAATATTCCGGATTCTCGAGGTGATACGCACCTGCCGACAAAATCAACATACGACGAGCTAACGCGTCATCATAGTAATCATACAAATCGGCATAACTTTTTGCAATTAACAAGGAAATCAATTGAAAGCAGATTATGTTAGCCATAACAATAAACATTTAAAGACAAAATAAATGGTTTGTATATTATACATTAGCTGGCTCCTGATAGTATTTAATTATCGTTGAACACATCAAAATTAGAGCTAATGGCTTCTTTTGATCTACATTATCATTAATTTGCAAAAATTTACAAAAGGCATCTTTACATAAAGTTAAAAAATTTTAAAAAGTTTAAGCAGACTGGCCAAGGAACAAAATTCAAATTAATTTTAAAAAACTTTTAAAAGTTGTTCTTACTTACAGAGAAAGTACTTGACCTACTCTGATTAATTTCAAACTTTTTATATAGAAAGATGATGTTAATATACGATCTTCAACAAAGTAAGAAATTACACTTTCCAGTCAATCTCGTGCAAATCGAGATCAAACAATAACGTTTTGAATTTCCCGCCAAATTGGCATTGTGTTTCCAGCTTGTAACTTCCTTATTTTTTGCCTTTTAACCATTTTTCTTTAATTTAATACTAGAGTACCTTTAAATGAGCCTAAAATTTTAAATTTGTAAGCTTACCGTATCTGGAACATCAACAAAAAGCTTGCAACACGATGCCGAAATTTGTCAAACCGGCGGGAGCTTCAAATATTTTAATTTTAAAACTCAAAACCGGCTTTTATATGGCTTGGGAAGCTTGCTTTGCCCACATTATAAGTGTATGTGTTGATTCAATTAGATACAGTACCATATCATTGACATCTTCAGTGACCCCAACTAACCGGGCTTTGACCTCTCAACAAGGTCGTATACCATTATACAAAAGCATATCAATAATAAACATAACATATCATTTTTAAGATCTTAAACACCGCCTCAAACTCGAGGAATTGTAAACTCTTTCGCTAAACCAAGCTTGGTAAAACATACTCAAGCCGGCCATTTAATTTGAAAAACAATGGCGCGCACTATAGCTAAAGAAGGGAGCTTTACTCCGAGGCACTAAAATCGATCGCTACCTGATAGTAAAAAGGCGAGGAAAGTTCATGACCTGGCGTAATGCGTCGATTTGGCCAATCGGATGTTGCTACTATTCAGTTTTATAATTTATAGATTATGCTACTTATATTTGACTAGAATAATTTGGTCAAAGTACTATTTTTTATGTTTTTGGCGGTTTTTAATTTTTAAACAGTGGTATTTTATAAAAATTCGCAGAAGATCAAATTCTGTGGCATTTTGTATTATTGAATGTAAAACAATTTTTTTTTCTAAAAATTTTTGATTTAAATGTAAAATTTTTGTTAATTTAGTATAAAACAGGGTTTTTTCTATTGATTACGATAGGTCACATAAAGTTATACCACTATTTTCATGGATAAAACGATTTTTCGCGAATGAGGTAACCAGGTGGTCTACTATAACATCGGGGAGCAACTTTTCGTAACTTAAAAACCGTTTGACAGAATTTTATGTTTTTTGTATCATTTTGAAGGTATTTTCATGCAGATTTTAAATATGTACAAATATATATATTTTTGATACATTCATCTTGGAAGATATGCTATATTATTTTTGGGATAACAAGATTTTTTAATTTTTATGCTACCTCGCGTTATCGCGCTTTCTTTCCATTGATTAATTGGCTTTGATGCAATGCTTATTATTAATTATCTATTTATTTCAGCTTCAAACTCAACAGAAATGAAGAGGAGAGCTATCAGGCCGGACGGCAACGGTTCGTCCCAACAAGTGACGTTGGAGACAGCAGAACCGAACCATTTTTTGAATCCAGAGGATCACCTTCATAATATCAGACTCCATCAGCTGTTCCACAGGTATGTATTACAGTTTAAGAATGGCATCTTCCAAGATTTAGAACTTTTCTGGACTTTTAACTTTCAAATTGCGATAACATCTTTATAAAATAAGATATAATGATGAAACTACAGCATTATATACTATTTTAAAATTTTATATGCTTTTTAAACCTTTTAAATTTCTATTTGATACCTATTTTACAAAAAAAGTTATGACGGAAATAAGTTTGAATTTTTGTGTTTTTAGGTAATGGTGAATATAAAAATTTTATTTTCTAAGCCTAAACGAGATTTTAATAATAATATTTTTAGCTACAAGGACCTGGAGCTAGCATTGTACGAATACATGGCCAAAACCGGAGTCAGACTAGTCAAACCATCGAGTAATTGGTTAAGAGCGGGCATGGACGGAGCTACTCAAGAAGACGTCGAAAGGTGTATTTACCACCGTATCAATTACCATTGCGTGTTTCACAAACCACCGATGAGGAAGATGGTCAAGCGCCCGAGACGTGACATCAGCCACATCAAAGACTTTTGTCAATTCGATTTGGTCATTCAGTACGATGTGAACTTTCATTGCTTGAGCATCAAGTCGATTCGAGGACAACACAGTCATTTGCCGACGAAGGAGGCTTCTGAAGAGAAACAGAATGAATCCAGATACAGATTTCTGTCTAAATGTAAAACTTGTAAGTTTTTTGAGATTTGGTGTTTAAATTTAGGAAAATTGGGTTTTTGTTACCTAAAATATTGGAAATTTGAATTATTTTTTACCTAAAATTATACAAATGGCGCCTTTATTATCTAAAATCGTTAAAATTATGCTTCTGTTACCTAAAATTATAAAAATGATGCTCTTTTTACCTAAAATTAAAATAACTTAATTTTTATTACCTAAAATCATAAAATGGTGTTTTTGTTACCTAAAATTACATATAATTCTATTTATGCCACTTAAAACCTATAAAGGGTTTTTGTTACCTAAAATATTGCAAATATGACTTTTGTTACCTAAAAATGAAAAAAAATGTTTTCAGTGGAATGTATGGAGAAAGTCCTCGGTTACCGACAACCAAATTACGTTAAAACCGAAGTCTACCGCGTTAAAGCACCATCAAAGAAGGTAGAACAGCTCAGCGAAGACGCGTACAAAGCCACCATCGATAAGTACATGTACCGAACTCCAACATATTACCCACCCGAGGTCTGGGAGATAATTAACACCGAGCTAGAAATATTGGCTTCCGAAGCCAGGAATGAACAAGGGCACGGAACGGTGAGGAAGCTGGTGAAACGACGAGCGTTTGGAGATTCTGGTGAAGGACTAACGGCTGAGAAGAAGATGGTACACCGTATGCTGGATGTATGGTACCCTGAGAATGTTGTAGATGGTTACAACGCCTATCCAGATCAGTACTATAACCAAGAAGCTCCAATGATCGATCAAGTGCCAATGTACCAAAAGGCAGCGGAAACAGGGCCAAGTGCACCAAGCTTGACAATGCAACTTCAGAGTGGACCAAAGGTACCAGAGAATCAAATAATCACACCAAATCAACCAATGGTACCAAAAGATTATACAGGACCTCAAAAGTGGGAAAGTGTACCAAATAATGGATTCGTGCAACAGCGAGAAGCACCACGGTACCAGAAGATATCAAGAAACGAGCCAGTTATACCAGCTGTAAAGATGGAACCACCACGAGAGCAAATGGATCTACCTTATCACAATAGGCCTAGATATGACTCAAGTGTACTATCATGTCAAAGTTCTGTTCAAAGTGGACCAATTGTACCATATTTTGAAATGTCACCTCCAAGTGAAACAATGGGTTCATTCTTTGAAATGTCACCTCTGAATGAACCAATGGTACTATATACTGATATGTCATTGAAGAATTATCCAATGGTACAGTCTGGACAAGAAATGGTACCACATTATCAAATGTCATCTCAGAATGCACCAATAGTACCATCATGCCAAATGCCACTGCAGAATGCACCAATAGTACCATCACGCCAAATGACGCCTCTAATCGAGCAAAAAGCTCCACTAACACCACCTCATGAAATGGTACAGCCGGGAATGGTACCATCTATGTACTACGAAGATGTTGCACAAGCCGACCTGTCCAGCGAAGACTTGAATAATATCCTGGGCGACCTGTTTGCCAACTTTCACAGTCCTGATAATGGTCAATGTATGGCAAAGCAGAACAACAACTACTCTTACGATGTACTGTAAGGTATTGCATTATTTGGTTGGGGTTTATGGTTTCTAGTCTAATTACTGTATCTTGATAGTACTACTGGTACTGGTCTAACTACTGAATCGTTGGTGGTACTATTGGTACTAGTCTAAGCTCTGTGGATTTTCTAAAACTTTGTTGTCTTCCTAGGGTACTGTAGCTCTCTTCAACCTTTGTTTGAATTGATTAATGTAGTTTTTTAGCTCGGTTACTGTATATATTTTTACTTTTTCTTCACTATTATTAACCACTTGACATTTTGAATATAATAATGGGGTATATGATCTCTATATTAACGTATAATATCATGATATGTAACTGATACTACTATATCAAGCTATAGTTTTATTATATATAACTGGTACCTTTATATTAAACCATAGTTTTATTATATGTAAGTGATATCCTTATACCAGGGTATAATTTTAACTGATATTTTTTTAAAAAGATATAATTATATGTAACTGAAACCTAATATTAATACCGGGTATCACAATATTCATCATTGGTCTCATTATCAGTTTTAATTCACCTCGTTTATTTATCTTGACCTAACTTAATATTATCTATTTGTACAGTTCAAAATGTCATGTTTATATTATTAATTTACTTTTTTTAATTTTGTTATACTAACCTTTCTTATTATTTTTATCAGTTAACCTTTTTATAACTATTGCTTATGAAGCGCAACACACAATAAATGCTGTGTATGAAAGTTTGTTGGAGTTTGTTTTAGTTTGGTTGGATTCTGATGAATTATTTAGCTAAACAATATTTTATTATTTGATGGTAAATTTGGAGATTTTATGCCTAAATTAATATTAAAAGTTTTAAAACGTTGGAGTTTTATAACCTTACATTTGAAAAAGGGTTTTGTTACCTAAAATTCAAAAAATAGGGGGTTGTTACTTTAAATTCTTGAAAAAATGGGGTTTTTTGATGTTAAAATCGCAAAAATATTTGTTACTTAAATTCAATAAAATAAAGTTTTGTTACCTAAATTTAAAAAATGGATTTTTGAGGCTTAAATTTTCACAAAACATCTTTGTTACCTAAAATTAAGTAAATCACGATTTGTTACAAAAAATAGAGATTTGTTGCTTAAACTTTAAAAAAAGTTGATTTTTGAGAACACTAGGTACTAGGCTTTTTTTACCTAAAATTAAAAAAATAGAGTTTTGTTACCTAAAATTTCTTAAACTGGCACTTTTAAGGCTTAAAATTCGAAAAAATTAGGTTTTGTTACCTAAAATTAAAAAATGGAGGTTTTTACTTAAAAGTCAAAAATTTTTGATGCCTAAAGGTAAAAAAAGATTGATAACTTATAAGTAAGACTAATTAAATTGCTTTCTTTTATAGTCGATTATGTTTTTAAATATAAAACTTTCGCCAATTAATTATAATAAGGACACCGCCTACAGTAGTCTCTTGTGGGTAAGGGATGCCTTCTATGGATTTGAACTTCGTAAGCTCTAGCCATGTCCGTACAACAAGGGGCGACTTCTGGGTGGTTCTAAAATATGAATTTTAAGTTTAAAAATTTAAAAATTAGAAACATTCGCTATAGTCAACATAAGCATTTTTATAGCTAGAATCGACTACAGCGAGAGTCTACTGAAAGGTCTAGCTTACACTGGCAGCTTTTCGCCAAATTCTTCCCCATTTAGCAAACTCTTGATCTCGAGCTTCTTGGTCAAGTTTTTGAAAGTATTCTTGAACATCCTCTTCTATCAACAGGCATTTTTGACGTAGTGAGGCATTACAGCAAGATAGCACAATACAGACTGTTAATAATGACAGTATTTTTTGCATTTTTTTAGGTTTTTGCTGCTAAAAATGAGAAAAAATGAAGTTTTTATTACCTAAAAATGAAGAAATCAGAAAAACGACAAGATTTTAAGATTTTTGAGAGCAAAAGACTAGCTCATACACGATGTTTATGTTTTATATTGATGTTTCACAAATTTACATTGCAATTTCAAGGCTTTCATTAACATAAATTAGAGTTTTATTAATCTTACAAGGTGTTATTTTATGGTAATTATCACTCAATTACTTTAAGAAGAGTAATTGAGTGATAATGGCTTTTATTTTTTATTGTTAGCGATTCCTGATGGGTCTGGAAATATTAATATTGTTTTATGTCTTAAATGAACTTGGTATTATTAGGTCTAAAACTAAAATTGCGTCTTTTTTTGACAACTTTGACGAAGGCTAGCCAAAAAAACATCAAATTTTAAAAGAATTTAAATTTGGAACGGTGAAAAAACTGCAAAATTTAAGAATACAGGGCTTGCAACAATGTAAATAATATTTAATTCATGAGTAAAATTATATTATGGTAGAGTTCGTAAAACAATTAATAAATATTTGTCATTTTATTTTTTTGTATGAGCAGGGTAAAGTAGGGTAGAGTGAAGTATGTTATTGTATTGTGTGATATGGTAAAGTACGATATGGTAAGGTAGGATAGGTAGAGAAGAGTAGGACAGGATAAAACAAGGTAAGTTATGGTAGGGTAAAGTAGGGTAGGGCCTAATTAGTGGGTATCGCGGAATGACGCAAGCCTTAGCTGGTGCTACCAATCTTGGCAATTAGAAATAGCCTTTACCTCATGGATTTGGCATTCTTAAGGGTTTTTATTTTATCCCATTCAAACGCGTTTATCAATGTGGATCGTGCAGGATTCTTAGAATTAGGTACGATAAGCCAAGTAAATATGTAGAACAACTGAAAATACTGCCAAAACTGCCTGATTTTCATTATTTGCGATTTATTCATATCGATTATGCTTTTCTTTCACGAACGTCGTTATCATTGGATTCAAAGTGCAATATACAAGTAGAGAAAAGAAGTCGAAAAATACGGTAGGGCCTTCGCCACGAAGGCATTAAATATATTGTTCAAGTGGACATGGAAACCGTGTTGTTGGATGAGTTGGGTGGCTTTGTCACCGAAACTTTACTCGTTTTGGGCTCGTCGATATCAATGTTGTAGCGGAGCATTTTGGCCGCGAACCAACTGTAGTAGTTGTCGAATTCGATTATGTCTGGAATTTGAAATTTTTTGAAATTTTCAATTTTATTAATTCAGTTCAGATAATTCTGTGCCCCTTTCAAAGCAACTTTTTGGGATTACATGGCACAGAATTATTTGAAGAATCAAAAAGAAAAAAAGAGTTATTATAGTTATAAGGTTGTTCAAATAATTCAAATTTTCGAGGTCACGGGGCGCAGAATTAATTGAAAAACCTCATATTTATTTTTTAATTTTAGATAACAAATGTCTCTGATTTATCGTATTGACACTTTAAGGCTCAAAAATAAACTGGCAAACACCCCTGTCTTTAAATTTTGTTAAAACAATTTAAATTTTTTAAATTTCGCGCCAAATTGGCATTCTGTTGCAAGTTGTTTTAGATTAGTTAAAAGCCACAAAAATCGATTAAACATTGATGTTTAGACTTGTATTTAACTTATTAACTAGAGATTAATTTTAACTATAAATATTGACATGCAACACAATGCCAAAAACCCGCTAATTTCAAAAATTTAAATTTTAAGTATAGTTTTCACAGTAATTACCATATATATATTTAATAAAAAGGTTAAAAATGTAATTTAAAGCAAGTTTTAGACTTATATTGATCCATAAATTAATTATAACTATAAATATCGACATGCAACACAATGCCAAAAAACCGCTAATTTTAAAAATTTAAATTTTAACTGTAGTTTTCACAGTAATTACCGTATATATATTTAATAAAAGGCTTAAAAATTTAATTTTAAGAGCATTTTCTAGCATTTTTTATTCAAAAAATACTAAAAATAATGCCAAAATGGCTGGAAATTTAAAAAATTTGAAAAATTTTAGTTTTTTTAAACATTGAAGTAAGACAAAGTAGGGAAAAGTAAAGTAAGGTAGAGTTAGGTAGTAAATCCAAACTTAAACTTACATCTTCCGGACTGTTCGCAAAGATAAGATCCAGAAATGGGGACTTGAGAGCATTCGAAGCGGATGTAAGGGTATACAGTTTCCATTTCAGTCAGACAGTTGGCCGTGTTGCTGGAGTCGTGGTAGATGGCGAAGCCGATGTCGTCTTCGTCTGTCATGTATTGCCAGCTGAAAGTTGGTTAATATATAGCTAAAGCTTGTACGTATTCTATTATATAAGGCCTCAGGTGGGGCAGGATACAGTACTACAGGTAGGGGGATCAAGGACGTTGTGTTAGGATAGGGTAGGGTACAATAGGGTAGGTCCTCAGCACTGAAACTCGCCTGATCCGAGTGCCGGCTTTGACCTTGAGTTCGATGAGATGTTTGTCGCCCGCGTACACCGTGGTCAGCTGATCGTAATGGGGCATGGCGTTGTGTTTGTCCACGTAGTAGGTGTCCGGCACCGGGCCTAGACCGTAGCGAATCTTCGATGGACATCTGAAATAGGGAATCAGGTTTAGAAAACGATGAAAAGTGGTGAACTTACATTACCCTACCCCACTGTACCCTACGCTACCGTACCCTACCTAATCCTCACCTACCCTACCCTGCCTTACCCTACCCTGCCCTACCCTACCTTACCCTACCTCACCCTACCCTACCCCACCGTACCCTACGCTACCGTACCCTACCTAATCCTCACCTACCCTACCCTACACTGCTCTACTGTACCCTCCTCTAACCTACCCTAACATGACATAACAACTCTGGCTCCCCTAGCTATATTACTGCATCCTGCCTTCCCCAAAGCCTACCATAGCCACATTCTATCCAACAAGATGGCCTGTTTTAACCTGCCGTACCCTACACTACCCAAACTAACTCGTCCGATATGTTTCTTGTCCTAATCATACTGTATCATATGCCACTATACCTCAAATATCCTTCTTTTACCATCTAAAACACTTACTTTGGATCCCCATTCTCGTCGCACATCCGTCCTCCCCAATGTACTGGCCAAGCATCCAAATCCACGTACTGGTTCAAGGCTTGTTGCCAACAGTCTTCGGATGGCATTTCGATCAGATCTTGGATGCTTTCGGACAAGAATGGAGTCATTGAGTTGAAGGCCACTCTCGCCATCTCTGGTGCTCTTAGGATGAGGATTTTGCGTAGTACCAACGGGTAGTGGTCTTGGAAGAGCAGTACCAAAGTGGTAAAGGAGCTGGCGAATTGTTTGGAACTGTAATGTGCGGAGGTAATGTGGTCCAGGTCGAAGACTAACATCATTTGTTCGAATGGGCGGTTGGTCTAGAAATTTTAAAAATAATGTGGGTGGGGTAGGGTAGGGTAAGGTATAGTGGGGTAGGGTAGGTATACTTACAATTTTAGCTCGTTCCTCGCACAATTCGATTCCTTTTTCGATGGCGGCCAATGAGAATTTGATGTAATCTTTGGATTCGACAGATCTTAACATTCCTTCCACGTCCATATTACCCAGCAATGACATCAAAATTGGGTTTCCTTCACGGTCGGACAAAAAGCCATAGCCACAGTACTTTTCGAGGATCTGAAAATATAAAATTTTAATTTTTAAAAATTTTTAAAGCTTGAAATATTTTAAAATTCATTTTTTAATTTTTTTAAAGTTTTTGGCAACTTGGCTTGCTTGTATAGGGGTCTTTTTTTTGCCCCTTCTTGGCCTCATTCTAAGCCTTTTTCATAATTATACCCTTCCACCTTATCATGACTAATCTTAGTGATTACTTTCTCTGCCTGAGCCATTTGTAACTCTGTTTTCCAATTATCAGCCCTTTCGGTAATCAAACCGGTCTAACAGGTTCTTCTACAACAACTGACCATCGAAAAGAAGTTTGCGCAAAATAGATATTACTAACAAGGTCTTCGTCTTGTTTACTGTTCGAAGCCCATCACAGTAATGTGGGTTTCATGGGAATTTAAAGGTATAACGAAGGCATGGGTAAAATTAAACTTTTAATTTTTAAAAAATTCAAAAACCTAAATCAAAAAATTATTAAAAAATTTTAATTAAAAATTTAAAAGTTGAATTACCCCTCCCAGGTGCCTTTTATTTATTTAAAATATTAACTCTTTTCTAAGTCCTTCTTTCTTTTAAAATATGTTTTACCATACCTTTTCTTAATCGTTTAAAATATCTATTTATCCACCCATGACCTTCCCGTGCAAAAACCCCTATCAAAAAATACGTCTGGCAGATCCCCTTCTTTAAAAAAATATTTTTATCTTGCCCTCCCCCCACCCCCTTCCTCCCCACTTTTCAACATTCTTCTATCCCCCATTCCCTACTTCTGCCCAAATCATAGTGGTCAAAAAATATTATTTACCCTGCCATCTCCTCACCCATCCATCCGCCGCTACATTGAAAAATATGAGACCCCCTGTTCAAAAAATGTTTTTTACCCCGCCCTCCACTTTTTTAAAAAAATACATATAATCCTTTTTCCATAACACAAAAAGAAAATTTTTTTTACCGCACCCTCCCCTTCCTCCTCTCCTACTTTCAATAATACGAGACCCCTTCTTCAAAAAAAATATTTTTTACTATACCCTCCCCCCCCTCCCCGTCTTACTACAAAAATATTTTTTACCCCACCCTGTTCCCCTCTCCTGCTTCTAAAAGTATACGTCCCGTTCTTCCATTTTCACCCCTCCAAACCCTCAAAACCCCAAAAAACCCCTACCTCAGGCGCAGTCCATCGTTCAATTGTGTCCAAATCCCACGCCTTTCTGAAAACAGCATTCTTCTTCAATCCTTCGGCCGTTTCGTCAAATTTGCCGTTCTTGGATCGAAGCCATCTGAGGAGTGTAGCTGATGAGTAGTGGGAGATTTGAGGAAGCAACTGCTTCAGGGCATTACAAGCCTCAATCTCTTGGTCGGTCGCTGGTTTTTGTAATATCCGGTGGGGCATACTGAAAAAAAAGGAAAATTGTTTAAAAACCTTTTTTAAAATGAAAAAGCGAGTATTCACGAAAAATGGCACAGTAAAGTAAAAAAATGTAAGATATTTATCTAATTTGTCAAAACTAAAAAAAATAAAAAACATACGTCCCATATAAAAAAATTATTTAAAACGTTGCTGTTTTTGCAATTCTAGGTAATATAGGTCATAATAAAAAACTGACAGTCCTCTGTAATGCAAAAAAAATTTTTTTTTCAATAAGGAATTCATATTTTTGATTTTTTTTCTATTTTAAGTAAGTGCAATATCTATTTGAAAAAAAAAGATACTGATTTGTCTATGTCTACTTCAACTTTGCTCTCTCCTCATTGCCTTATTATGCTTATTCATATTGAAAATGCGAGGACAAAAACAAAAACAAAATTTTTTTCAAATTTTATTTTCCCGCCAATTTTAAAAAATTTTAAAAACTGTTCTAAATATATACTCTACTGAATTGTTAATGTATTCTATAGATTTGGCCTGAAAAATGACTCACTAAGCCTATCCAAAGTACGTTTGGAAGGAAACAAGAAGTATATAAGACGTATCTTCCTCTAACAAATTGTAAGCTTTATAAACACCATTCTAAGTCCAACCCTTTATATATTATACATATTGGCACCCTTTACATAAACCTTGCCAACCCCTATCTTTTATATACTTCAATCCTAACCTTAAAATGGAAAAAAAATTTTTTTACAAATGAACCAGAACTTTTTGGGTGTCCCTCTTACCCGTAGCGACGCTCCTAAACCTTACCCTTTATAAACACCTTGCCAATTCCTATTCTTTCTAAGCAGCTTACCAGTTGTTTTATATACATCTTGCTAACCCCTACCCTTTATATACCTCTTGCCAAGCCTTGCACTTTAACAAAATCACAAAAAAGCTGTTGATTCCCATTGCTACAGCCCCTGTTTCCAAATACTCGGCTGGACACCTTCTTTTTATCGTCCGATGTTAATGAATATAAAGCTAGATGAATAGTTCAGATAAAGATCGCGAAACGTGAGAAAATCTTATCGAAACGTCCAGAAAAGTCGACAACGTGATGTTGTGAAGAAAACACGTCTCTACAAAACCCGTGCCACACATTAAACTAGTCCTGGGATATGAAAATAGGCCAAAGATATTGAATTAGTCAGAAGATATGAGACTTTTTTATATGAGATTTATATTAAACTATTTGTATTAAACTAAGCCTGATATTGTAATATCTTTGCAGCAATTTAAAAATAGAAAAATTTATTTTTATGAGTAATAGAAGGTATTGGCTGACTAATTGTTTTAATTTATCAGTTTGTTTAGGTCAAAAAACAAAAATATTCTAGAAATTGTTGAAGACTGTAATATCAACTTATCAAACATATTTTTTAATTTTCCTAGCCACTTTTAACAAAGCTCCCTTCTTCTACAAACAACCTAATATGTACAACTTTTCTATTGATAGAAACCTAGAGGTAGCCTGGACCAATATAGAGTAACTAGGGTAGATAAGGTAGGGTAGGGTACGGAAGTATAGGGTAGGGTAAGGTAAAGTAGGTCGGAGCAGAATAGTGTAGGGCAAGACAGGACAAGAAACAGAGCAGCGCAACGCAAGGCAGGGTAGTAAAAGGGTAGAGTGCGGCATTAAAAACATACGGTAAAATCAGGCATGCCGCTTAAAAAACATTTTATAGCCAACAAGAAATTCATAGCCAGTTTAGATGGGGGAAGGGGAGTCAAAACTCGCTGCCTTCAGTCTAGCAGCTTTATTTACATTGAAAACCCCCTCCCCGGTAAAAGATAGATATACACAGTGGAACTAGACCTGAGGATAGGACCGGACCAAACAGTTTTAAAATAATGTATTGATTGTGTTACTCATAAAAATCAAAAAACAATAACCAAAATTCTAAATTTTTTTAGCCCGAAACTTTGTTTCAAGCTCGCCCTCGTTTTTAATTTTGCTCAGACCCTGCACGTTTCTCATGCCCAACTTGTAAGTGGAACTCCTGGACCAAAACGCTCGGAACTTTTTCCAATTGTTCATTATAAAAGAGTATATATTATGAAAAGAAGACAAGAATAAAATGCATAATTAATATTGCATAATAAGGGTAAGAAAACGAAAAATAAAATGTTTAATAAAAAGTTAAATTTACAAAACCTAAATTGTTTTTTTACCCTACCCTACCCTATCCTACTTTACCCTAAAGTTTTTTCTTTGACGCCCAAAACAAAAAAAGAAAAACAAAAAAAATGTTGTTTACATCTTTATTTTGACTTCCAAAAAGACATGTCATGAAGATTCAGAATCCTTTTCACATAAAAATAATACATATATATTACCAAATCCATAGTAGTTACTATATAGGATAGGGTACGGCAGGGCTGGATAGATAGGGCTAGGGTACGGTAGAGTAAGGTACGGTGGGGAGGGCTGGATAGGTAGAGCTAAGGTAGGGTAGGGTAGGGTAGGGTAGGGTAGGGTAGGGTAGGATAGGGTAGGGTAGGGTAGGGTAGGGTAGGGTAGGATAGGGTAGGGTACGATACGGTACGTTAGGGTAGGAAAGGTAGGGTAGGGAGGGTGCGGTAGGGTACGGTGCGGTAGGGTAGGAAGGGTAGGGTACGGAACGGTACGGCACAGTAGGATGGGGTAGTGCTGGATAGGGTAGGGTAGGGTAGTATATGCAGTTCAGTGTCCGCAAATGTCTGTATCTCCGACACTTGCGGACAGCGACAAGACTTCTGGTGTCCGCAAGTGTCATTCTTTATGTTTTTTGCGGACAGGGGAATAGTGTCCGCAAGTGTCTGTCCGCAAATGCGACCGTGAAGGACAGATGCGGACATTGTGTGTCCGCAACTGACTGTCCGCAAAGGTTTCTCCGCAAGTGTGACCCCGCCAAATAGAAGCCTAATGCGGTTAGTTTTAAATTCAAAATTCTTTGTATAAAGTATGTTTTACTTTAGTAAACAGGACTTAAATATATACATGCTACTCAAACCTTTCAAGTACAGTACCAGCCCTTCTCCCCTAGTTTCCCCTACTCCAACCTACACTCTCGTACTCTCTCCTACTCTCACCTACACATCCTTCCTCTTTCCAATCCTTCTCTACCTTGCCCTATCGTCTATTACCTTAGCCTACTTTACCCTCCTCTTCTCCCTCCCTCTCTCTTCTGTTTTTACGACATTTTTATTCATTCAGATACCCAGAACAATACTATTTTTATGATCCTACATTTCACAAACATTAGTCTGTTTAAAAAATTCTGCGCCCCACTCTTCCACCCTTCCCCCCCCCCTCCTAAAAAGATGTCTTTGAGAAAGGGCTCATAATTAATTGAACAAAGTTTGAAACAAATAATGACTTGTCATAAACCAAACAAAACCTCAGTATCTTCATCTTTCTTCAACTTTACCATCAAAACCATCCCCCCCCACCCTAAATATTGGGTTGTTTTTCAGAAATCTGTGAAGACCGAATTTACAAGCGATTTCAGGAGATTCATCAGTGGGGGGATTCTGCGCGCTTTTTTGACCTGTTTTTAGGTCTTTTTTCGTGTGATGAACAAGGAAAAACGTGTTCACCGGAGGGAGAGATAAGTGGGTGAATGACGAGAGATGAGAAATCACATCGACCTTGCCCACCGTCGACGGACAAATAATGTACACAAGCTTATGGGGGGGGGGAGAGATGGTTTTTGAGCAAACATATAATATATGAGGGGGGGGGGCGGAAGGGAGTGGTATACCTACAAATATAAACTTTACCCTACCCTACTCTGCCCTACCCTACCCTACTCTACCCTACCCTACCCTACCCTACCCCACCCTACCCTACTCTACCCTACCCTACCATACCCTGTCTTTCCTTACCTTATCTTACATTACCCTACCTGATGATTTACTATCTTCCCTTACTGTACCTTTCCCTAAAGTAGTACCAAAGCCCTTTGTAGGTATAGTATAACAAAAGCCATTTTTTACAAAAGTAAAGCACGTTGTTATAAAGAACAAAACGTTAACCAGTAAGAACGTTCCAAAAAGGTTGAAACCTTCCTGAACTAAGAGTGAGCACAATATTATCTGATTGTGTGTTAAAAACTTTCATAATATAGTAACGTACCTTTGACCTTTAAAACGTATCCTAACTCACTCCCCTTCTTTTCTTTTTTTAACTTTCTGTTATTGATAACTAGAGATCAGCACAGAGTGTCAGTCGGCTTTAGTGATCTATATAATTCTCAGCATAACATTTTAAGATATATGGCAGTAAAATCAGCTGGAAAATTTTGAGATGCTGTAACTTTTTCCCCAGAGGTTGTTAAGAGCTAATTTTACTGCCACTTATTTTAGAACAGTTTGCTGATTAAAGTGATATATATATAGCTTATCTTAAACAAATTTTAATTATGTATCGAGCTGTAGTAGAAGGTAAGATATCCATTCTTTCTTTTTTTGCCTTTTTTAGTTGAAAAACAGAAAACTAAACATTGTCTTACCCGACCCTTAGTGCAAAATTGCTTTGATTGTCTGCCATAGCCAAAACTAACTCGACAGTAGCCAAAGGTCCTTTAACCGCTCCCGCCCATAAGAAATTGAATTTCAAACTATAATATTACCTTCCCCATGCCTATAACCCAAGTCCAAACTTCAATCACCCTATTAATTCCTACCTATATACAACTACTCCCTCTCCCCCCCTCCCACTACAAATTTTTTTATAAAAGTCCAGAAAATAGCCTCCGTAGCCTAAATATTCTTTCAAAAATGACATAGCCAAAGGCTATCAAAGATCAACCTTCTCCCCTTCTTTTCATACCCCTTCTCACATTCCCTGCCCTACCTTTTTTACTGTCCCTACCTTTTTCTCACAACATTTAATATAAAATGAATAAAACCGCCCCCGCCCCACTCGCTAACCCAAAAACAACTTATCCGTTTGTAGAGAAGCAGTAAAAGCAAAACATGACAGAGTAAGA